GAGAGAAGGGTGGGAGGGGGGCTGGTGGTGCGGATGGGCTGATGGTGGCAAGAGGGCAGCAGGGATGGGGAGAAGGGAGCGAAACGAGGGGAACGCAAAGGGCAGGGGGGGAGGAGGGGAGGGCAGGGAGGGAAGAGGCTGAACGTACAAAGGGGGGAAACGAGGGGCATGGATGGTAGGAAACAAGGGCAGGGGTGCGGGAAATCAAGGGCAGGGAGGGGAGAAGCAATGGGTGAGGGGAAAACAAGGGAGGGGCAGAGGGGGGGCAGGGAGGGGAAGAAACGTGGGGCAGGGAGGGGAGAAGCCAAAGACAGGGGCATGGGCAGGCGGGGGCAGGGAGGGAGCAAAGGAGAGGCAGGAGAAAGAAAGGGAGGCGCGGGGAGGGGAGAAAACCGGGCGTGGGGGGGCGGAAAATGAGGGGCAGGGCGGGGAGGAGGGAGGGGCAGGGAGGGGAGAAGCTGAGCACACGGAGGGGGGAAAGGTGGGGCAGGGAGGTAGGAAGCCAAGGGCAAGGGGGGGAGAGGGGGGGAGCAGGGAGAGGGGGGAGGTGGGGAGCGGAGAAAGGCGGCGAGGGCAGGGAGGGGAGGAAACCAAGATAGGGGGGCGAGATACGAGGGGCAGGTGCGGATTGAGGAGGGGCAGGGAGTGGAGTGGGTCGGCGAGGGGAAGGAAGAGGCGTGCAGCAGAGGAGGGGAGGGGGGGAGGAGAAGGTAAACGAGGGGAGCGCACGGGCGGGGAGGAGCGAATGGCGGGCGGTGGGAAACGGCGAGGGGGGCAGGGAGGGTCAAAAGAGGCGGCAAGGGAGCGGGCACGCGGAGGGTGGGGGCGGGGGGGGGAGCGGGATGGCATGAGGAGGCAGGGGGTGTGACTATGAAGGGGGGACCGGGCAAGGGGTGTGTACCGGTCGGGGCACGGGATTGACGTGGTACGATCATACCTCGGCTACTACGCCGGATCCATCAGAGCTCCGAAGCTAAGCGCCGGTGGGCGAGAGCAGTACTGGGCTGGGTGACCTCCCGGGAAGTCCTCGTGTTGTACCCATTTTGCCCCTGCTCGGCACGTGCCGGGGGAGGGGCAAGCGGGAAAAAGAAAGGACGATTTTAGCGCGTCCGATTTTTATTTATTTAGTTTTTTGCCCCACAACGACTCAGCGGGGTGGGGGCCCCCGGGGAGGCTTGCCCGTGCGAAGAAACGCCCCGTGCGCACCACCGTTGGCGGTTGGAAGCCGCACCGGTCGCGGGGGTGGAAGAGCGGAAACGGGCAGCCGGGGGAGGGTGGGGGGCGGTTGGATGGGACTGGGGTGTACGGGGGGGCAGGGGAGTTGAGGGGCAAGGGGAGGGGCAGCAACGGGCAGGGGCTGGGCCAGCTGAGGGCACGGAAAAGGGCGGGGGCAGAGGGTGAGCAGAGGGGCGAGCGATGCAAGGGAGGCACCATAGGGGGGAAAACCAGTTGCACGGAGGTGGGAGGTGAGGGGCGTGCGATGGGGGTGGGAAAGGGGCAGGGAGGGGCGGAATGGGAGGACGTGGGTGGGGGGTGGGGGAGGGGAGTGTGGTGTGTGTGTGAGAAAGAGAGAGAGAGAGAGAGAGAGGAGAGAGAGAGGGAAAGGGAAGGGGGGGAGAGAAGGGTGGGAGGGGGGCTGGTGGTGCGGATGGGCTGATGGTGGCAAGAGGGCAGCAGGGATGGGGAGAAGGGAGCGTAGCGAGGGGAACGCAAAGGGCAGGGGGGGAGGAGGGGAGGGGCAGGGAGGGAAGAGGCTGAACGTACAAAGGGGGGAAACGAGGGGCATGGATGGTAGGAAACAAGGGCAGGGGTGCGGGAACATCAAGGGCAGGGAGGGGAGAAGCAATGGGTGAGGGGAAAACAAGGGAGGGGCAGAGGGGGGGCAGGGAGGGAAGAAACGTGGGGCAGGGAGGGGAGAAGCCAAAGACAGGGGCATGGCAGGCGGGGGCAGGGAGGGAGCAAAGGAGAGGCACGGAGAAAGAAAGGGAGGCGCGGGGAGGGAGAAAAACGGGCGTGGGGGGGCGGAAAATGAGGGGCAGGGCGGGGAGGAGGGAGGGCAGGGAGGGGAGAAGCTGAGCACACGGAGGGGGAAAGGTGGGGCAGGGAGGTAGGAAGCCAAGGGCAAGGGGGGGAGAGTGGGGGAGCAGGGAGAGGGGGGAGGTGGGGAGCGGAGAAAGGCGGCGAGGGGCAGGGAGGGGAGAAACCAAGCATAGGGGGCGAGATACGAGGGGCAGGGTGCGGATGAGGAGGGGCAGGGAGTGGAGTGGGTCGGCGAGGGGAAGGAAGAGGCGTGCAGCAGAGGAGGGAGGGGGGAGGAGAAGGTAAACGAGGGGAGCGCACGGGCGGGGAGGAGCGAAATGGCGGGCGGTGGGAAACGGCGAGGGGGGCAGGGAGGGTCAAAAGAGGCGGCAAGGGAGGGGCACGCGGAGGGTGGGGGGGGGGGGAGCGGATGGCATGAGGAGGCAGGGGGTGTGACTATGAAGGGGGGACCCGGGCAAGGGGTGTGTACCGGTCGGGGCACGGGATTGACGTGGTACGATCATACCTCGGCTACTACGCCGGATCCCATCAGAACTCCGAAGCTAAGAGCCGGTGGGCGAGAGCAGTGCAGTACTGGGCTGGGGGTGACCTCCCGGGAAGTCCTCGTGTTGTACCCATTATGCCCCTTGCTCGGCACGTGCCGGGGGAGGGGCAAGAGGGAAAAAAGAAAGGACGATTTTAGCGCGTCCGATTTATTTTCGTTTTTTTTTTGCCCAAACAACGACTCAGCGGGGTGGGGGCCCCCGGGGAGCTTGCCCGTGCGAAGAAACGCCCCGTGCGCACCACCGTTGGGCGGTTGGAAGCCGCACACGGTCGCGGGGGTGGAGAGCGGAAACGGGCAGCCGGGGGAGGGTGGGGGCGGTTGGATGGGACTGGGGTGTACGGGGGGCAGGGGAGTTGAGGGGGCAAGGGGAGGGGCAGCAACGGGCAGGGGCTGGGCCAGCTGAGGGCACGGAAAAGGGGCGGGCAGAGGGTGAGCAGCGGGCGATGCGAGCGATGCAAGGGAGGCACCATAGGGGGGAAACCAGTTGCACGGAGGTGGGAGGTGAGGGGCGTGCGAGGGGGGGGGAAAGGGGCAGGGAGGGGCGGAATGGGGAGGACGTGGTGGGGGGGGGGGGGGAGGGAGTGTGCGTGTGTGTGTGTGAGAGAGAGAGAGAGAGAGAGAGAGAAGAAGAGAGAGAGAGAGAGAGAGAGAGAGAGAGAGGGAAAGGGAGGGGGGGAGAGAAGGGTGGGAGGGGGGCTGGTGGTGCGGATGGGCTGATGGTGGCAAGAGGGCAGCAGGGATGGGGAGAAGGGAGCGTAACGAGGGGAACGCAAAGGGCAGGGGGGGAGGAGGGGAGGGGCAGGGAGGGAAGAGGCTGAACGTACAAAGGGGGGAAACGAGGGGCATGGATGGTAGGAAACAAGGGCAGGGGTGCGGGAAATCAAGGGCAGGGAGGGGAGAAGCAATGGGTGGGGAGGGGAAAAAAGGGAGGGGCAGAGGGGGGGCAGGAGGGAAGAAACGTGGGGCAGGGAGGGGAGAAGCCAAAGACAGGGGCATGGGCAGGTCGGGGGCAGGGCAGGGAGCAAAGGAGAGGCCCGGAGAAAGACAAGGGAGCGCGGGTGAGGGGAGAAACCGGGCTGGGGGGGCGGCAAATGAGGGGCAGGAGCGGGGAGGAGGGAGGGGCAGGGAGGGGAGCAAGCCTGAGCACACGGAGGGGGGAAGGTGGGGCAGGGAGGTAGGAAGCCAAGGGCAAGGGGGGAGAGTGGGGGAGCAGGGAGAGGGGGGAGGTGGGGAGCGGAGAAAGGCGGCGAGGGGCAGGGAGTGTGAGAAACCAAGCATAGGGGGGCGAGATACGAGGGCAGTGGTGCGGATTGAGGAGGGGCAGGGAGTGGAGTGGGTCGGCGAGGGGAAGGAAGAGGCGTGCAGCAGAGGAGGGGAGGGGGGAGGAGAAGGTAAACGAGGGGAGCGCACGGGCGGGGAGGAGCGAATGGCGGGCGGTGGGAAACGGCGAGGGGGGCAGGGAGGGTCAAAAGAGGCGGCAAGGGGAGCGGGCACGCGGAGGGTGGGGGCGGGGGGGAGCGGATGGCATGAGGAGGCAGGGGGTGTGACTATGAAGGGGGGACCCGGGCAAGGGGTGTGTACCGGTCGGGGCACGGGATTTGACGTGGTACGATCATACCTCGGGCTACTACGCCGGATCCCATCAGAACTCCGAAGCTAAGCGCCGGTGGGCTGCGAGAGCAGTACAACGGGCTTGGGTGACCTCCCGGGAAGTCCTCGTGTTGTACCCCATTTATGCCCCTTGCTCGGCACGTGCCTGGGGAGGGGGCAAGCGGGAAAAAGAAAGGACGATTTAGCGCGTCCGATTTTTTTTTATTTTTCGTTTTTTTGCCCAAACAACGACTCAGGCCGGCGGTGGGGGCCCCCCGGGGAGGCTTGCCCGTGCCGAAGAAACGCCCCGTGCGCACCACCGTTGGGCGGTTTGGAAGCCGCACACGGTCGCGGGGGTGGATGAGCGGAAACGGGCAGCCGGGGGAGGGTGGGGGCGTTTGGATGGGACTGGGGTGTACGGGGGCAGGGAGTTGAGCGGGCAAGGGGAGGGCAGCAACGGGCAGGGGCTGGGCAGCTGAGGGCACGGAAAAGGGGCGGGCAGAGGGTGAGCAGAGGGGCGAGCGATGCAAGGGAGGCACCATAGGGGGGAACCAGTTGCACGGAGGTGGGAGGTGAGGGGCGTGCGAGGGGGTGGGAAAGGGGCAGGGAGGGCGGAATGGGAGGACGTGGGTGGGGGGTGGGGGAGGGGATGTGTGCGTGTGTGTGTGAGAAAGAGAGAGAGAGAGAGAGAGAGAGAGAGAGAGAGGAAAGGGAGGGGGGGAGAGAAGGGTGGGAGGGGGGCTGGTGGTGCGGATGGGCTGATGGTGGCAAGAGGGCAGCAGGGATGGGGAGAAGGGAGCGTAACGAGGGGAACGCAAAGGGCAGGGGGGGAGGAGGGGAGGGGCAGGGAGGGAAGAGGCCTGAACGTACAAAGGGGGGAAACGAGGGGCATGGATGGTAGGAAACAAGGGCAGGGGTGCGGGAAATCAAGGGCAGGGAGGGGAGAAGCAATGGGTGAGGGGAAAACAAGGGAGGGGCAGAGGGGGGGCAGGGAGGGAAGAAACGTGGGGCAGGGAGGGGAGAAGCCAAAGACAGGGGCATGGGCAGGCGGGGGCAGGGAGGGAGCAAAGGAGAGGCACGGAGAAAGAAAGGGAGGCGCGGGGAGGGGAGAAACCGGGCGTGGGGGGGCGGAAAATGAGGGGCAGGGCGGGGAGGAGGGAGGGGCAGGGAGGGGAGAAGCTGAGCACACGGAGGGGGGAAAGGTGGGGCAGGGAGGTAGGAAGCCAAGGGCAAGGGGGGGAGAGTGGGGGAGCAGGGAGAGGGGGAGGTGGGGAGCGGAGAAAGGCGGCGAGGGGCAGGGAGGGGAGAAACCAAGCATAGGGGGGCGAGATACGAGGGGCAGGGTGCGGATTGAGGAGGGGCAGGGAGTGGAGTGGGTCGGCGAGGGGAAGGAAGAGGCGTGCAGCAGAGGAGGGGAGGGGGGAGGAGAAGGTAAACGAGGGGAGCGCACGGGCGGGGAGGAGCGAATGGCGGGCGGTTGGGAAACGGCGAGGGGGGCAGGGAGGGTCAAAAGAGGCGGCAAGGAGCGGGCACGCGGAGGGTGGGGGCGGGGGGAGCGTCGATGGCATGAGGAGGCAGGGGGTGTGACTATGAAGGGGGGACCCGGGCAAGGGGTGTGTACCGGTCGGGGCACGGGATTGACGTGGTACGATCATACCTCGGCCTACTACGCCGGATCCCATCAGAACTCCGAAGCTAAGCGCCGGTGGGCGAGAGCAGTACTGGGCTGGGTGACCTCCCGGGAAGTCCTCGTGTTGTACCCATTTATGCCCCTTGCTCGGCACGTGCCGGGGGAGGGGCAAGCGGGAAAAAGAAAGGACGATTTTAGCGCGTCCGATTTTTTTTATTTTCGTTTTTTTTGCCCAAACAACGACTCAGCGGGGTGGGGGCCCCCCGGGGAGGCTTGCCCGTGCGAAGAAACGCCCCGTGCGCACCACCGTTGGGCGGTTGGAAGCCGCACACGGTCGCGGGGGTGGAGAGCGGAAACGGGCAGCCGGGGGAGGGTGGGGGCGGTTGGATGGGACTGGGGTGTACGGGGGCAGGGGAGTTGAGGGGGCAAGGGGAGGGGCAGCAACGGGCAGGGGCTGGGCCAGCTGAGGGCACGGAAAAGGGGCGGGCAGAGGGTGAGCAGAGGGGCGAGCGATGCAAGGGAGGCACCATAGGGGGGAAACCAGTTGCACGGAGGTGGGAGGTGAGGGGCGTGCGAGGGGGTGGGAAAGGGGCAGGGAGGGGCGGAATGGGAGGACGTGGGTGGGGGGTGGGGGAGGGGAGTGTGCGTGTGTGTGTGAGAAAGAGAGAGAGAGAGAGAGAGAGAGAGAGAGGAAAGGGAGGGGGGGAGAGAAGGGTGGGAGGGGGGCTGGTGGTGCGGATGGGCTGATGGTGGCAAGAGGGCAGCAGGGATGGGGAGAAGGGAGCGTAACGAGGGGAACGCAAAGGGCAGGGGGGGAGGAGGGGAGGGGCAGGGAGGGAAGAGGCTGAACGTACAAAGGGGGGAAACGAGGGGCATGGATGGTAGGAAACAAGGGCAGGGGTGCGGGAAATCAAGGGCAGGGAGGGGAGAAGCAATGGGTGAGGGGAAAACAAGGGAGGGGCAGAGGGGGGGCAGGGAGGGAAGAAACGTGGGGCAGGGAGGGGAGAAGCCAAAGACAGGGGCATGGGCAGGCGGGGGCAGGGAGGGAGCAAAGGAGAGGCACGGAGAAAGAAAGGGAGGCGCGGGGAGGGGAGAAACCGGGCGTGGGGGGGCGGAAAATGAGGGGCAGGGCGGGGAGGAGGGAGGGGCAGGGAGGGGAGAAGCTGAGCACACGGAGGGGGGAAAGGTGGGGCAGGGAGGTAGGAAGCCAAGGGCAAGGGGGGGAGAGTGGGGGAGCAGGGAGAGGGGGGAGGTGGGGAGCGGAGAAAGGCGGCGAGGGGCAGGGAGGGGAGAAACCAAGCATAGGGGGGCGAGATACGAGGGGCAGGGTGCGGATTGAGGAGGGGCAGGGAGTGGAGTGGGTCGGCGAGGGGAAGGAAGAGGCGTGCAGCAGAGGAGGGGAGGGGGGAGGAGAAGGTAAACGAGGGGAGCGCACGGGCGGGGAGGAGCGAATGGCGGGCGGTGGGAAACGGCGAGGGGGGCAGGGAGGGTCAAAAGAGGCGGCAAGGGAGCGGGCACGCGGAGGGTGGGGGCGGGGGGGAGCGGGATGGCATGAGGAGGCAGGGGGTGTGACTATGAAGGGGGGACCCGGGCAAGGGGTGTGTACCGGTCGGGGCACGGGATTGACGTGGTACGATCATACCTCGGCTACTACGCCGGATCCCATCAGAACTCCGAAGCTAAGCGCCGGTGGGCGAGAGCAGTACTGGGCTGGGTGACCTCCCGGGAAGTCCTCGTGTTGTACCCATTTATGCCCCTTGCTCGGCACGTGCCGGGGGAGGGGCAAGCGGGAAAAAGAAAGGACGATTTTAGCGCGTCCGATTTTTTTTTATTTTCGTTTTTTTGCCCAAACAACGACTCAGCGGGGTGGGGGCCCCCCGGGGAGGCTTGCCCGTGCGAAGAAACGCCCCGTGCGCACCACCGTTGGGCGGTTGGAAGCCGCACACGGTCGCGGGGGTGGAGAGCGGAAACGGGCAGCCGGGGGAGGGTGGGGGCGGTTGGATGGGACTGGGGTGTACGGGGGGCAGGGGAGTTGAGGGGCAACGGGAGGGGCAGCAACGGGCAGGGGCTGGGCCAGCTGAGGGCACGGAAAAGGGGCGGGCAGAGGGTGAGCAGCGGGGCGAGCGATGCAAGGGAGGCACCATAGGGGGGAAACCAGTTGCACGGAGGTGGGAGGTGAGGGGCGTGCGAGGGGGTGGGAAAGGGGCAGGAGGGGCGGAATGGGAGGACGTGGGTGGGGGGTGGGGGAGGGGAGTGTGCGTGTGTGTGTGAGAAAGAGAGAGAGAGAGAGAGAGAGAGAGAGAGAGGGAAAGGGAGGGGGGGAGAGAAGGGTGGGAGGGGGGCTGGTGGTGCGGATGGGCTGATGGTGGCAAGAGGGCAGCAGGGATGGGGAGAAGGGAGCGTAACGAGGGGAACGCAAAGGGCAGGGGGGGAGGAGGGGAGGGGCAGGGAGGGAAGAGGCTGAACGTACAAAGGGGGGAAACGAGGGGCATGGATGGTAGGAAACAAGGGCAGGGGTGCGGGAAATCAAGGGCAGGGAGGGGAGAAGCAATGGGTGAGGGGAAAACAAGGGAGGGGCAGAGGGGGGGCAGGGAGGGAAGAAACGTGGGGCAGGGAGGGGAGAAGCCAAAGACAGGGGCATGGGCAGGCGGGGGCAGGGAGGGAGCAAAGGAGAGGCACGGAGAAAGAAAGGGAGGCGCGGGGAGGGGAGAAACCGGGCGTGGGGGGGCGGAAAATGAGGGGCAGGGCGGGGAGGAGGGAGGGGCAGGGAGGGGAGAAGCTGAGCACACGGAGGGGGGAAAGGTGGGGCAGGGAGGTAGGAAGCCAAGGGCAAGGGGGGGAGAGTGGGGGAGCAGGGAGAGGGGGGAGGTGGGGAGCGGAGAAAGGCGGCGAGGGGCAGGGAGGGGAGAAACCAAGCATAGGGGGGCGAGATACGAGGGGCAGGGTGCGGATTGAGGAGGGGCAGGGAGTGGAGTGGGTCGGCGAGGGGAAGGAAGAGGCGTGCAGCAGAGGAGGGGAGGGGGGAGGAGAAGGTAAACGAGGGGAGCGCACGGGCGGGGAGGAGCGAATGGCGGGCGGTGGGAAACGGCGAGGGGGGCAGGGAGGGTCAAAAGAGGCGGCAAGGGAGCGGGCACGCGGAGGGTGGGGGCGGGGGGGAGCGGATGGCATGAGGAGGCAGGGGGTGTGACTATGAAGGGGGGACCCGGGCAAGGGGTGTGTACCGGTCGGGGCACGGGATTGACGTGGTACGATCATACCTCGGCTACTACGCCGGATCCCATCAGAACTCCGAAGCTAAGCGCCGGTGGGCGAGAGCAGTACTGGGCTGGGTGACCTCCCGGGAAGTCCTCGTGTTGTACCCATTTATGCCCCTTGCTCGGCACGTGCCGGGGGAGGGGCAAGCGGGAAAAAGAAAGGACGATTTTAGCGCGTCCGATTTTTTTTTATTTTCGTTTTTTTGCCCAAACAACGACTCAGCGGGGTGGGGGCCCCCCGGGGAGGCTTGCCCGTGCGAAGAAACGCCCCGTGCGCACCACCGTTGGGCGGTTGGAAGCCGCACACGGTCGCGGGGGGGGAGAGCGGAAACGGGCAGCCGGGGGAGGGTGGGGGCGGTTGGATGGGACTGGGGTGTACGGGGGGCAGGGGAGTTGAGGGGGCAAGGGGAGGGGCAGCAACGGGCAGGGGCTGGGCCAGCTGAGGGCACGGAAAAGGGGCGGGCAGAGGGTGAGCAGCGGGGCGAGCGATGCAAGGGAGGCACCATAGGGGGGAAACCAGTTGCACGGAGGTGGGAGGTGAGGGGCGTGCGAGGGGGTGGGAAAGGGGCAGGGAGGGGCGGAATGGGAGGACGTGGGTGGGGGGTGGGGGAGGGGAGTGTGCGTGTGTGTGTGAGAAAGAGAGAGAGAGAGAGAGAGAGAGAGAGAGAGAGAGAGAGAGAGAGAGGGAAAGGGAGGGGGGGAGAGAAGGGTGGGAGGGGGGCTGGTGGTGCGGATGGGCTGATGGTGGCAAGAGGGCAGCAGGGATGGGGAGAAGGGAGCGTAACGAGGGGAACGCAAAGGGCAGGGGGGGAGGAGGGGAGGGGCAGGGAGGGAAGAGGCTGAACGTACAAAGGGGGGAAACGAGGGGCATGGATGGTAGGAAACAAGGGCAGGGGTGCGGGAAATCAAGGGCAGGGAGGGGAGAAGCAATGGGTGAGGGGAAAACAAGGGAGGGGCAGAGGGGGGGCAGGGAGGGAAGAAACGTGGGGCAGGGAGGGGAGAAGCCAAAGACAGGGGCATGGGCAGGCGGGGGCAGGGAGGGAGCAAAGGAGAGGCACGGAGAAAGAAAGGGAGGCGCGGGGAGGGGAGAAACCGGGCGTGGGGGGGCGGAAAATGAGGGGCAGGGCGGGGAGGAGGGAGGGGCAGGGAGGGGAGAAGCTGAGCACACGGAGGGGGGAAAGGTGGGGCAGGGAGGTAGGAAGCCAAGGGCAAGGGGGGGAGAGTGGGGGAGCAGGGAGAGGGGGGAGGTGGGGAGCGGAGAAAGGCGGCGAGGGGCAGGGAGGGGAGAAACCAAGCATAGGGGGGCGAGATACGAGGGGCAGGGTGCGGATTGAGGAGGGGCAGGGAGTGGAGTGGGTCGGCGAGGGGAAGGAAGAGGCGTGCAGCAGAGGAGGGGAGGGGGGGAGGAGAAGGTAAACGAGGGGAGCGCACGGGCGGGGAGGAGCGAATGGCGGGCGGTGGGAAACGGCGAGGGGGGCAGGGAGGGTCAAAAGAGGCGGCAAGGGAGCGGGCACGCGGAGGGTGGGGGCGGGGGGGAGCGGATGGCATGAGGAGGCAGGGGGTGTGACTATGAAGGGGGGACCCGGGCAAGGGGTGTGTACCGGTCGGGGCACGGGATTGACGTGGTACGATCATACCTCGGCTACTACGCCGGATCCCATCAGAACTCCGAAGCTAAGCGCCGGTGGGCGAGAGCAGTACTGGGCTGGGTGACCTCCCGGGAAGTCCTCGTGTTGTACCCATTTATGCCCCTTGCTCGGCACGTGCCGGGGGAGGGGCAAGCGGGAAAAAGAAAGGACGATTTTAGCGCGTCCGATTTTTTTTTATTTTCGTTTTTTTTGCCCAAACAACGACTCAGCGGGGTGGGGGCCCCCCGGGGAGGCTTGCCCGTGCGAAGAAACGCCCCGTGCGCACCACCGTTGGGCGGTTGGAAGCCGCACACGGTCGCGGGGGTGGAGAGCGGAAACGGGCAGCCGGGGGAGGGTGGGGGCGGTTGGATGGGACTGGGGTGTACGGGGGGCAGGGGAGTTGAGGGGGCAAGGGGAGGGGCAGCAACGGGCAGGGGCTGGGCCAGCTGAGGGCACGGAAAAGGGGCGGGCAGAGGGTGAGCAGCGGGGCGAGCGATGCAAGGGAGGCACCATAGGGGGGAAACCAGTTGCACGGAGGTGGGAGGTGAGGGGCGTGCGAGGGGGTGGGAAAGGGGCAGGGAGGGGCGGAATGGGAGGACGTGGGTGGGGGGTGGGGGAGGGGAGTGTGCGTGTGTGTGTGAGAAAGAGAGAGAGAGAGAGAGAGAGAGAGAGAGAGAGAGGGAAAGGGAGGGGGGGGAGAGAAGGGTGGGAGGGGGGCTGGTGGTGCGGATGGGCTGATGGTGGCAAGAGGGCAGCAGGGATGGGGAGAAGGGAGCGTAGCGAGGGGAACGCAAAGGGCAGGGGGGGAGGAGGGGAGGGGCAGGGAGGGAAGAGGCTGAACGTACAAAGGGGGGAAACGAGGGGCATGGATGGTAGGAAACAAGGGCAGGGGTGCGGGAAATCAAGGGCAGGGAGGGGAGAAGCAATGGGTGAGGGGAAAACAAGGGAGGGGCAGAGGGGGGGCAGGGAGGGAAGAAACGTGGGGCAGGGAGGGGAGAAGCCAAAGACAGGGGCATGGGCAGGCGGGGGCAGGGAGGGAGCAAAGGAGAGGCACGGAGAAAGAAAGGGAGGCGCGGGGAGGGGAGAAACCGGGCGTGGGGGGGCGGAAAATGAGGGGCAGGGCGGGGAGGAGGGAGGGGCAGGGAGGGGAGAAGCTGAGCACACGGAGGGGGGAAAGGTGGGGCAGGGAGGTAGGAAGCCAAGGGCAAGGGGGGGAGAGTGGGGGAGCAGGGAGAGGGGGGAGGTGGGGAGCGGAGAAAGGCGGCGAGGGGCAGGGAGGGGAGAAACCAAGCATAGGGGGGCGAGATACGAGGGGCAGGGTGCGGATTGAGGAGGGGCAGGGAGTGGAGTGGGTCGGCGAGGGGAAGGAAGAGGCGTGCAGCAGAGGAGGGAGGGGGGAGGAGAAGGTAAACGAGGGGAGCGCACGGGCGGGGAGGAGCGAATGGCGGGCGGTGGGAAACGGCGAGGGGGGCAGGGAGGGTCAAAAGAGGCGGCAAGGGAGCGGGCACGCGGAGGGTGGGGGCGGGGGGGAGCGGATGGCATGAGGAGGCAGGGGGTGTGACTATGAAGGGGGGACCCGGGCAAGGGGTGTGTACCGGTCGGGGCACGGGATTGACGTGGTACGATCATACCTCGGCTACTACGCCGGATCCCATCAGAACTCCGAAGCTAAGCGCCGGTGGGCGAGAGCAGTACTGGGCTGGGTGACCTCCCGGGAAGTCCTCGTGTTGTACCCATTTATGCCCCTTGCTCGGCACGTGCCGGGGGAGGGGCAAGCGGGAAAAAGAAAGGACGATTTTAGCGCGTCCGATTTTTTTTATTTTCGTTTTTTTGCCCAAACAACGACTCAGCGGGGTGGGGGCCCCCCGGGGAGGCTTGCCCGTGCGAAGAAACGCCCCGTGCGCACCACCGTTGGGCGGTTGGAAGCCGCACACGGTCGCGGGGGTGGAGAGCGGAAACGGGCAGCCGGGGGAGGGTGGGGGCGGTTGGATGGGACTGGGGTGTACGGGGGGCAGGGGAGTTGAGGGGGCAAGGGGAGGGGCAGCAACGGGCAGGGGCTGGGCCAGCTGAGGGCACGGAAAAGGGGCGGGCAGAGGGTGAGCAGCGGGGCGAGCGATGCAAGGGAGGCACCATAGGGGGGAAACCAGTTGCACGGAGGTGGGAGGTGAGGGGCGTGCGAGGGGGTGGGAAAGGGGCAGGGAGGGGCGGAATGGGAGGACGTGGGTGGGGGGTGGGGGAGGGGAGTGTGCGTGTGTGTGTGAGAAAGAGAGAGAGAGAGAGAGAGAGGGAAAGGGAGGGGGGGAGAGAAGGGTGGGAGGGGGGCTGGTGGTGCGGATGGGCTGATGGTGGCAAGAGGGCAGCAGGGATGGGGAGAAGGGAGCGTAGCGAGGGGAACGCAAAGGGCAGGGGGGGAGGAGGGGAGGGGCAGGGAGGGAAGAGGCTGAACGTACAAAGGGGGGAAACGAGGGGCATGGATGGTAGGAAACAAGGGCAGGGGTGCGGGAAATCAAGGGCAGGGAGGGGAGAAGCAATGGGTGAGGGGAAAACAAGGGAGGGGCAGAGGGGGGGCAGGGAGGGAAGAAACGTGGGGCAGGGAGGGGAGAAGCCAAAGACAGGGGCATGGGCAGGCGGGGGCAGGGAGGGAGCAAAGGAGAGGCACGGAGAAAGAAAGGGAGGCGCGGGGAGGGGAGAAACCGGGCGTGGGGGGGCGGAAAATGAGGGGCAGGGCGGGGAGGAGGGAGGGGCAGGGAGGGGAGAAGCTGAGCACACGGAGGGGGGAAAGGTGGGGCAGGGAGGTAGGAAGCCAAGGGCAAGGGGGGGAGAGTGGGGGAGCAGGGAGAGGGGGGAGGTGGGGAGCGGAGAAAGGCGGCGAGGGGCAGGGAGGGGAGAAACCAAGCATAGGGGGGCGAGATACGAGGGGCAGGGTGCGGATTGAGGAGGGGCAGGGAGTGGAGTGGGTCGGCGAGGGGAAGGAAGAGGCGTGCAGCAGAGGAGGGAAGGGGGGAGGAGAAGGTAAACGAGGGGAGCGCACGGGCGGGGAGGAGCGAATGGCGGGCGGTGGGAAACGGCGAGGGGGGCAGGGAGGGTCAAAAGAGGCGGCAAGGGAGCGGGCACGCGGAGGGTGGGGGCGGGGGGGAGCGGATGGCATGAGGAGGCAGGGGGTGTGACTATGAAGGGGGGACCCGGGCAAGGGGTGTGTACCGGTCGGGGCACGGGATTGACGTGGTACGATCATACCTCGGCTACTACGCCGGATCCCATCAGAACTCCGAAGCTAAGCGCCGGTGGGCGAGAGCAGTACTGGGCTGGGTGACCTCCCGGGAAGTCCTCGTGTTGTACCCATTTATGCCCCTTGCTCGGCACGTGCCGGGGGAGGGGCAAGCGGGAAAAAGAAAGGACGATTTTAGCGCGTCCGATTTTTTTTTATTTTCGTTTTTTTGCCCAAACAACGACTCAGCGGGGTGGGGGCCCCCCGGGGAGGCTTGCCCGTGCGAAGAAACGCCCCGTGCGCACCACCGTTGGGCGGTTGGAAGCCGCACACGGTCGCGGGGGTGGAGAGCGGAAACGGGCAGCCGGGGGAGGGTGGGGGCGGTTGGATGGGACTGGGGTGTACGGGGGGCAGGGGAGTTGAGGGGGCAAGGGGAGGGGCAGCAACGGGCAGGGGCTGGGCCAGCTGAGGGCACGGAAAAGGGGCGGGCAGAGGGTGAGCAGAGGGGCGAGCGATGCAAGGGAGGCACCATAGGGGGGAAACCAGTTGCACGGAGGTGGGAGGTGAGGGGCGTGCGAGGGGGTGGGAAAGGGGCAGGGAGGGGCGGAATGGGAGGACGTGGGTGGGGGGTGGGGGAGGGGAGTGTGCGTGTGTGTGTGAGAAAGAGAGAGAGAGAGAGAGAGAGAGAGGGAAAGGGAGGGGGGGAGAGAAGGGTGGGAGGGGGGCTGGTGGTGCGGATGGGCTGATGGTGGCAAGAGGGCAGCAGGGATGGGGAGAAGGGAGCGTAGCGAGGGGAACGCAAAGGGCAGGGGGGGAGGAGGGGAGGGGCAGGGAGGGAAGAGGCTGAACGTACAAAGGGGGGAAACGAGGGGCATGGATGGTAGGAAACAAGGGCAGGGGTGCGGGAAATCAAGGGCAGGGAGGGGAGAAGCAATGGGTGAGGGGAAAACAAGGGAGGGGCAGAGGGGGGGCAGGGAGGGAAGAAACGTGGGGCAGGGAGGGGAGAAGCCAAAGACAGGGGCATGGGCAGGCGGGGGCAGGGAGGGAGCAAAGGAGAGGCACGGAGAAAGAAAGGGAGGCGCGGGGAGGGGAGAAACCGGGCGTGGGGGGGCGGAAAATGAGGGGCAGGGCGGGGAGGAGGGAGGGGCAGGGAGGGGAGAAGCTGAGCACACGGAGGGGGGAAAGGTGGGGCAGGGAGGTAGGAAGCCAAGGGCAAGGGGGGGAGAGTGGGGGAGCAGGGAGAGGGGGGAGGTGGGGAGCGGAGAAAGGCGGCGAGGGGCAGGGAGGGGAGAAACCAAGCATAGGGGGGCGAGATACGAGGGGCAGGGTGCGGATTGAGGAGGGGCAGGGAGTGGAGTGGGTCGGCGAGGGGAAGGAAGAGGCGTGCAGCAGAGGAGGGGAGGGGGGAGGAGAAGGTAAACGAGGGGAGCGCACGGGCGGGGAGGAGCGAATGGCGGGCGGTGGGAAACGGCGAGGGGGGCAGGGAGGGTCAAAAGAGGCGGCAAGGGAGCGGGCACGCGGAGGGTGGGGGCGGGGGGGAGCGGATGGCATGAGGAGGCAGGGGGTGTGACTATGAAGGGGGGACCCGGGCAAGGGGTGTGTACCGGTCGGGGCACGGGATTGACGTGGTACGATCATACCTCGGCTACTACGCCGGATCCCATCAGAACTCCGAAGCTAAGCGCCGGTGGGCGAGAGCAGTACTGGGCTGGGTGACCTCCCGGGAAGTCCTCGTGTTGTACCCATTTATGCCCCTTGCTCGGCACGTGCCGGGGGAGGGGCAAGCGGGAAAAAGAAAGGACGATTTTAGCGCGTCCGATTTTTTTTTATTTTCGTTTTTTTTGCCCAAACAACGACTCAGCGGGGTGGGGGCCCCCCGGGGAGGCTTGCCCGTGCGAAGAAACGCCCCGTGCGCACCACCGTTGGGCGGTTGGAAGCCGCACACGGTCGCGGGGGTGGAGAGCGGAAACGGGCAGCCGGGGGAGGGTGGGGGCGGTTGGATGGGACTGGGGTGTACGGGGGGCAGGGGAGTTGAGGGGGCAAGGGGAGGGGCAGCAACGGGCAGGGGCTGGGCCAGCTGAGGGCACGGAAAAGGGGCGGGCAGAGGGTGAGCAGCGGGGCGAGCGATGCAAGGGAGGCACCATAGGGGGGAAACCAGTTGCACGGAGGTGGGAGGTGAGGGGCGTGCGAGGGGGTGGGAAAGGGGCAGGGAGGGGCGGAATGGGAGGACGTGGGTGGGGGGTGGGGGAGGGGAGTGTGCGTGTGTGTGTGAGAAAGAGAGAGAGAGAGAGAGAGAGAGAGAGAGAGAGAGGGAAAGGGAGGGGGGGAGAGAAGGGTGGGAGGGGGGCTGGTGGTGCGGATGGGCTGATGGTGGCAAGAGGGCAGCAGGGATGGGGAGAAGGGAGCGTAACGAGGGGAACGCAAAGGGCAGGGGGGGAGGAGGGGAGGGGCAGGGAGGGAAGAGGCTGAACGTACAAAGGGGGGAAACGAGGGGCATGGATGGTAGGAAACAAGGGCAGGGGTGCGGGAAATCAAGGGCAGGGAGGGGAGAAGCAATGGGTGAGGGGAAAACAAGGGAGGGGCAGAGGGGGGGCAGGGAGGGAAGAAACGTGGGGCAGGGAGGGGAGAAGCCAAAGACAGGGGCATGGGCAGGCGGGGGCAGGGAGGGAGCAAAGGAGAGGCACGGAGAAAGAAAGGGAGGCGCGGGGAGGGGAGAAACCGGGCGTGGGGGGGCGGAAAATGAGGGGCAGGGCGGGGAGGAGGGAGGGGCAGGGAGGGGAGAAGCTGAGCACACGGAGGGGGGAAAGGTGGGGCAGGGAGGTAGGAAGCCAAGGGCAAGGGGGGGAGAGTGGGGGAGCAGGGAGAGGGGGGAGGTGGGGAGCGGAGAAAGGCGGCGAGGGGCAGGGAGGGGAGAAACCAAGCATAGGGGGGCGAGATACGAGGGGCAGGGTGCGGATTGAGGAGGGGCAGGGAGTGGAGTGGGTCGGCGAGGGGAAGGAAGAGGCGTGCAGCAGAGGAGGGGAGGGGGGAGGAGAAGGTAAACGAGGGGAGCGCACGGGCGGGGAGGAGCGAATGGCGGGCGGTGGGAAACGGCGAGGGGGGCAGGGAGGGTCAAAAGAGGCGGCAAGGGAGCGGGCACGCGGAGGGTGGGGGCGGGGGGGAGCGGATGGCATGAGGAGGCAGGGGGTGTGACTATGAAGGGGGGACCCGGGCAAGGGGTGTGTACCGGTCGGGGCACGGGATTGACGTGGTACGATCATACCTCGGCTACTACGCCGGATCCCATCAGAACTCCGAAGCTAAGCGCCGGTGGGCGAGAGCAGTACTGGGCTGGGTGACCTCCCGGGAAGTCCTCGTGTTGTACCCATTTATGCCCCTTGCTCGGCACGTGCCGGGGGAGGGGCAAGCGGGAAAAAGAAAGGACGATTTTAGCGCGTCCGATTTTTTTTTATTTTCGTTTTTTTGCCCAAACAACGACTCAGCGGGGTGGGGGCCCCCCGGGGAGGCTTGCCCGTGCGAAGAAACGCCCCGTGCGCACCACCGTTGGGCGGTTGGAAGCCGCACACGGTCGCGGGGGTGGAGAGCGGAAACGGGCAGCCGGGGGAGGGTGGGGGCGGTTGGATGGGACTGGGGTGTACGGGGGGCAGGGGAGTTGAGGGGGCAAGGGGAGGGGCAGCAACGGGCAGGGGCTGGGCCAGCTGAGGGCACGGAAAAGGGGCGGGCAGAGGGTGAGCAGCGGGGCGAGCGATGCAAGGGAGGCACCATAGGGGGGAAACCAGTTGCACGGAGGTGGGAGGTGAGGGGCGTGCGAGGGGGTGGGAAAGGGGCAGGGAGGGGCGGAATGGGAGGACGTGGGTGGGGGGTGGGGGAGGGGAGTGTGCGTGTGTGTGTGAGAAAGAGAGAGAGAGAGAGAGAGAGAGAGAGAGAGAGAGAGGGAAAGGGAGGGGGGGAGAGAAGGGTGGGAGGGGGGCTGGTGGTGCGGATGGGCTGATGGTGGCAAGAGGGCAGCAGGGATGGGGAGAAGGGAGCGTAACGAGGGGAACGCAAAGGGCAGGGGGGGAGGAGGGGAGGGGCAGGGAGGGAAGAGGCTGAACGTACAAAGGGGGGAAACGAGGGGCATGGATGGTAGGAAACAAGGGCAGGGGTGCGGGAAATCAAGGGCAGGGAGGGGAGAAGCAATGGGTGAGGGGAAAACAAGGGAGGGGCAGAGGGGGGGCAGGGAGGGAAGAAACGTGGGGCAGGGAGGGGAGAAGCCAAAGACAGGGGCATGGGCAGGCGGGGGCAGGGAGGGAGCAAAGGAGAGGCACGGAGAAAGAAAGGGAGGCGCGGGGAGGGGAGAAACCGGGCGTGGGGGGGCGGAAAATGAGGGGCAGGGCGGGGAGGAGGGAGGGGCAGGGAGGGGAGAAGCTGAGCACACGGAGGGGGGAAAGGTGGGGCAGGGAGGTAGGAAGCCAAGGGCAAGGGGGGGAGAGTGGGGGAGCAGGGAGAGGGGGGAGGTGGGGAGCGGAGAAAGGCGGCGAGGGGCAGGGAGGGGAGAAACCAAGCATAGGGGGGCGAGATACGAGGGGCAGGGTGCGGATTGAGGAGGGGCAGGGAGTGGAGTGGGTCGGCGAGGGGAAGGAAGAGGCGTGCAGCAGAGGAGGGGAGGGGGGAGGAGAAGGTAAACGAGGGGAGCGCACGGGCGGGGAGGAGCGAATGGCGGGCGGTGGGAAACGGCGAGGGGGGCAGGGAGGGTCAAAAGAGGCGGCAAGGGAGCGGGCACGCGGAGGGTGGGGGCGGGGGGGAGCGGATGGCATGAGGAGGCAGGGGGTGTGACTATGAAGGGGGGACCCGGGCAAGGGGTGTGTACCGGTCGGGGCACGGGATTGACGTGGTACGATCATACCTCGGCTACTACGCCGGATCCCATCAGAACTCCGAAGCTAAGCGCCGGTGGGCGAGAGCAGTACTGGGCTGGGTGACCTCCCGGGAAGTCCTCGTGTTGTACCCATTTATGCCCCTTGCTCGGCACGTGCCGGGGGAGGGGCAAGCGGGAAAAAGAAAGGACGATTTTAGCGCGTCCGATTTTTTTTTATTTTCGTTTTTTTTGCCCAAACAACGACTCAGCGGGGTGGGGGCCCCCCGGGGAGGCTTGCCCGTGCGAAGAAACGCCCCGTGCGCACCACCGTTGGGCGGTTGGAAGCCGCACACGGTCGCGGGGGTGGAGAGCGGAAACGGGCAGCCGGGGGAGGGTGGGGGCGGTTGGATGGGACTGGGGTGTACGGGGGGCAGGGGAGTTGAGGGGGCAAGGGGAGGGGCAGCAACGGGCAGGGGCTGGGCCAGCTGAGGGCACGGAAAAGGGGCGGGCAGAGGGTGAGCAGCGGGGCGAGCGATGCAAGGGAGGCACCATAGGGGGGAAACCAGTTGCACGGAGGTGGGAGGTGAGGGGCGTGCGAGGGGGTGGGAAAGGGGCAGGGAGGGGCGGAATGGGAGGACGTGGGTGGGGGGTGGGGGAGGGGAGTGTGCGTGTGTGTGTGAGAGAGAGAGAGAGAGAGAGAGAGAGGGAAAGGGAGGGGGGGAGAGAAGGGTGGGAGGGGGGCTGGTGGTGCGGATGGGCTGATGGTGGCAAGAGGGCAGCAGGGATGGGGAGAAGGGAGCGTAGCGAGGGGAACGCAAAGGGCAGGGGGGGAGGAGGGGAGGGGCAGGGAGGGAAGAGGCTGAACGTACAAAGGGGGGAAACGAGGGGCATGGATGGTAGGAAACAAGGGCAGGGGTGCGGGAAATCAAGGGCAGGGAGGGGAGAAGCAATGGGTGAGGGGAAAACAAGGGAGGGGCAGAGGGGGGGCAGGGAGGGAAGAAACGTGGGGCAGGGAGGGGAGAAGCCAAAGACAGGGGCATGGGCAGGCGGGGGCAGGGAGGGAGCAAAGGAGAGGCACGGAGAAAGAAAGGGAGGCGCGGGGAGGGGAGAAACCGGGCGTGGGGGGGCGGAAAATGAGGGGCAGGGCGGGGAGGAGGGAGGGGCAGGGAGGGGAGAAGCTGAGCACACGGAGGGGGGAAAGGTGGGGCAGGGAGGTAGGAAGCCAAGGGCAAGGGGGGGAGAGTGGGGGAGCAGGGAGAGGGGGGAGGTGGGGAGCGGAGAAAGGCGGCGAGGGGCAGGGAGGGGAGAAACCAAGCATAGGGGGGCGAGATACGAGGGGCAGGGTGCGGATTGAGGAGGGGCAGGGAGTGGAGTGGGTCGGCGAGGGGAAGGAAGAGGCGTGCAGCAGAGGAGGGGAGGGGGGAGGAGAAGGTAAACGAGGGGAGCGCACGGGCGGGGAGGAGCGAATGGCGGGCGGTGGGAAACGGCGAGGGGGGCAGGGAGGGTCAAAAGAGGCGGCAAGGGAGCGGGCACGCGGAGGGTGGGGGCGGGGGGGAGCGGATGGCATGAGGAGGCAGGGGGTGTGACTATGAAGGGGGGACCCGGGCAAGGGGTGTGTACCGGTCGGGGCACGGGATTGACGTGGTACGATCATACCTCGGCTACTACGCCGGATCCCATCAGAACTCCGAAGCTAAGCGCCGGTGGGCGAGAGCAGTACTGGGCTGGGTGACCTCCCGGGAAGTCCTCGTGTTGTACCCATTTATGCCCCTTGCTCGGCACGTGCCGGGGGAGGGGCAAGCGGGAAAAAGAAAGGACGATTTTAGCGCGTCCGATTTTTTTTTATTTTCGTTTTTTTGCCCAAACAACGACTCAGCGGGGTGGGGGCCCCCCGGGGAGGCTTGCCCGTGCGAAGAAACGCCCCGTGCGCACCACCGTTGGGCGGTTGGAAGCCGCACACGGTCGCGGGGGTGGAGAGCGGAAACGGGCAGCCGGGGGAGGGTGGGGGCGGTTGGATGGGACTGGGGTGTACGGGGGGCAGGGGAGTTGAGGGGGCAAGGGGAGGGGCAGCAACGGGCAGGGGCTGGGCCAGCTGAGGGCACGGAAAAGGGGCGGGCAGAGGGTGAGCAGCGGGGCGAGCGATGCAAGGGAGGCACCATAGGGGGGAAACCAGTTGCACGGAGGTGGGAGGTGAGGGGCGTGCGAGGGGGTGGGAAAGGGGCAGGGAGGGGCGGAATGGGAGGACGTGGGTGGGGGGTGGGGGAGGGGAGTGTGCGTGTGTGTGTGAGAAAGAGAGAGAGAGAGAGAGAGAGAGAGAGGGAAAGGGAGGGGGGGAGAGAAGGGTGGGAGGGGGGCTGGTGGTGCGGATGGGCTGATGGTGGCAAGAGGGCAGCAGGGATGGGGAGAAGGGAGCGTAGCGAGGGGAACGCAAAGGGCAGGGGGGGAGGAGGGGAGGGGCAGGGAGGGAAGAGGCTGAACGTACAAAGGGGGGAAACGAGGGGCATGGATGGTAGGAAACAAGGGCAGGGGTGCGGGAAATCAAGGGCAGGGAGGGGAGAAGCAATGGGTGAGGGGAAAACAAGGGAGGGGCAGAGGGGGGGCAGGGAGGGAAGAAACGTGGGGCAGGGAGGGGAGAAGCCAAAGACAGGGGCATGGGCAGGCGGGGGCAGGGAGGGAGCAAAGGAGAGGCACGGAGAAAGAAAGGGAGGCGCGGGGAGGGGAGAAACCGGGCGTGGGGGGGCGGAAAATGAGGGGCAGGGCGGGGAGGAGGGAGGGGCAGGGAGGGGAGAAGCTGAGCACACGGAGGGGGGAAAGGTGGGGCAGGGAGGTAGGAAGCCAAGGGCAAGGGGGGGAGAGTGGGGGAGCAGGGAGAGGGGGGAGGTGGGGAGCGGAGAAAGGCGGCGAGGGGCAGGGAGGGGAGAAACCAAGCATAGGGGGGCGAGATACGAGGGGCAGGGTGCGGATTGAGGAGGGGCAGGGAGTGGAGTGGGTCGGCGAGGGGAAGGAAGAGGCGTGCAGCAGAGGAGGGGAAGGGGGGAGGAGAAGGTAAACGAGGGGAGCGCACGGGCGGGGAGGAGCGAATGGCGGGCGGTGGGAAACGGCGAGGGGGGCAGGGAGGGTCAAAAGAGGCGGCAAGGGAGCGGGCACGCGGAGGGTGGGGGCGGGGGGGAGCGGATGGCATGAGGAGGCAGGGGGTGTGACTATGAAGGGGGGACCCGGGCAAGGGGTGTGTACCGGTCGGGGCACGGGATTGACGTGGTACGATCATACCTCGGCTACTACGCCGGATCCCATCAGAACTCCGAAGCTAAGCGCCGGTGGGCGAGAGCAGTACTGGGCTGGGTGACCTCCCGGGAAGTCCTCGTGTTGTACCCATTTATGCCCCTTGCTCGGCACGTGCCGGGGGAGGGGCAAGCGGGAAAAAGAAAGGACGATTTTAGCGCGTCCGATTTTTTTTATTTTCGTTTTTTTTGCCCAAACAACGACTCAGCGGGGTGGGGGCCCCCCGGGGAGGCTTGCCCGTGCGAAGAAACGCCCCGTGCGCACCACCGTTGGGCGGTTGGAAGCCGCACACGGTCGCGGGGGTGGAGAGCGGAAACGGGCAGCCGGGGGAGGGTGGGGGCGGTTGGATGGGACTGGGGTGTACGGGGGCAGGGGAGTTGAGGGGGCAAGGGGAGGGGCAGCAACGGGCAGGGGCTGGGCCAGCTGAGGGCACGGAAAAGGGGCGGGCAGAGGGTGAGCAGCGGGGCGAGCGATGCAAGGGAGGCACCATAGGGGGGAAACCAGTTGCACGGAGGTGGGAGGTGAGGGGCGTGCGAGGGGGTGGGAAAGGGGCAGGGAGGGGCGGAATGGGAGGACGTGGGTGGGGGGTGGGGGAGGGGAGTGTGCGTGTGTGTGTGAGAAAGAGAGAGAGAGAGAGAGAGAGAGAGAGAGGGAAAGGGAGGGGGGGAGAGAAGGGTGGGAGGGGGGCTGGTGGTGCGGATGGGCTGATGGTGGCAAGAGGGCAGCAGGGATGGGGAGAAGGGAGCGTAGCGAGGGGAACGCAAAGGGCAGGGGGGGAGGAGGGGAGGGGCAGGGAGGGAAGAGGCTGAACGTACAAAGGGGGGAAACGAGGGGCATGGATGGTAGGAAACAAGGGCAGGGGTGCGGGAAATCAAGGGCAGGGAGGGGAGAAGCAATGGGTGAGGGGAAAACAAGGGAGGGGCAGAGGGGGGGCAGGGAGGGAAGAAACGTGGGGCAGGGAGGGGAGAAGCCAAAGACAGGGGCATGGGCAGGCGGGGGCAGGGAGGGAGCAAAGGAGAGGCACGGAGAAAGAAAGGGAGGCGCGGGGAGGGGAGAAACCGGGCGTGGGGGGGCGGAAAATGAGGGGCAGGGCGGGGAGGAGGGAGGGGCAGGGAGGGGAGAAGCTGAGCACACGGAGGGGGGAAAGGTGGGGCAGGGAGGTAGGAAGCCAAGGGCAAGGGGGGGAGAGTGGGGGAGCAGGGAGAGGGGGGAGGTGGGGAGCGGAGAAAGGCGGCGAGGGGCAGGGAGGGGAGAAACCAAGCATAGGGGGGCGAGATACGAGGGGCAGGGTGCGGATTGAGGAGGGGCAGGGAGTGGAGTGGGTCGGCGAGGGGAAGGAAGAGGCGTGCAGCAGAGGAGGGGAAGGGGGGAGGAGAAGGTAAACGAGGGGAGCGCACGGGCGGGGAGGAGCGAATGGCGGGCGGTGGGAAACGGCGAGGGGGGCAGGGAGGGTCAAAAGAGGCGGCAAGGGAGCGGGCACGCGGAGGGTGGGGGCGGGGGGGAGCGGATGGCATGAGGAGGCAGGGGGTGTGACTATGAAGGGGGGACCCGGGCAAGGGGTGTGTACCGGTCGGGGCACGGGATTGACGTGGTACGATCATACCTCGGCTACTACGCCGGATCCCATCAGAACTCCGAAGCTAAGCGCCGGTGGGCGAGAGCAGTACTGGGCTGGGTGACCTCCCGGGAAGTCCTCGTGTTGTACCCATTTATGCCCCTTGCTCGGCACGTGCCGGGGGAGGGGCAAGCGGGAAAAAGAAAGGACGATTTTAGCGCGTCCGATTTTTTTTTATTTTCGTTTTTTTTGCCCAAACAACGACTCAGCGGGGTGGGGGCCCCCCGGGGAGGCTTGCCCGTGCGAAGAAACGCCCCGTGCGCACCACCGTTGGGCGGTTGGAAGCCGCACACGGTCGCGGGGGTGGAGAGCGGAAACGGGCAGCCGGGGGAGGGTGGGGGCGGTTGGATGGGACTGGGGTGTACGGGGGGCAGGGGAGTTGAGGGGGCAAGGGGAGGGGCAGCAACGGGCAGGGGCTGGGCCAGCTGAGGGCACGGAAAAGGGGCGGGCAGAGGGTGAGCAGCGGGGCGAGCGATGCAAGGGAGGCACCATAGGGGGGAAACCAGTTGCACGGAGGTGGGAGGTGAGGGGCGTGCGAGGGGGTGGGAAAGGGGCAGGGAGGGGCGGAATGGGAGGACGTGGGTGGGGGGTGGGGGAGGGGAGTGTGCGTGTGTGTGTGAGAAAGAGAGAGAGAGAGAGAGAGAGAGAGAGAGAGAGAGAGGGAAGGGAGGGGGGAGAGAAGGGTGGGAGGGGGGCTGGTGGTGCGGATGGGCTGATGGTGGCAAGAGGGCAGCAGGGATGGGGAGAAGGGAGCGTAACGAGGGGAACGCAAAGGGCAGGGGGGGAGGAGGGGAGGGGCAGGGAGGGAAGAGGCTGAACGTACAAAGGGGGGAAACGAGGGGCATGGATGGTAGGAAACAAGGGCAGGGGTGCGGGAAATCAAGGGCAGGGAGGGGAGAAGCAATGGGTGAGGGGAAAACAAGGGAGGGGCAGAGGGGGGGCAGGGAGGGAAGAAACGTGGGGCAGGGAGGGGAGAAGCCAAAGACAGGGGCATGGGCAGGCGGGGGCAGGGAGGGAGCAAAGGAGAGGCACGGAGAAAGAAAGGGAGGCGCGGGGAGGGGAGAAACCGGGCGTGGGGGGGCGGAAAATGAGGGGCAGGGCGGGGAGGAGGGAGGGGCAGGGAGGGGAGAAGCTGAGCACACGGAGGGGGGAAAGGTGGGGCAGGGAGGTAGGAAGCCAAGGGCAAGGGGGGGAGAGTGGGGGAGCAGGGAGAGGGGGGAGGTGGGGAGCGGAGAAAGGCGGCGAGGGGCAGGGAGGGGAGAAACCAAGCATAGGGGGGCGAGATACGAGGGGCAGGGTGCGGATTGAGGAGGGGCAGGGAGTGGAGTGGGTCGGCGAGGGGAAGGAAGAGGCGTGCAGCAGAGGAGGGGAGGGGGGAGGAGAAGGTAAACGAGGGGAGCGCACGGGCGGGGAGGAGCGAATGGCGGGCGGTGGGAAACGGCGAGGGGGGCAGGGAGGGTCAAAAGAGGCGGCAAGGGAGCGGGCACGCGGAGGGTGGGGGCGGGGGGGAGCGGATGGCATGAGGAGGCAGGGGGTGTGACTATGAAGGGGGGACCCGGGCAAGGGGTGTGTACCGGTCGGGGCACGGGATTGACGTGGTACGATCATACCTCGGCTACTACGCCGGATCCCATCAGAACTCCGAAGCTAAGCGCCGGTGGGCGAGAGCAGTACTGGGCTGGGTGACCTCCCGGGAAGTCCTCGTGTTGTACCCATTTATGCCCCTTGCTCGGCACGTGCCGGGGGAGGGGCAAGCGGGAAAAAGAAAGGACGATTTTAGCGCGTCCGATTTTTTTTTTATTTTCGTTTTTTTTGCCCAAACAACGACTCAGCGGGGTGGGGGCCCCCCGGGGAGGCTTGCCCGTGCGAAGAAACGCCCCGTGCGCACCACCGTTGGGCGGTTGGAAGCCGCACACGGTCGCGGGGGTGGAGAGCGGAAACGGGCAGCCGGGGGAGGGTGGGGGCGGTTGGATGGGACTGGGGTGTACGGGGGGCAGGGGAGTTGAGGGGGCAAGGGGAGGGGCAGCAACGGGCAGGGGCTGGGCCAGCTGAGGGCACGGAAAAGGGGCGGGCAGAGGGTGAGCAGCGGGGCGAGCGATGCAAGGGAGGCACCATAGGGGGGAAACCAGTTGCACGGAGGTGGGAGGTGAGGGGCGTGCGAGGGGGTGGGAAAGGGGCAGGGAGGGGCGGAATGGGAGGACGTGGGTGGGGGGTGGGGGAGGGGAGTGTGCGTGTGTGTGTGAGAAAGAGAGAGAGAGAGAGAGAGAGAGAGAGAGAGAGAGGAAGGGAGGGGGGGAGAGAAGGGTGGGAGGGGGGCTGGTGGTGCGGATGGGCTGATGGTGGCAAGAGGGCAGCAGGGATGGGGAGAAGGGAGCGTAGCGAGGGGAACGCAAAGGGCAGGGGGGGAGGAGGGGAGGGGCAGGGAGGGAAGAGGCTGAACGTACAAAGGGGGGAAACGAGGGGCATGGATGGTAGGAAACAAGGGCAGGGGTGCGGGAAATCAAGGGCAGGGAGGGGAGAAGCAATGGGTGAGGGGAAAACAAGGGAGGGGCAGAGGGGGGGCAGGGAGGGAAGAAACGTGGGGCAGGGAGGGGAGAAGCCAAAGACAGGGGCATGGGCAGGCGGGGGCAGGGAGGGAGCAAAGGAGAGGCACGGAGAAAGAAAGGGAGGCGCGGGGAGGGGAGAAACCGGGCGTGGGGGGGCGGAAAATGAGGGGCAGGGCGGGGAGGAGGGAGGGGCAGGGAGGGGAGAAGCTGAGCACACGGAGGGGGGAAAGGTGGGGCAGGGAGGTAGGAAGCCAAGGGCAAGGGGGGGAGAGTGGGGGAGCAGGGAGAGGGGGGAGGTGGGGAGCGGAGAAAGGCGGCGAGGGGCAGGGAGGGGAGAAACCAAGCATAGGGGGGCGAGATACGAGGGGCAGGGTGCGGATTGAGGAGGGGCAGGGAGTGGAGTGGGTCGGCGAGGGGAAGGAAGAGGCGTGCAGCAGAGGAGGGAAGGGGGGAGGAGAAGGTAAACGAGGGGAGCGCACGGGCGGGGAGGAGCGAATGGCGGGCGGTGGGAAACGGCGAGGGGGGCAGGGAGGGTCAAAAGAGGCGGCAAGGGAGCGGGCACGCGGAGGGTGGGGGCGGGGGGGAGCGGATGGCATGAGGAGGCAGGGGGTGTGACTATGAAGGGGGGACCCGGGCAAGGGGTGTGTACCGGTCGGGGCACGGGATTGACGTGGTACGATCATACCTCGGCTACTACGCCGGATCCCATCAGAACTCCGAAGCTAAGCGCCGGTGGGCGAGAGCAGTACTGGGCTGGGTGACCTCCCGGGAAGTCCTCGTGTTGTACCCATTTATGCCCCTTGCTCGGCACGTGCCGGGGGAGGGGCAAGCGGGAAAAAGAAAGGACGATTTTAGCGCGTCCGATTTTTTTTTATTTTCGTTTTTTTTGCCCAAACAACGACTCAGCGGGGTGGGGGCCCCCCGGGGAGGCTTGCCCGTGCGAAGAAACGCCCCGTGCGCACCACCGTTGGGCGGTTGGAAGCCGCACACGGTCGCGGGGGTGGAGAGCGGAAACGGGCAGCCGGGGGAGGGTGGGGGCGGTTGGATGGGACTGGGGTGTACGGGGGGCAGGGGAGTTGAGGGGGCAACGGGGAGGGGCAGCAACGGGCAGGGGCTGGGCCAGCTGAGGGCACGGAAAAGGGGCGGGCAGAGGGTGAGCAGCGGGGCGAGCGATGCAAGGGAGGCACCATAGGGGGGAAACCAGTTGCACGGAGGTGGGAGGTGAGGGGCGTGCGAGGGGGTGGGAAAGGGGCAGGGAGGGGCGGAATGGGAGGACGTGGGTGGGGGGTGGGGGAGGGGAGTGTGCGTGTGTGTGTGAGAAAGAGAGAGAGAGAGAGAGAGAGAGGGAAAGGGAGGGGGGGAGAGAAGGGTGGGAGGGGGGCTGGTGGTGCGGATGGGCTGATGGTGGCAAGAGGGCAGCAGGGATGGGGAGAAGGGAGCGTAGCGAGGGGAACGCAAAGGGCAGGGGGGGAGGAGGGGAGGGGCAGGGAGGGAAGAGGCTGAACGTACAAAGGGGGGAAACGAGGGGCATGGATGGTAGGAAACAAGGGCAGGGGTGCGGGAAATCAAGGGCAGGGAGGGGAGAAGCAATGGGTGAGGGGAAAACAAGGGAGGGGCAGAGGGGGGGCAGGGAGGGAAGAAACGTGGGGCAGGGAGGGGAGAAGCCAAAGACAGGGGCATGGGCAGGCGGGGGCAGGGAGGGAGCAAAGGAGAGGCACGGAGAAAGAAAGGGAGGCGCGGGGAGGGGAGAAACCGGGCGTGGGGGGGCGGAAAATGAGGGGCAGGGCGGGGAGGAGGGAGGGGCAGGGAGGGGAGAAGCTGAGCACACGGAGGGGGGAAAGGTGGGGCAGGGAGGTAGGAAGCCAAGGGCAAGGGGGGGAGAGTGGGGGAGCAGGGAGAGGGGGGAGGTGGGGAGCGGAGAAAGGCGGCGAGGGGCAGGGAGGGGAGAAACCAAGCATAGGGGGGCGAGATACGAGGGGCAGGGTGCGGATTGAGGAGGGGCAGGGAGTGGAGTGGGTCGGCGAGGGGAAGGAAGAGGCGTGCAGCAGAGGAGGGAAGGGGGGAGGAGAAGGTAAACGAGGGGAGCGCACGGGCGGGGAGGAGCGAATGGCGGGCGGTGGGAAACGGCGAGGGGGGCAGGGAGGGTCAAAAGAGGCGGCAAGGGAGCGGGCACGCGGAGGGTGGGGGCGGGGGGGAGCGGATGGCATGAGGAGGCAGGGGGTGTGACTATGAAGGGGGGACCCGGGCAAGGGGTGTGTACCGGTCGGGGCACGGGATTGACGTGGTACGATCATACCTCGGCTACTACGCCGGATCCCATCAGAACTCCGAAGCTAAGCGCCGGTGGGCGAGAGCAGTACTGGGCTGGGTGACCTCCCGGGAAGTCCTCGTGTTGTACCCATTTATGCCCCTTGCTCGGCACGTGCCGGGGGAGGGGCAAGCGGGAAAAAGAAAGGACGATTTTAGCGCGTCCGTTTTTTTTATTTTCGTTTTTTTGCCCAAACAACGACTCAGCGGGGTGGGGGCCCCCCGGGGAGGCTTGCCCGTGCGAAGAAACGCCCCGTGCGCACCACCGTTGGGCGGTTGGAAGCCGCACACGGTCGCGGGGGTGGAGAGCGGAAACGGGCAGCCGGGGGAGGGTGGGGGCGGTTGGATGGGACTGGGGTGTACGGGGAGCAGGGGAGTTGAGGGGGCAAGGGGAGGGGCAGCAACGGGCAGGGGCTGGGCCAGCTGAGGGCACGGAAAAGGGGCGGGCAGAGGGTGAGCAGAGGGGCGAGCGATGCAAGGGAGGCACCATAGGGGGGAAACCAGTTGCACGGAGGTGGGAGGTGAGGGGCGTGCGAGGGGGTGGGAAAGGGGCAGGGAGGGGCGGAATGGGAGGACGTGGGTGGGGGGTGGGGGAGGGGAGTGTGCGTGTGTGTGTGAGAAAGAGAGAGAGAGAGAGAGAGAGAGAGAGGGAAAGGGAGGGGGGGAGAGAAGGGTGGGAGGGGGGCTGGTGGTGCGGATGGGCTGATGGTGGCAAGAGGGCAGCAGGGATGGGGAGAAGGGAGCGTAGCGAGGGGAACGCAAAGGGCAGGGGGGGAGGAGGGGAGGGGCAGGGAGGGAAGAGGCTGAACGTACAAAGGGGGGAAACGAGGGGCATGGATGGTAGGAAACAAGGGCAGGGGTGCGGGAAATCAAGGGCAGGGAGGGGAGAAGCAATGGGTGAGGGGAAAACAAGGGAGGGGCAGAGGGGGGGCAGGGAGGGAAGAAACGTGGGGCAGGGAGGGGAGAAGCCAAAGACAGGGGCATGGGCAGGCGGGGGCAGGGAGGGAGCAAAGGAGAGGCACGGAGAAAGAAAGGGAGGCGCGGGGAGGGGAGAAACCGGGCGTGGGGGGGCGGAAAATGAGGGGCAGGGCGGGGAGGAGGGAGGGGCAGGGAGGGGAGAAGCTGAGCACACGGAGGGGGGAAAGGTGGGGCAGGGAGGTAGGAAGCCAAGGGCAAGGGGGGGAGAGTGGGGGAGCAGGGAGAGGGGGGAGGTGGGGAGCGGAGAAAGGCGGCGAGGGGCAGGGAGGGGAGAAACCAAGCATAGGGGGGCGAGATACGAGGGGCAGGGTGCGGATTGAGGAGGGGCAGGGAGTGGAGTGGGTCGGCGAGGGGAAGGAAGAGGCGTGCAGCAGAGGAGGGGAAGGGGGGAGGAGAAGGTAAACGAGGGGAGCGCACGGGCGGGGAGGAGCGAATGGCGGGCGGTGGGAAACGGCGAGGGGGGCAGGGAGGGTCAAAAGAGGCGGCAAGGGAGCGGGCACGCGGAGGGTGGGGGCGGGGGGGAGCGGATGGCATGAGGAGGCAGGGGGTGTGACTATGAAGGGGGGACCCGGGCAAGGGGTGTGTACCGGTCGGGGCACGGGATTGACGTGGTACGATCATACCTCGGCTACTACGCCGGATCCCATCAGAACTCCGAAGCTAAGCGCCGGTGGGCGAGAGCAGTACTGGGCTGGGTGACCTCCCGGGAAGTCCTCGTGTTGTACCCATTTATGCCCCTTGCTCGGCACGTGCCGGGGGAGGGGCAAGCGGGAAAAAGAAAGGACGATTTTAGCGCGTCCGATTTTTTTTATTTTCGTTTTTTTTGCCCAAACAACGACTCAGCGGGGTGGGGGCCCCCCGGGGAGGCTTGCCCGTGCGAAGAAACGCCCCGTGCGCACCACCGTTGGGCGGTTGGAAGCCGCACACGGTCGCGGGGGTGGAGAGCGGAAACGGGCAGCCGGGGGAGGGTGGGGGCGGTTGGATGGGACTGGGGTGTACGGGGGGCAGGGGAGTTGAGGGGGCAAGGGGAGGGGCAGCAACGGGCAGGGGCTGGGCCAGCTGAGGGCACGGAAAAGGGGCGGGCAGAGGGTGAGCAGCGGGGCGAGCGATGCAAGGGAGGCACCATAGGGGGGAAACCAGTTGCACGGAGGTGGGAGGTGAGGGGCGTGCGAGGGGGTGGGAAAGGGGCAGGGAGGGGCGGAATGGGAGGACGTGGGTGGGGGGTGGGGGAGGGGAGTGTGCGTGTGTGTGTGAGAAAGAGAGAGAGAGAGAGAGAGAGAGAGAGAGAGAGGGAAAGGGAGGGGGGGAGAGAAGGGTGGGAGGGGGGCTGGTGGTGCGGATGGGCTGATGGTGGCAAGAGGGCAGCAGGGATGGGGAGAAGGGAGCGTAGCGAGGGGAACGCAAAGGGCAGGGGGGGAGGAGGGGAGGGGCAGGGAGGGAAGAGGCTGAACGTACAAAGGGGGGAAACGAGGGGCATGGATGGTAGGAAACAAGGGCAGGGGTGCGGGAAATCAAGGGCAGGGAGGGGAGAAGCAATGGGTGAGGGGAAAACAAGGGAGGGGCAGAGGGGGGGCAGGGAGGGAAGAAACGTGGGGCAGGGAGGGGAGAAGCCAAAGACAGGGGCATGGGCAGGCGGGGGCAGGGAGGGAGCAAAGGAGAGGCACGGAGAAAGAAAGGGAGGCGCGGGGAGGGGAGAAACCGGGCGTGGGGGGGCGGAAAATGAGGGGCAGGGCGGGGAGGAGGGAGGGGCAGGGAGGGGAGAAGCTGAGCACACGGAGGGGGGAAAGGTGGGGCAGGGAGGTAGGAAGCCAAGGGCAAGGGGGGGAGAGTGGGGGAGCAGGGAGAGGGGGGAGGTGGGGAGCGGAGAAAGGCGGCGAGGGGCAGGGAGGGGAGAAACCAAGCATAGGGGGGCGAGATACGAGGGGCAGGGTGCGGATTGAGGAGGGGCAGGGAGTGGAGTGGGTCGGCGAGGGGAAGGAAGAGGCGTGCAGCAGAGGAGGGGAGGGGGGAGGAGAAGGTAAACGAGGGGAGCGCACGGGCGGGGAGGAGCGAATGGCGGGCGGTGGGAAACGGCGAGGGGGGCAGGGAGGGTCAAAAGAGGCGGCAAGGGAGCGGGCACGCGGAGGGTGGGGGCGGGGGGGAGCGGATGGCATGAGGAGGCAGGGGGTGTGACTATGAAGGGGGGACCCGGGCAAGGGGTGTGTACCGGTCGGGGCACGGGATTGACGTGGTACGATCATACCTCGGCTACTACGCCGGATCCCATCAGAACTCCGAAGCTAAGCGCCGGTGGGCGAGAGCAGTACTGGGCTGGGTGACCTCCCGGGAAGTCCTCGTGTTGTACCCATTTATGCCCCTTGCTCGGCACGTGCCGGGGGAGGGGCAAGCGGGAAAAAGAAAGGACGATTTTAGCGCGTCCGATTTTTTTTATTTTCGTTTTTTTGCCCAAACAACGACTCAGCGGGGTGGGGGCCCCCCGGGGAGGCTTGCCCGTGCGAAGAAACGCCCCGTGCGCACCACCGTTGGGCGGTTGGAAGCCGCACACGGTCGCGGGGGTGGAGAGCGGAAACGGGCAGCCGGGGGAGGGTGGGGGCGGTTGGATGGGACTGGGGTGTACGGGGGGCAGGGGAGTTGAGGGGGCAAGGGGAGGGGCAGCAACGGGCAGGGGCTGGGCCAGCTGAGGGCACGGAAAAGGGGCGGGCAGAGGGTGAGCAGCGGGGCGAGCGATGCAAGGGAGGCACCATAGGGGGGAAACCAGTTGCACGGAGGTGGGAGGTGAGGGGCGTGCGAGGGGGTGGGAAAGGGGCAGGGAGGGGCGGAATGGGAGGACGTGGGTGGGGGGTGGGGGAGGGGAGTGTGCGTGTGTGTGTGAGAAAGAGAGAGAGAGAGAGAGAGAGAGAGAGAGAGAGAGAGAGAGAGAGAGAGGGAAGGAGGGGGGAGAGAAGGGTGGGAGGGGGGCTGGTGGTGCGGATGGGCTGATGGTGGCAAGAGGGCAGCAGGGATGGGGAGAAGGGAGCGTAACGAGGGGAACGCAAAGGGCAGGGGGGGAGGAGGGGAGGGGCAGGGAGGGAAGAGGCTGAACGTACAAAGGGGGGAAACGAGGGGCATGGATGGTAGGAAACAAGGGCAGGGGTGCGGGAAATCAAGGGCAGGGAGGGGAGAAGCAATGGGTGAGGGGAAAACAAGGGAGGGGCAGAGGGGGGGCAGGGAGGGAAGAAACGTGGGGCAGGGAGGGGAGAAGCCAAAGACAGGGGCATGGGCAGGCGGGGGCAGGGAGGGAGCAAAGGAGAGGCACGGAGAAAGAAAGGGAGGCGCGGGGAGGGGAGAAACCGGGCGTGGGGGGGCGGAAAATGAGGGGCAGGGCGGGGAGGAGGGAGGGGCAGGGAGGGGAGAAGCTGAGCACACGGAGGGGGGAAAGGTGGGGCAGGGAGGTAGGAAGCCAAGGGCAAGGGGGGGAGAGTGGGGGAGCAGGGAGAGGGGGGAGGTGGGGAGCGGAGAAAGGCGGCGAGGGGCAGGGAGGGGAGAAACCAAGCATAGGGGGGCGAGATACGAGGGGCAGGGTGCGGATTGAGGAGGGGCAGGGAGTGGAGTGGGTCGGCGAGGGGAAGGAAGAGGCGTGCAGCAGAGGAGGGGAGGGGGGAGGAGAAGGTAAACGAGGGGAGCGCACGGGCGGGGAGGAGCGAATGGCGGGCGGTGGGAAACGGCGAGGGGGGCAGGGAGGGTCAAAAGAGGCGGCAAGGGAGCGGGCACGCGGAGGGTGGGGGCGGGGGGGAGCGGATGGCATGAGGAGGCAGGGGGTGTGACTATGAAGGGGGGACCCGGGCAAGGGGTGTGTACCGGTCGGGGCACGGGATTGACGTGGTACGATCATACCTCGGCTACTACGCCGGATCCCATCAGAACTCCGAAGCTAAGCGCCGGTGGGCGAGAGCAGTACTGGGCTGGGTGACCTCCCGGGAAGTCCTCGTGTTGTACCCATTTATGCCCCTTGCTCGGCACGTGCCGGGGGAGGGGCAAGCGGGAAAAAGAAAGGACGATTTTAGCGCGTCCGATTTTTTTTTTATTTTCGTTTTTTTGCCCAAACAACGACTCAGCGGGGTGGGGGCCCCCCGGGGAGGCTTGCCCGTGCGAAGAAACGCCCCGTGCGCACCACCGTTGGGCGGTTGGAAGCCGCACACGGTCGCGGGGGTGGAGAGCGGAAACGGGCAGCCGGGGGAGGGTGGGGGCGGTTGGATGGGACTGGGGTGTACGGGGGGCAGGGGAGTTGAGGGGGCAAGGGGAGGGGCAGCAACGGGCAGGGGCTGGGCCAGCTGAGGGCACGGAAAAGGGGCGGGCAGAGGGTGAGCAGCGGGGCGAGCGATGCAAGGGAGGCACCATAGGGGGGAAACCAGTTGCACGGAGGTGGGAGGTGAGGGGCGTGCGAGGGGGTGGGAAAGGGGCAGGGAGGGGCGGAATGGGAGGACGTGGGTGGGGGGTGGGGGAGGGGAGTGTGCGTGTGTGTGTGAGAAAGAGAGAGAGAGAGAGAGAGAGAGAGGGAAAGGGAGGGGGGGAGAGAAGGGTGGGAGGGGGGCTGGTGGTGCGGATGGGCTGATGGTGGCAAGAGGGCAGCAGGGATGGGGAGAAGGGAGCGTAGCGAGGGGAACGCAAAGGGCAGGGGGGGAGGAGGGGAGGGGCAGGGAGGGAAGAGGCTGAACGTACAAAGGGGGGAAACGAGGGGCATGGATGGTAGGAAACAAGGGCAGGGGTGCGGGAAATCAAGGGCAGGGAGGGGAGAAGCAATGGGTGAGGGGAAAACAAGGGAGGGGCAGAGGGGGGGCAGGGAGGGAAGAAACGTGGGGCAGGGAGGGGAGAAGCCAAAGACAGGGGCATGGGCAGGCGGGGGCAGGGAGGGAGCAAAGGAGAGGCACGGAGAAAGAAAGGGAGGCGCGGGGAGGGGAGAAACCGGGCGTGGGGGGGCGGAAAATGAGGGGCAGGGCGGGGAGGAGGGAGGGGCAGGGAGGGGAGAAGCTGAGCACACGGAGGGGGGAAAGGTGGGGCAGGGAGGTAGGAAGCCAAGGGCAAGGGGGGGAGAGTGGGGGAGCAGGGAGAGGGGGGAGGTGGGGAGCGGAGAAAGGCGGCGAGGGGCAGGGAGGGGAGAAACCAAGCATAGGGGGGCGAGATACGAGGGGCAGGGTGCGGATTGAGGAGGGGCAGGGAGTGGAGTGGGTCGGCGAGGGGAAGGAAGAGGCGTGCAGCAGAGGAGGGAAGGGGGGAGGAGAAGGTAAACGAGGGGAGCGCACGGGCGGGGAGGAGCGAATGGCGGGCGGTGGGAAACGGCGAGGGGGGCAGGGAGGGTCAAAAGAGGCGGCAAGGGAGCGGGCACGCGGAGGGTGGGGGCGGGGGGGAGCGGATGGCATGAGGAGGCAGGGGGTGTGACTATGAAGGGGGGACCCGGGCAAGGGGTGTGTACCGGTCGGGGCACGGGATTGACGTGGTACGATCATACCTCGGCTACTACGCCGGATCCCATCAGAACTCCGAAGCTAAGCGCCGGTGGGCGAGAGCAGTACTGGGCTGGGTGACCTCCCGGGAAGTCCTCGTGTTGTACCCATTTATGCCCCTTGCTCGGCACGTGCCGGGGGAGGGGCAAGCGGGAAAAAGAAAGGACGATTTTAGCGCGTCCGATTTTTTTTTATTTTCGTTTTTTTGCCCAAACAACGACTCAGCGGGGTGGGGGCCCCCCGGGGAGGCTTGCCCGTGCGAAGAAACGCCCCGTGCGCACCACCGTTGGGCGGTTGGAAGCCGCACACGGTCGCGGGGGTGGAGAGCGGAAACGGGCAGCCGGGGGAGGGTGGGGGCGGTTGGATGGGACTGGGGTGTACGGGGGGCAGGGGAGTTGAGGGGGCAACGGGGAGGGGCAGCAACGGGCAGGGGCTGGGCCAGCTGAGGGCACGGAAAAGGGGCGGGCAGAGGGTGAGCAGAGGGGCGAGCGATGCAAGGGAGGCACCATAGGGGGGAAACCAGTTGCACGGAGGTGGGAGGTGAGGGGCGTGCGAGGGGGTGGGAAAGGGGCAGGGAGGGGCGGAATGGGAGGACGTGGGTGGGGGGTGGGGGAGGGGAGTGTGCGTGTGTGTGTGAGAAAGAGAGAGAGAGAGAGAGAGAGAGAGAGAGAGGGAAAGGGAGGGGGGGAGAGAAGGGTGGGAGGGGGGCTGGTGGTGCGGATGGGCTGATGGTGGCAAGAGGGCAGCAGGGATGGGGAGAAGGGAGCGTAGCGAGGGGAACGCAAAGGGCAGGGGGGGAGGAGGGGAGGGGCAGGGAGGGAAGAGGCTGAACGTACAAAGGGGGGAAACGAGGGGCATGGATGGTAGGAAACAAGGGCAGGGGTGCGGGAAATCAAGGGCAGGGAGGGGAGAAGCAATGGGTGAGGGGAAAACAAGGGAGGGGCAGAGGGGGGGCAGGGAGGGAAGAAACGTGGGGCAGGGAGGGGAGAAGCCAAAGACAGGGGCATGGGCAGGCGGGGGCAGGGAGGGAGCAAAGGAGAGGCACGGAGAAAGAAAGGGAGGCGCGGGGAGGGGAGAAACCGGGCGTGGGGGGGCGGAAAATGAGGGGCAGGGCGGGGAGGAGGGAGGGGCAGGGAGGGGAGAAGCTGAGCACACGGAGGGGGGAAAGGTGGGGCAGGGAGGTAGGAAGCCAAGGGCAAGGGGGGGAGAGTGGGGGAGCAGGGAGAGGGGGGAGGTGGGGAGCGGAGAAAGGCGGCGAGGGGCAGGGAGGGGAGAAACCAAGCATAGGGGGGCGAGATACGAGGGGCAGGGTGCGGATTGAGGAGGGGCAGGGAGTGGAGTGGGTCGGCGAGGGGAAGGAAGAGGCGTGCAGCAGAGGAGGGGAGGGGGGAGGAGAAGGTAAACGAGGGGAGCGCACGGGCGGGGAGGAGCGAATGGCGGGCGGTGGGAAACGGCGAGGGGGGCAGGGAGGGTCAAAAGAGGCGGCAAGGGAGCGGGCACGCGGAGGGTGGGGGCGGGGGGGAGCGGATGGCATGAGGAGGCAGGGGGTGTGACTATGAAGGGGGGACCCGGGCAAGGGGTGTGTACCGGTCGGGGCACGGGATTGACGTGGTACGATCATACCTCGGCTACTACGCCGGATCCCATCAGAACTCCGAAGCTAAGCGCCGGTGGGCGAGAGCAGTACTGGGCTGGGTGACCTCCCGGGAAGTCCTCGTGTTGTACCCATTTATGCCCCTTGCTCGGCACGTGCCGGGGGAGGGGCAAGCGGGAAAAAGAAAGGACGATTTTAGCGCGTCCGATTTTTTTTTATTTTCGTTTTTTTTGCCCAAACAACGACTCAGCGGGGTGGGGGCCCCCCGGGGAGGCTTGCCCGTGCGAAGAAACGCCCCGTGCGCACCACCGTTGGGCGGTTGGAAGCCGCACACGGTCGCGGGGGTGGAGAGCGGAAACGGGCAGCCGGGGGAGGGTGGGGGCGGTTGGATGGGACTGGGGTGTACGGGGGGCAGGGGAGTTGAGGGGGCAAGGGGAGGGGCAGCAACGGGCAGGGGCTGGGCCAGCTGAGGGCACGGAAAAGGGGCGGGCAGAGGGTGAGCAGCGGGGCGAGCGATGCAAGGGAGGCACCATAGGGGGGAAACCAGTTGCACGGAGGTGGGAGGTGAGGGGCGTGCGAGGGGGTGGGAAAGGGGCAGGGAGGGGCGGAATGGGAGGACGTGGGTGGGGGGTGGGGGAGGGGAGTGTGCGTGTGTGTGTGAGAAAGAGAGAGAGAGAGAGAGAGAGAGAGAGAGAGAGGGAAAGGGAGGGGGGAGAGAAGGGTGGGAGGGGGGCTGGTGGTGCGGATGGGCTGATGGTGGCAAGAGGGCAGCAGGGATGGGGAGAAGGGAGCGTAACGAGGGGAACGCAAAGGGCAGGGGGGGAGGAGGGGAGGGGCAGGGAGGGAAGAGGCTGAACGTACAAAGGGGGGAAACGAGGGGCATGGATGGTAGGAAACAAGGGCAGGGGTGCGGGAAATCAAGGGCAGGGAGGGGAGAAGCAATGGGTGAGGGGAAAACAAGGGAGGGGCAGAGGGGGGGCAGGGAGGGAAGAAACGTGGGGCAGGGAGGGGAGAAGCCAAAGACAGGGGCATGGGCAGGCGGGGGCAGGGAGGGAGCAAAGGAGAGGCACGGAGAAAGAAAGGGAGGCGCGGGGAGGGGAGAAACCGGGCGTGGGGGGGCGGAAAATGAGGGGCAGGGCGGGGAGGAGGGAGGGGCAGGGAGGGGAGAAGCTGAGCACACGGAGGGGGGAAAGGTGGGGCAGGGAGGTAGGAAGCCAAGGGCAAGGGGGGGAGAGTGGGGGAGCAGGGAGAGGGGGGAGGTGGGGAGCGGAGAAAGGCGGCGAGGGGCAGGGAGGGGAGAAACCAAGCATAGGGGGGCGAGATACGAGGGGCAGGGTGCGGATTGAGGAGGGGCAGGGAGTGGAGTGGGTCGGCGAGGGGAAGGAAGAGGCGTGCAGCAGAGGAGGGGAGGGGGGAGGAGAAGGTAAACGAGGGGAGCGCACGGGCGGGGAGGAGCGAATGGCGGGCGGTGGGAAACGGCGAGGGGGGCAGGGAGGGTCAAAAGAGGCGGCAAGGGAGCGGGCACGCGGAGGGTGGGGGCGGGGGGGAGCGGATGGCATGAGGAGGCAGGGGGTGTGACTATGAAGGGGGGACCCGGGCAAGGGGTGTGTACCGGTCGGGGCACGGGATTGACGTGGTACGATCATACCTCGGCTACTACGCCGGATCCCATCAGAACTCCGAAGCTAAGCGCCGGTGGGCGAGAGCAGTACTGGGCTGGGTGACCTCCCGGGAAGTCCTCGTGTTGTACCCATTTATGCCCCTTGCTCGGCACGTGCCGGGGGAGGGGCAAGCGGGAAAAAGAAAGGACGATTTTAGCGCGTCCGATTTTTTTTTATTTTCGTTTTTTTTGCCCAAACAACGACTCAGCGGGGTGGGGGCCCCCCGGGGAGGCTTGCCCGTGCGAAGAAACGCCCCGTGCGCACCACCGTTGGGCGGTTGGAAGCCGCACACGGTCGCGGGGGTGGAGAGCGGAAACGGGCAGCCGGGGGAGGGTGGGGGCGGTTGGATGGGACTGGGGTGTACGGGGGGCAGGGGAGTTGAGGGGGCAAGGGGAGGGGCAGCAACGGGCAGGGGCTGGGCCAGCTGAGGGCACGGAAAAGGGGCGGGCAGAGGGTGAGCAGCGGGGCGAGCGATGCAAGGGAGGCACCATAGGGGGGAAACCAGTTGCACGGAGGTGGGAGGTGAGGGGCGTGCGAGGGGGTGGGAAAGGGGCAGGGAGGGGCGGAATGGGAGGACGTGGGTGGGGGGTGGGGGAGGGGAGTGTGCGTGTGTGTGTGAGAAAGAGAGAGAGAGAGAGAGAGAGAGAGAGAGAGAGAGAGAGAGGGAAGGGAGGGGGGAGAGAAGGGTGGGAGGGGGGCTGGTGGTGCGGATGGGCTGATGGTGGCAAGAGGGCAGCAGGGATGGGGAGAAGGGAGCGTAACGAGGGGAACGCAAAGGGCAGGGGGGGAGGAGGGGAGGGGCAGGGAGGGAAGAGGCTGAACGTACAAAGGGGGGAAACGAGGGGCATGGATGGTAGGAAACAAGGGCAGGGGTGCGGGAAATCAAGGGCAGGGAGGGGAGAAGCAATGGGTGAGGGGAAAACAAGGGAGGGGCAGAGGGGGGGCAGGGAGGGAAGAAACGTGGGGCAGGGAGGGGAGAAGCCAAAGACAGGGGCATGGGCAGGCGGGGGCAGGGAGGGAGCAAAGGAGAGGCACGGAGAAAGAAAGGGAGGCGCGGGGAGGGGAGAAACCGGGCGTGGGGGGGCGGAAAATGAGGGGCAGGGCGGGGAGGAGGGAGGGGCAGGGAGGGGAGAAGCTGAGCACACGGAGGGGGGAAAGGTGGGGCAGGGAGGTAGGAAGCCAAGGGCAAGGGGGGGAGAGTGGGGGAGCAGGGAGAGGGGGGAGGTGGGGAGCGGAGAAAGGCGGCGAGGGGCAGGGAGGGGAGAAACCAAGCATAGGGGGGCGAGATACGAGGGGCAGGGTGCGGATTGAGGAGGGGCAGGGAGTGGAGTGGGTCGGCGAGGGGAAGGAAGAGGCGTGCAGCAGAGGAGGGGAGGGGGGAGGAGAAGGTAAACGAGGGGAGCGCACGGGCGGGGAGGAGCGAATGGCGGGCGGTGGGAAACGGCGAGGGGGGCAGGGAGGGTCAAAAGAGGCGGCAAGGGAGCGGGCACGCGGAGGGTGGGGGCGGGGGGGAGCGGATGGCATGAGGAGGCAGGGGGTGTGACTATGAAGGGGGGACCCGGGCAAGGGGTGTGTACCGGTCGGGGCACGGGATTGACGTGGTACGATCATACCTCGGCTACTACGCCGGATCCCATCAGAACTCCGAAGCTAAGCGCCGGTGGGCGAGAGCAGTACTGGGCTGGGTGACCTCCCGGGAAGTCCTCGTGTTGTACCCATTTATGCCCCTTGCTCGGCACGTGCCGGGGGAGGGGCAAGCGGGAAAAAGAAAGGACGATTTTAGCGCGTCCGATTTTTTTTTATTTTCGTTTTTTTTGCCCAAACAACGACTCAGCGGGGTGGGGGCCCCCCGGGGAGGCTTGCCCGTGCGAAGAAACGCCCCGTGCGCACCACCGTTGGGCGGTTGGAAGCCGCACACGGTCGCGGGGGTGGAGAGCGGAAACGGGCAGCCGGGGGAGGGTGGGGGCGGTTGGATGGGACTGGGGTGTACGGGGGGCAGGGGAGTTGAGGGGGCAAGGGGAGGGGCAGCAACGGGCAGGGGCTGGGCCAGCTGAGGGCACGGAAAAGGGGCGGGCAGAGGGTGAGCAGCGGGGCGAGCGATGCAAGGGAGGCACCATAGGGGGGAAACCAGTTGCACGGAGGTGGGAGGTGAGGGGCGTGCGAGGGGGTGGGAAAGGGGCAGGGAGGGGCGGAATGGGAGGACGTGGGTGGGGGGTGGGGGAGGGGAGTGTGCGTGTGTGTGTGAGAAAGAGAGAGAGAGAGAGAGAGAGAGAGAGAGAGAGGGAAAGGGAGGGGGGGAGAGAAGGGTGGGAGGGGGGCTGGTGGTGCGGATGGGCTGATGGTGGCAAGAGGGCAGCAGGGATGGGGAGAAGGGAGCGTAACGAGGGGAACGCAAAGGGCAGGGGGGGAGGAGGGGAGGGGCAGGGAGGGAAGAGGCTGAACGTACAAAGGGGGGAAACGAGGGGCATGGATGGTAGGAAACAAGGGCAGGGGTGCGGGAAATCAAGGGCAGGGAGGGGAGAAGCAATGGGTGAGGGGAAAACAAGGGAGGGGCAGAGGGGGGGCAGGGAGGGAAGAAACGTGGGGCAGGGAGGGGAGAAGCCAAAGACAGGGGCATGGGCAGGCGGGGGCAGGGAGGGAGCAAAGGAGAGGCACGGAGAAAGAAAGGGAGGCGCGGGGAGGGGAGAAACCGGGCGTGGGGGGGCGGAAAATGAGGGGCAGGGCGGGGAGGAGGGAGGGGCAGGGAGGGGAGAAGCTGAGCACACGGAGGGGGGAAAGGTGGGGCAGGGAGGTAGGAAGCCAAGGGCAAGGGGGGGAGAGTGGGGGAGCAGGGAGAGGGGGGAGGTGGGGAGCGGAGAAAGGCGGCGAGGGGCAGGGAGGGGAGAAACCAAGCATAGGGGGGCGAGATACGAGGGGCAGGGTGCGGATTGAGGAGGGGCAGGGAGTGGAGTGGGTCGGCGAGGGGAAGGAAGAGGCGTGCAGCAGAGGAGGGGAGGGGGGAGGAGAAGGTAAACGAGGGGAGCGCACGGGCGGGGAGGAGCGAATGGCGGGCGGTGGGAAACGGCGAGGGGGGCAGGGAGGGTCAAAAGAGGCGGCAAGGGAGCGGGCACGCGGAGGGTGGGGGCGGGGGGGAGCGGATGGCATGAGGAGGCAGGGGGTGTGACTATGAAGGGGGGACCCGGGCAAGGGGTGTGTACCGGTCGGGGCACGGGATTGACGTGGTACGATCATACCTCGGCTACTACGCCGGATCCCATCAGAACTCCGAAGCTAAGCGCCGGTGGGCGAGAGCAGTACTGGGCTGGGTGACCTCCCGGGAAGTCCTCGTGTTGTACCCATTTATGCCCCTTGCTCGGCACGTGCCGGGGGAGGGGCAAGCGGGAAAAAGAAAGGACGATTTTAGCGCGTCCGATTTTTTTTTATTTTCGTTTTTTTTGCCCAAACAACGACTCAGCGGGGTGGGGGCCCCCCGGGGAGGCTTGCCCGTGCGAAGAAACGCCCCGTGCGCACCACCGTTGGGCGGTTGGAAGCCGCACACGGTCGCGGGGGTGGAGAGCGGAAACGGGCAGCCGGGGGAGGGTGGGGGCGGTTGGATGGGACTGGGGTGTACGGGGGGCAGGGGAGTTGAGGGGGCAAGGGGAGGGGCAGCAACGGGCAGGGGCTGGGCCAGCTGAGGGCACGGAAAAGGGGCGGGCAGAGGGTGAGCAGAGGGGCGAGCGATGCAAGGGAGGCACCATAGGGGGGAAACCAGTTGCACGGAGGTGGGAGGTGAGGGGCGTGCGAGGGGGTGGGAAAGGGGCAGGGAGGGGCGGAATGGGAGGACGTGGGTGGGGGGGTGGGGGAGGGGAGTGTGCGTGTGTGTGTGAGAAAGAGAGAGAGAGAGAGAGAGAGAGGGAAAGGGAGGGGGGGAGAGAAGGGTGGGAGGGGGGCTGGTGGTGCGGATGGGCTGATGGTGGCAAGAGGGCAGCAGGGATGGGGAGAAGGGAGCGTAGCGAGGGGAACGCAAAGGGCAGGGGGGGAGGAGGGGAGGGGCAGGGAGGGAAGAGGCTGAACGTACAAAGGGGGGAAACGAGGGGCATGGATGGTAGGAAACAAGGGCAGGGGTGCGGGAAATCAAGGGCAGGGAGGGGAGAAGCAATGGGTGAGGGGAAAACAAGGGAGGGGCAGAGGGGGGGCAGGGAGGGAAGAAACGTGGGGCAGGGAGGGGAGAAGCCAAAGACAGGGGCATGGGCAGGCGGGGGCAGGGAGGGAGCAAAGGAGAGGCACGGAGAAAGAAAGGGAGGCGCGGGGAGGGGAGAAACCGGGCGTGGGGGGGCGGAAAATGAGGGGCAGGGCGGGGAGGAGGGAGGGGCAGGGAGGGGAGAAGCTGAGCACACGGAGGGGGGAAAGGTGGGGCAGGGAGGTAGGAAGCCAAGGGCAAGGGGGGGAGAGTGGGGGAGCAGGGAGAGGGGGGAGGTGGGGAGCGGAGAAAGGCGGCGAGGGGCAGGGAGGGGAGAAACCAAGCATAGGGGGGCGAGATACGAGGGGCAGGGTGCGGATTGAGGAGGGGCAGGGAGTGGAGTGGGTCGGCGAGGGGAAGGAAGAGGCGTGCAGCAGAGGAGGGGAAGGGGGGAGGAGAAGGTAAACGAGGGGAGCGCACGGGCGGGGAGGAGCGAATGGCGGGCGGTGGGAAACGGCGAGGGGGGCAGGGAGGGTCAAAAGAGGCGGCAAGGGAGCGGGCACGCGGAGGGTGGGGGCGGGGGGGAGCGGATGGCATGAGGAGGCAGGGGGTGTGACTATGAAGGGGGGACCCGGGCAAGGGGTGTGTACCGGTCGGGGCACGGGATTGACGTGGTACGATCATACCTCGGCTCGCCGGATCCCATCAGAACTCCGAAGCTAAGCGCCGGTGGGCGAGAGCAGTACTGGGCTGGGTGACCTCCCGGGAAGTCCTCGTGTTGTACCCATTTATGCCCCTTGCTCGGCACGTGCCGGGGGAGGGGCAAGCGGGAAAAAGAAAGGACGATTTTAGCGCGTCCGATTTTTTTTATTTTCGTTTTTTTTGCCCAAACAACGACTCAGCGGGGTGGGGGCCCCCCGGGGAGGCTTGCCCGTGCGAAGAAACGCCCCGTGCGCACCACCGTTGGGCGGTTGGAAGCCGCACACGGTCGCGGGGGTGGAGAGCGGAAACGGGCAGCCGGGGGAGGGTGGGGGCGGTTGGATGGGACTGGGGTGTACGGGGGGCAGGGGAGTTGAGGGGGCAAGGGGAGGGGCAGCAACGGGCAGGGGCTGGGCCAGCTGAGGGCACGGAAAAGGGGCGGGCAGAGGGTGAGCAGAGGGGCGAGCGATGCAAGGGAGGCACCATAGGGGGGAAACCAGTTGCACGGAGGTGGGAGGTGAGGGGCGTGCGAGGGGGTGGGAAAGGGGCAGGGAGGGGCGGAATGGGAGGACGTGGGTGGGGGGTGGGGGAGGGGAGTGTGCGTGTGTGTGTGAGAAAGAGAGAGAGAGAGAGAGAGAGAGAGGGAAAGGGAGGGGGGGAGAGAAGGGTGGGAGGGGGGCTGGTGGTGCGGATGGGCTGATGGTGGCAAGAGGGCAGCAGGGATGGGGAGAAGGGAGCGTAGCGAGGGGAACGCAAAGGGCAGGGGGGGAGGAGGGGAGGGGCAGGGAGGGAAGAGGCTGAACGTACAAAGGGGGGAAACGAGGGGCATGGATGGTAGGAAACAAGGGCAGGGGTGCGGGAAATCAAGGGCAGGGAGGGGAGAAGCAATGGGTGAGGGGAAAACAAGGGAGGGGCAGAGGGGGGGCAGGGAGGGAAGAAACGTGGGGCAGGGAGGGGAGAAGCCAAAGACAGGGGCATGGGCAGGCGGGGGCAGGGAGGGAGCAAAGGAGAGGCACGGAGAAAGAAAGGGAGGCGCGGGGAGGGGAGAAACCGGGCGTGGGGGGGCGGAAAATGAGGGGCAGGGCGGGGAGGAGGGAGGGGCAGGGAGGGGAGAAGCTGAGCACACGGAGGGGGGAAAGGTGGGGCAGGGAGGTAGGAAGCCAAGGGCAAGGGGGGGAGAGTGGGGGAGCAGGGAGAGGGGGGAGGTGGGGAGCGGAGAAAGGCGGCGAGGGGCAGGGAGGGGAGAAACCAAGCATAGGGGGGCGAGATACGAGGGGCAGGGTGCGGATTGAGGAGGGGCAGGGAGTGGAGTGGGTCGGCGAGGGGAAGGAAGAGGCGTGCAGCAGAGGAGGGGAGGGGGGAGGAGAAGGTAAACGAGGGGAGCGCACGGGCGGGGAGGAGCGAATGGCGGGCGGTGGGAAACGGCGAGGGGGGCAGGGAGGGTCAAAAGAGGCGGCAAGGGAGCGGGCACGCGGAGGGTGGGGGCGGGGGGGAGCGGATGGCATGAGGAGGCAGGGGGTGTGACTATGAAGGGGGGACCCGGGCAAGGGGTGTGTACCGGTCGGGGCACGGGATTGACGTGGTACGATCATACCTCGGCTACTACGCCGGATCCCATCAGAACTCCGAAGCTAAGCGCCGGTGGGCGAGAGCAGTACTGGGCTGGGTGACCTCCCGGGAAGTCCTCGTGTTGTACCCATTTATGCCCCTTGCTCGGCACGTGCCGGGGGAGGGGCAAGCGGGAAAAAGAAAGGACGATTTTAGCGCGTCCGATTTTTTTTTATTTTCGTTTTTTTGCCCAAACAACGACTCAGCGGGGTGGGGGCCCCCCGGGGAGGCTTGCCCGTGCGAAGAAACGCCCCGTGCGCACCACCGTTGGGCGGTTGGAAGCCGCACACGGTCGCGGGGGTGGAGAGCGGAAACGGGCAGCCGGGGGAGGGTGGGGGCGGTTGGATGGGACTGGGGTGTACGGGGGGCAGGGGAGTTGAGGGGGCAAGGGGAGGGGCAGCAACGGGCAGGGGCTGGGCCAGCTGAGGGCACGGAAAAGGGGCGGGCAGAGGGTGAGCAGCGGGGCGAGCGATGCAAGGGAGGCACCATAGGGGGGAAACCAGTTGCACGGAGGTGGGAGGTGAGGGGCGTGCGAGGGGGTGGGAAAGGGGCAGGGAGGGGCGGAATGGGAGGACGTGGGTGGGGGGTGGGGGAGGGGAGTGTGCGTGTGTGTGTGAGAAAGAGAGAGAGAGAGAGAGAGAGAGAGAGAGAGGGAAAGGGAGGGGGGGAGAGAAGGGTGGGAGGGGGGCTGGTGGTGCGGATGGGCTGATGGTGGCAAGAGGGCAGCAGGGATGGGGAGAAGGGAGCGTAACGAGGGGAACGCAAAGGGCAGGGGGGGAGGAGGGGAGGGGCAGGGAGGGAAGAGGCTGAACGTACAAAGGGGGGAAACGAGGGGCATGGATGGTAGGAAACAAGGGCAGGGGTGCGGGAAATCAAGGGCAGGGAGGGGAGAAGCAATGGGTGAGGGGAAAACAAGGGAGGGGCAGAGGGGGGGCAGGGAGGGAAGAAACGTGGGGCAGGGAGGGGAGAAGCCAAAGACAGGGGCATGGGCAGGCGGGGGCAGGGAGGGAGCAAAGGAGAGGCACGGAGAAAGAAAGGGAGGCGCGGGGAGGGGAGAAACCGGGCGTGGGGGGGCGGAAAATGAGGGGCAGGGCGGGGAGGAGGGAGGGGCAGGGAGGGGAGAAGCTGAGCACACGGAGGGGGGAAAGGTGGGGCAGGGAGGTAGGAAGCCAAGGGCAAGGGGGGGAGAGTGGGGGAGCAGGGAGAGGGGGGAGGTGGGGAGCGGAGAAAGGCGGCGAGGGGCAGGGAGGGGAGAAACCAAGCATAGGGGGGCGAGATACGAGGGGCAGGGTGCGGATTGAGGAGGGGCAGGGAGTGGAGTGGGTCGGCGAGGGGAAGGAAGAGGCGTGCAGCAGAGGAGGGGAGGGGGGAGGAGAAGGTAAACGAGGGGAGCGCACGGGCGGGGAGGAGCGAATGGCGGGCGGTGGGAAACGGCGAGGGGGGCAGGGAGGGTCAAAAGAGGCGGCAAGGGAGCGGGCACGCGGAGGGTGGGGGCGGGGGGGAGCGGATGGCATGAGGAGGCAGGGGGTGTGACTATGAAGGGGGGACCCGGGCAAGGGGTGTGTACCGGTCGGGGCACGGGATTGACGTGGTACGATCATACCTCGGCTACTACGCCGGATCCCATCAGAACTCCGAAGCTAAGCGCCGGTGGGCGAGAGCAGTACTGGGCTGGGTGACCTCCCGGGAAGTCCTCGTGTTGTACCCATTTATGCCCCTTGCTCGGCACGTGCCGGGGGAGGGGCAAGCGGGAAAAAGAAAGGACGATTTTAGCGCGTCCGATTTTTTTTTATTTTCGTTTTTTTTGCCCAAACAACGACTCAGCGGGGTGGGGGCCCCCCGGGGAGGCTTGCCCGTGCGAAGAAACGCCCCGTGCGCACCACCGTTGGGCGGTTGGAAGCCGCACACGGTCGCGGGGGTGGAGAGCGGAAACGGGCAGCCGGGGGAGGGTGGGGGCGGTTGGATGGGACTGGGGTGTACGGGGGGCAGGGGAGTTGAGGGGGCAAGGGGAGGGGCAGCAACGGGCAGGGGCTGGGCCAGCTGAGGGCACGGAAAAGGGGCGGGCAGAGGGTGAGCAGCGGGGCGAGCGATGCAAGGGAGGCACCATAGGGGGGAAACCAGTTGCACGGAGGTGGGAGGTGAGGGGCGTGCGAGGGGGTGGGAAAGGGGCAGGGAGGGGCGGAATGGGAGGACGTGGGTGGGGGGTGGGGGAGGGGAGTGTGCGTGTGTGTGTGAGAAAGAGAGAGAGAGAGAGAGAGAGAGAGAGAGAGAGGGAAAGGGAGGGGGGGAGAGAAGGGTGGGAGGGGGGCTGGTGGTGCGGATGGGCTGATGGTGGCAAGAGGGCAGCAGGGATGGGGAGAAGGGAGCGTAGCGAGGGGAACGCAAAGGGCAGGGGGGGAGGAGGGGAGGGGCAGGGAGGGAAGAGGCTGAACGTACAAAGGGGGGAAACGAGGGGCATGGATGGTAGGAAACAAGGGCAGGGGTGCGGGAAATCAAGGGCAGGGAGGGGAGAAGCAATGGGTGAGGGGAAAACAAGGGAGGGGCAGAGGGGGGGCAGGGAGGGAAGAAACGTGGGGCAGGGAGGGGAGAAGCCAAAGACAGGGGCATGGGCAGGCGGGGGCAGGGAGGGAGCAAAGGAGAGGCACGGAGAAAGAAAGGGAGGCGCGGGGAGGGGAGAAACCGGGCGTGGGGGGGCGGAAAATGAGGGGCAGGGCGGGGAGGAGGGAGGGGCAGGGAGGGGAGAAGCTGAGCACACGGAGGGGGGAAAGGTGGGGCAGGGAGGTAGGAAGCCAAGGGCAAGGGGGGGAGAGTGGGGGAGCAGGGAGAGGGGGGAGGTGGGGAGCGGAGAAAGGCGGCGAGGGGCAGGGAGGGGAGAAACCAAGCATAGGGGGGCGAGATACGAGGGGCAGGGTGCGGATTGAGGAGGGGCAGGGAGTGGAGTGGGTCGGCGAGGGGAAGGAAGAGGCGTGCAGCAGAGGAGGGGAGGGGGGAGGAGAAGGTAAACGAGGGGAGCGCACGGGCGGGGAGGAGCGAATGGCGGGCGGTGGGAAACGGCGAGGGGGGCAGGGAGGGTCAAAAGAGGCGGCAAGGGAGCGGGCACGCGGAGGGTGGGGGCGGGGGGGAGCGGATGGCATGAGGAGGCAGGGGGTGTGACTATGAAGGGGGGACCCGGGCAAGGGGTGTGTACCGGTCGGGGCACGGGATTGACGTGGTACGATCATACCTCGGCTACTACGCCGGATCCCATCAGAACTCCGAAGCTAAGCGCCGGTGGGCGAGAGCAGTACTGGGCTGGGTGACCTCCCGGGAAGTCCTCGTGTTGTACCCATTTATGCCCCTTGCTCGGCACGTGCCGGGGGAGGGGCAAGCGGGAAAAAGAAAGGACGATTTTAGCGCGTCCGATTTTTTTTTATTTTCGTTTTTTTGCCCAAACAACGACTCAGCGGGGTGGGGGCCCCCCGGGGAGGCTTGCCCGTGCGAAGAAACGCCCCGTGCGCACCACCGTTGGGCGGTTGGAAGCCGCACACGGTCGCGGGGGTGGAGAGCGGAAACGGGCAGCCGGGGGAGGGTGGGGGCGGTTGGATGGGACTGGGGTGTACGGGGGGCAGGGGAGTTGAGGGGGCAAGGGGAGGGGCAGCAACGGGCAGGGGCTGGGCCAGCTGAGGGCACGGAAAAGGGGCGGGCAGAGGGTGAGCAGCGGGGCGAGCGATGCAAGGGAGGCACCATAGGGGGGAAACCAGTTGCACGGAGGTGGGAGGTGAGGGGCGTGCGAGGGGGTGGGAAAGGGGCAGGGAGGGGCGGAATGGGAGGACGTGGGTGGGGGGTGGGGGAGGGGAGTGTGCGTGTGTGTGTGAGAAAGAGAGAGAGAGAGAGAGAGAGAGAGAGAGAGAGGGAAAGGGAGGGGGGGAGAGAAGGGTGGGAGGGGGGCTGGTGGTGCGGATGGGCTGATGGTGGCAAGAGGGCAGCAGGGATGGGGAGAAGGGAGCGTAAGCGAGGGGAACGCAAAGGGCAGGGGGGGAGGAGGGGAGGGGCAGGGAGGGAAGAGGCTGAACGTACAAAGGGGGGAAACGAGGGGCATGGATGGTAGGAAACAAGGGCAGGGGTGCGGGAAATCAAGGGCAGGGAGGGGAGAAGCAATGGGTGAGGGGAAAACAAGGGAGGGGCAGAGGGGGGGCAGGGAGGGAAGAAACGTGGGGCAGGGAGGGGAGAAGCCAAAGACAGGGGCATGGGCAGGCGGGGGCAGGGAGGGAGCAAAGGAGAGGCACGGAGAAAGAAAGGGAGGCGCGGGGAGGGGAGAAACCGGGCGTGGGGGGGCGGAAAATGAGGGGCAGGGCGGGGAGGAGGGAGGGGCAGGGAGGGGAGAAGCTGAGCACACGGAGGGGGGAAAGGTGGGGCAGGGAGGTAGGAAGCCAAGGGCAAGGGGGGGAGAGTGGGGGAGCAGGGAGAGGGGGGAGGTGGGGAGCGGAGAAAGGCGGCGAGGGGCAGGGAGGGGAGAAACCAAGCATAGGGGGGCGAGATACGAGGGGCAGGGTGCGGATTGAGGAGGGGCAGGGAGTGGAGTGGGTCGGCGAGGGGAAGGAAGAGGCGTGCAGCAGAGGAGGGGAGGGGGGAGGAGAAGGTAAACGAGGGGAGCGCACGGGCGGGGAGGAGCGAATGGCGGGCGGTGGGAAACGGCGAGGGGGGCAGGGAGGGTCAAAAGAGGCGGCAAGGGAGCGGGCACGCGGAGGGTGGGGGCGGGGGGGAGCGGATGGCATGAGGAGGCAGGGGGTGTGACTATGAAGGGGGGACCCGGGCAAGGGGTGTGTACCGGTCGGGGCACGGGATTGACGTGGTACGATCATACCTCGGCTACTACGCCGGATCCCATCAGAACTCCGAAGCTAAGCGCCGGTGGGCGAGAGCAGTACTGGGCTGGGTGACCTCCCGGGAAGTCCTCGTGTTGTACCCATTTATGCCCCTTGCTCGGCACGTGCCGGGGGAGGGGCAAGCGGGAAAAAGAAAGGACGATTTTAGCGCGTCCGATTTTTTTTATTTTCGTTTTTTTGCCCAAACAACGACTCAGCGGGGTGGGGGCCCCCCGGGGAGGCTTGCCCGTGCGAAGAAACGCCCCGTGCGCACCACCGTTGGGCGGTTGGAAGCCGCACACGGTCGCGGGGGTGGAGAGCGGAAACGGGCAGCCGGGGGAGGGTGGGGGCGGTTGGATGGGACTGGGGTGTACGGGGGGCAGGGGAGTTGAGGGGGCAAGGGGAGGGGCAGCAACGGGCAGGGGCTGGGCCAGCTGAGGGCACGGAAAAGGGGCGGGCAGAGGGTGAGCAGCGGGGCGAGCGATGCAAGGGAGGCACCATAGGGGGGAAACCAGTTGCACGGAGGTGGGAGGTGAGGGGCGTGCGAGGGGGTGGGAAAGGGGCAGGGAGGGGCGGAATGGGAGGACGTGGGTGGGGGGTGGGGGAGGGGAGTGTGCGTGTGTGTGTGAGAAAGAGAGAGAGAGAGAGAGAGAGAGAGAGAGAGAGAGGGAAAGGGAGGGGGGGAGAGAAGGGTGGGAGGGGGGCTGGTGGTGCGGATGGGCTGATGGTGGCAAGAGGGCAGCAGGGATGGGGAGAAGGGAGCGTAACGAGGGGAACGCAAAGGGCAGGGGGGGAGGAGGGGAGGGGCAGGGAGGGAAGAGGCTGAACGTACAAAGGGGGGAAACGAGGGGCATGGATGGTAGGAAACAAGGGCAGGGGTGCGGGAAATCAAGGGCAGGGAGGGGAGAAGCAATGGGTGAGGGGAAAACAAGGGAGGGGCAGAGGGGGGGCAGGGAGGGAAGAAACGTGGGGCAGGGAGGGGAGAAGCCAAAGACAGGGGCATGGGCAGGCGGGGGCAGGGAGGGAGCAAAGGAGAGGCACGGAGAAAGAAAGGGAGGCGCGGGGAGGGGAGAAACCGGGCGTGGGGGGGCGGAAAATGAGGGGCAGGGCGGGGAGGAGGGAGGGGCAGGGAGGGGAGAAGCTGAGCACACGGAGGGGGGAAAGGTGGGGCAGGGAGGTAGGAAGCCAAGGGCAAGGGGGGGAGAGTGGGGGAGCAGGGAGAGGGGGGAGGTGGGGAGCGGAGAAAGGCGGCGAGGGGCAGGGAGGGGAGAAACCAAGCATAGGGGGGCGAGATACGAGGGGCAGGGTGCGGATTGAGGAGGGGCAGGGAGTGGAGTGGGTCGGCGAGGGGAAGGAAGAGGCGTGCAGCAGAGGAGGGGAGGGGGGAGGAGAAGGTAAACGAGGGGAGCGCACGGGCGGGGAGGAGCGAATGGCGGGCGGTGGGAAACGGCGAGGGGGGCAGGGAGGGTCAAAAGAGGCGGCAAGGGAGCGGGCACGCGGAGGGTGGGGGCGGGGGGGAGCGGATGGCATGAGGAGGCAGGGGGTGTGACTATGAAGGGGGGACCCGGGCAAGGGGTGTGTACCGGTCGGGGCACGGGATTGACGTGGTACGATCATACCTCGGCTACTACGCCGGATCCCATCAGAACTCCGAAGCTAAGCGCCGGTGGGCGAGAGCAGTACTGGGCTGGGTGACCTCCCGGGAAGTCCTCGTGTTGTACCCATTTATGCCCCTTGCTCGGCACGTGCCGGGGGAGGGGCAAGCGGGAAAAAGAAAGGACGATTTTAGCGCGTCCGATTTTTTTTTATTTTCGTTTTTTTTGCCCAAACAACGACTCAGCGGGGTGGGGGCCCCCCGGGGAGGCTTGCCCGTGCGAAGAAACGCCCCGTGCGCACCACCGTTGGGCGGTTGGAAGCCGCACACGGTCGCGGGGGTGGAGAGCGGAAACGGGCAGCCGGGGGAGGGTGGGGGCGGTTGGATGGGACTGGGGTGTACGGGGGGCAGGGGAGTTGAGGGGGCAAGGGGAGGGGCAGCAACGGGCAGGGGCTGGGCCAGCTGAGGGCACGGAAAAGGGGCGGGCAGAGGGTGAGCAGCGGGGCGAGCGATGCAAGGGAGGCACCATAGGGGGGAAACCAGTTGCACGGAGGTGGGAGGTGAGGGGCGTGCGAGGGGGTGGGAAAGGGGCAGGGAGGGGCGGAATGGGAGGACGTGGGTGGGGGGTGGGGGAGGGGAGTGTGCGTGTGTGTGTGAGAAAGAGAGAGAGAGAGAGAGAGAGAGAGAGAGAGAGAGAGAGGGAAAGGGAGGGGGGGAGAGAAGGGTGGGAGGGGGGCTGGTGGTGCGGATGGGCTGATGGTGGCAAGAGGGCAGCAGGGATGGGGAGAAGGGAGCGTAACGAGGGGAACGCAAAGGGCAGGGGGGGAGGAGGGGAGGGGCAGGGAGGGAAGAGGCTGAACGTACAAAGGGGGGAAACGAGGGGCATGGATGGTAGGAAACAAGGGCAGGGGTGCGGGAAATCAAGGGCAGGGAGGGGAGAAGCAATGGGTGAGGGGAAAACAAGGGAGGGGCAGAGGGGGGGCAGGGAGGGAAGAAACGTGGGGCAGGGAGGGGAGAAGCCAAAGACAGGGGCATGGGCAGGCGGGGGCAGGGAGGGAGCAAAGGAGAGGCACGGAGAAAGAAAGGGAGGCGCGGGGAGGGGAGAAACCGGGCGTGGGGGGGCGGAAAATGAGGGGCAGGGCGGGGAGGAGGGAGGGGCAGGGAGGGGAGAAGCTGAGCACACGGAGGGGGGAAAGGTGGGGCAGGGAGGTAGGAAGCCAAGGGCAAGGGGGGGAGAGTGGGGGAGCAGGGAGAGGGGGGAGGTGGGGAGCGGAGAAAGGCGGCGAGGGGCAGGGAGGGGAGAAACCAAGCATAGGGGGGCGAGATACGAGGGGCAGGGTGCGGATTGAGGAGGGGCAGGGAGTGGAGTGGGTCGGCGAGGGGAAGGAAGAGGCGTGCAGCAGAGGAGGGGAGGGGGGAGGAGAAGGTAAACGAGGGGAGCGCACGGGCGGGGAGGAGCGAATGGCGGGCGGTGGGAAACGGCGAGGGGGGCAGGGAGGGTCAAAAGAGGCGGCAAGGGAGCGGGCACGCGGAGGGTGGGGGCGGGGGGGAGCGGATGGCATGAGGAGGCAGGGGGTGTGACTATGAAGGGGGGACCCGGGCAAGGGGTGTGTACCGGTCGGGGCACGGGATTGACGTGGTACGATCATACCTCGGCTACTACGCCGGATCCCATCAGAACTCCGAAGCTAAGCGCCGGTGGGCGAGAGCAGTACTGGGCTGGGTGACCTCCCGGGAAGTCCTCGTGTTGTACCCATTTATGCCCCTTGCTCGGCACGTGCCGGGGGAGGGGCAAGCGGGAAAAAGAAAGGACGATTTTAGCGCGTCCGATTTTTTTTTATTTTCGTTTTTTTGCCCAAACAACGACTCAGCGGGGTGGGGGCCCCCCGGGGAGGCTTGCCCGTGCGAAGAAACGCCCCGTGCGCACCACCGTTGGGCGGTTGGAAGCCGCACACGGTCGCGGGGGTGGAGAGCGGAAACGGGCAGCCGGGGGAGGGTGGGGGCGGTTGGATGGGACTGGGGTGTACGGGGGGCAGGGGAGTTGAGGGGGCAAGGGGAGGGGCAGCAACGGGCAGGGGCTGGGCCAGCTGAGGGCACGGAAAAGGGGCGGGCAGAGGGTGAGCAGCGGGGCGAGCGATGCAAGGGAGGCACCATAGGGGGGAAACCAGTTGCACGGAGGTGGGAGGTGAGGGGCGTGCGAGGGGGTGGGAAAGGGGCAGGGAGGGGCGGAATGGGAGGACGTGGGTGGGGGGTGGGGGAGGGGAGTGTGCGTGTGTGTGTGAGAAAGAGAGAGAGAGAGAGAGAGAGAGAGAGAGAGAGAGAGGGAAAGGGAGGGGGGGAGAGAAGGGTGGGAGGGGGGCTGGTGGTGCGGATGGGCTGATGGTGGCAAGAGGGCAGCAGGGATGGGGAGAAGGGAGCGTAACGAGGGGAACGCAAAGGGCAGGGGGGGAGGAGGGGAGGGGCAGGGAGGGAAGAGGCTGAACGTACAAAGGGGGGAAACGAGGGGCATGGATGGTAGGAAACAAGGGCAGGGGTGCGGGAAATCAAGGGCAGGGAGGGGAGAAGCAATGGGTGAGGGGAAAACAAGGGAGGGGCAGAGGGGGGGCAGGGAGGGAAGAAACGTGGGGCAGGGAGGGGAGAAGCCAAAGACAGGGGCATGGGCAGGCGGGGGCAGGGAGGGAGCAAAGGAGAGGCACGGAGAAAGAAAGGGAGGCGCGGGGAGGGGAGAAACCGGGCGTGGGGGGGCGGAAAATGAGGGGCAGGGCGGGGAGGAGGGAGGGGCAGGGAGGGGAGAAGCTGAGCACACGGAGGGGGGAAAGGTGGGGCAGGGAGGTAGGAAGCCAAGGGCAAGGGGGGGAGAGTGGGGGAGCAGGGAGAGGGGGGAGGTGGGGAGCGGAGAAAGGCGGCGAGGGGCAGGGAGGGGAGAAACCAAGCATAGGGGGGCGAGATACGAGGGGCAGGGTGCGGATTGAGGAGGGGCAGGGAGTGGAGTGGGTCGGCGAGGGGAAGGAAGAGGCGTGCAGCAGAGGAGGGGAGGGGGGAGGAGAAGGTAAACGAGGGGAGCGCACGGGCGGGGAGGAGCGAATGGCGGGCGGTGGGAAACGGCGAGGGGGGCAGGGAGGGTCAAAAGAGGCGGCAAGGGAGCGGGCACGCGGAGGGTGGGGGCGGGGGGGAGCGGATGGCATGAGGAGGCAGGGGGTGTGACTATGAAGGGGGGACCCGGGCAAGGGGTGTGTACCGGTCGGGGCACGGGATTGACGTGGTACGATCATACCTCGGCTACTACGCCGGATCCCATCAGAACTCCGAAGCTAAGCGCCGGTGGGCGAGAGCAGTACTGGGCTGGGTGACCTCCCGGGAAGTCCTCGTGTTGTACCCATTTATGCCCCTTGCTCGGCACGTGCCGGGGGAGGGGCAAGCGGGAAAAAGAAAGGACGATTTTAGCGCGTCCGATTTTTTTTTATTTTCGTTTTTTTGCCCAAACAACGACTCAGCGGGGTGGGGGCCCCCCGGGGAGGCTTGCCCGTGCGAAGAAACGCCCCGTGCGCACCACCGTTGGGCGGTTGGAAGCCGCACACGGTCGCGGGGGTGGAGAGCGGAAACGGGCAGCCGGGGGAGGGTGGGGGCGGTTGGATGGGACTGGGGTGTACGGGGGGCAGGGGAGTTGAGGGGGCAAGGGGAGGGGCAGCAACGGGCAGGGGCTGGGCCAGCTGAGGGCACGGAAAAGGGGCGGGCAGAGGGTGAGCAGAGGGGCGAGCGATGCAAGGGAGGCACCATAGGGGGGAAACCAGTTGCACGGAGGTGGGAGGTGAGGGGCGTGCGAGGGGGTGGGAAAGGGGCAGGGAGGGGCGGAATGGGAGGACGTGGGTGGGGGGTGGGGGAGGGGAGTGTGCGTGTGTGTGTGAGAAAGAGAGAGAGAGAGAGAGAGAGAGAGAGAGGGAAAGGGAGGGGGGGAGAGAAGGGTGGGAGGGGGGCTGGTGGTGCGGATGGGCTGATGGTGGCAAGAGGGCAGCAGGGATGGGGAGAAGGGAGCGTAGCGAGGGGAACGCAAAGGGCAGGGGGGGAGGAGGGGAGGGGCAGGGAGGGAAGAGGCTGAACGTACAAAGGGGGGAAACGAGGGGCATGGATGGTAGGAAACAAGGGCAGGGGTGCGGGAAATCAAGGGCAGGGAGGGGAGAAGCAATGGGTGAGGGGAAAACAAGGGAGGGGCAGAGGGGGGGCAGGGAGGGAAGAAACGTGGGGCAGGGAGGGGAGAAGCCAAAGACAGGGGCATGGGCAGGCGGGGGCAGGGAGGGAGCAAAGGAGAGGCACGGAGAAAGAAAGGGAGGCGCGGGGAGGGGAGAAACCGGGCGTGGGGGGGCGGAAAATGAGGGGCAGGGCGGGGAGGAGGGAGGGGCAGGGAGGGGAGAAGCTGAGCACACGGAGGGGGGAAAGGTGGGGCAGGGAGGTAGGAAGCCAAGGGCAAGGGGGGGAGAGTGGGGGAGCAGGGAGAGGGGGGAGGTGGGGAGCGGAGAAAGGCGGCGAGGGGCAGGGAGGGGAGAAACCAAGCATAGGGGGGCGAGATACGAGGGGCAGGGTGCGGATTGAGGAGGGGCAGGGAGTGGAGTGGGTCGGCGAGGGGAAGGAAGAGGCGTGCAGCAGAGGAGGGGAAGGGGGGAGGAGAAGGTAAACGAGGGGAGCGCACGGGCGGGGAGGAGCGAATGGCGGGCGGTGGGAAACGGCGAGGGGGGCAGGGAGGGTCAAAAGAGGCGGCAAGGGAGCGGGCACGCGGAGGGTGGGGGCGGGGGGGAGCGGATGGCATGAGGAGGCAGGGGGTGTGACTATGAAGGGGGGACCCGGGCAAGGGGTGTGTACCGGTCGGGGCACGGGATTGACGTGGTACGATCATACCTCGGCTACTACGCCGGATCCCATCAGAACTCCGAAGCTAAGCGCCGGTGGGCGAGAGCAGTACTGGGCTGGGTGACCTCCCGGGAAGTCCTCGTGTTGTACCCATTTATGCCCCTTGCTCGGCACGTGCCGGGGGAGGGGCAAGCGGGAAAAAGAAAGGACGATTTTAGCGCGTCCGTTTTTTTTATTTTCGTTTTTTTGCCCAAACAACGACTCAGCGGGGTGGGGGCCCCCCGGGGAGGCTTGCCCGTGCGAAGAAACGCCCCGTGCGCACCACCGTTGGGCGGTTGGAAGCCGCACACGGTCGCGGGGGTGGAGAGCGGAAACGGGCAGCCGGGGGAGGGTGGGGGCGGTTGGATGGGACTGGGGTGTACGGGGGGCAGGGGAGTTGAGGGGGCAACGGGGAGGGGCAGCAACGGGCAGGGGCTGGGCCAGCTGAGGGCACGGAAAAGGGGCGGGCAGAGGGTGAGCAGAGGGGCGAGCGATGCAAGGGAGGCACCATAGGGGGGAAACCAGTTGCACGGAGGTGGGAGGTGAGGGGCGTGCGAGGGGGTGGGAAAGGGGCAGGGAGGGGCGGAATGGGAGGACGTGGGTGGGGGGTGGGGGAGGGGAGTGTGCGTGTGTGTGTGAGAAAGAGAGAGAGAGAGAGAGAGAGAGAGAGAGAGGGAAAGGGAGGGGGGGAGAGAAGGGTGGGAGGGGGGCTGGTGGTGCGGATGGGCTGATGGTGGCAAGAGGGCAGCAGGGATGGGGAGAAGGGAGCGTAACGAGGGGAACGCAAAGGGCAGGGGGGGAGGAGGGGAGGGGCAGGGAGGGAAGAGGCTGAACGTACAAAGGGGGGAAACGAGGGGCATGGATGGTAGGAAACAAGGGCAGGGGTGCGGGAAATCAAGGGCAGGGAGGGGAGAAGCAATGGGTGAGGGGAAAACAAGGGAGGGGCAGAGGGGGGGCAGGGAGGGAAGAAACGTGGGGCAGGGAGGGGAGAAGCCAAAGACAGGGGCATGGGCAGGCGGGGGCAGGGAGGGAGCAAAGGAGAGGCACGGAGAAAGAAAGGGAGGCGCGGGGAGGGGAGAAACCGGGCGTGGGGGGGCGGAAAATGAGGGGCAGGGCGGGGAGGAGGGAGGGGCAGGGAGGGGAGAAGCTGAGCACACGGAGGGGGGAAAGGTGGGGCAGGGAGGTAGGAAGCCAAGGGCAAGGGGGGGAGAGTGGGGGAGCAGGGAGAGGGGGGAGGTGGGGAGCGGAGAAAGGCGGCGAGGGGCAGGGAGGGGAGAAACCAAGCATAGGGGGGCGAGATACGAGGGGCAGGGTGCGGATTGAGGAGGGGCAGGGAGTGGAGTGGGTCGGCGAGGGGAAGGAAGAGGCGTGCAGCAGAGGAGGGGAGGGGGGAGGAGAAGGTAAACGAGGGGAGCGCACGGGCGGGGAGGAGCGAATGGCGGGCGGTGGGAAACGGCGAGGGGGGCAGGGAGGGTCAAAAGAGGCGGCAAGGGAGCGGGCACGCGGAGGGTGGGGGCGGGGGGGAGCGGATGGCATGAGGAGGCAGGGGGTGTGACTATGAAGGGGGGACCCGGGCAAGGGGTGTGTACCGGTCGGGGCACGGGATTGACGTGGTACGATCATACCTCGGCTACTACGCCGGATCCCATCAGAACTCCGAAGCTAAGCGCCGGTGGGCGAGAGCAGTACTGGGCTGGGTGACCTCCCGGGAAGTCCTCGTGTTGTACCCATTTATGCCCCTTGCTCGGCACGTGCCGGGGGAGGGGCAAGCGGGAAAAAGAAAGGACGATTTTAGCGCGTCCGATTTTTTTTATTTTCGTTTTTTTGCCCAAACAACGACTCAGCGGGGTGGGGGCCCCCCGGGGAGGCTTGCCCGTGCGAAGAAACGCCCCGTGCGCACCACCGTTGGGCGGTTGGAAGCCGCACACGGTCGCGGGGGTGGAGAGCGGAAACGGGCAGCCGGGGGAGGGTGGGGGCGGTTGGATGGGACTGGGGTGTACGGGGGGCAGGGGAGTTGAGGGGGCAAGGGGAGGGGCAGCAACGGGCAGGGGCTGGGCCAGCTGAGGGCACGGAAAAGGGGCGGGCAGAGGGTGAGCAGAGGGGCGAGCGATGCAAGGGAGGCACCATAGGGGGGAAACCAGTTGCACGGAGGTGGGAGGTGAGGGGCGTGCGAGGGGGTGGGAAAGGGGCAGGGAGGGGCGGAATGGGAGGACGTGGGTGGGGGGTGGGGGAGGGGAGTGTGCGTGTGTGTGTGAGAAAGAGAGAGAGAGAGAGAGAGAGAGAGAGAGAGAGGGAAAGGGAGGGGGGGAGAGAAGGGTGGGAGGGGGGCTGGTGGTGCGGATGGGCTGATGGTGGCAAGAGGGCAGCAGGGATGGGGAGAAGGGAGCGTAACGAGGGGAACGCAAAGGGCAGGGGGGGAGGAGGGGAGGGGCAGGGAGGGAAGAGGCTGAACGTACAAAGGGGGGAAACGAGGGGCATGGATGGTAGGAAACAAGGGCAGGGGTGCGGGAAATCAAGGGCAGGGAGGGGAGAAGCAATGGGTGAGGGGAAAACAAGGGAGGGGCAGAGGGGGGGCAGGGAGGGAAGAAACGTGGGGCAGGGAGGGGAGAAGCCAAAGACAGGGGCATGGGCAGGCGGGGGCAGGGAGGGAGCAAAGGAGAGGCACGGAGAAAGAAAGGGAGGCGCGGGGAGGGGAGAAACCGGGCGTGGGGGGGCGGAAAATGAGGGGCAGGGCGGGGAGGAGGGAGGGGCAGGGAGGGGAGAAGCTGAGCACACGGAGGGGGGAAAGGTGGGGCAGGGAGGTAGGAAGCCAAGGGCAAGGGGGGGAGAGTGGGGGAGCAGGGAGAGGGGGGAGGTGGGGAGCGGAGAAAGGCGGCGAGGGGCAGGGAGGGGAGAAACCAAGCATAGGGGGGCGAGATACGAGGGGCAGGGTGCGGATTGAGGAGGGGCAGGGAGTGGAGTGGGTCGGCGAGGGGAAGGAAGAGGCGTGCAGCAGAGGAGGGGAGGGGGGAGGAGAAGGTAAACGAGGGGAGCGCACGGGCGGGGAGGAGCGAATGGCGGGCGGTGGGAAACGGCGAGGGGGGCAGGGAGGGTCAAAAGAGGCGGCAAGGGAGCGGGCACGCGGAGGGTGGGGGCGGGGGGGAGCGGATGGCATGAGGAGGCAGGGGGTGTGACTATGAAGGGGGGACCCGGGCAAGGGGTGTGTACCGGTCGGGGCACGGGATTGACGTGGTACGATCATACCTCGGCTACTACGCCGGATCCCATCAGAACTCCGAAGCTAAGCGCCGGTGGGCGAGAGCAGTACTGGGCTGGGTGACCTCCCGGGAAGTCCTCGTGTTGTACCCATTTATGCCCCTTGCTCGGCACGTGCCGGGGGAGGGGCAAGCGGGAAAAAGAAAGGACGATTTTAGCGCGTCCGATTTTTTTTTATTTTCGTTTTTTTTGCCCAAACAACGACTCAGCGGGGTGGGGGCCCCCCGGGGAGGCTTGCCCGTGCGAAGAAACGCCCCGTGCGCACCACCGTTGGGCGGTTGGAAGCCGCACACGGTCGCGGGGGTGGAGAGCGGAAACGGGCAGCCGGGGGAGGGTGGGGGCGGTTGGATGGGACTGGGGTGTACGGGGGGCAGGGGAGTTGAGGGGGCAAGGGGAGGGGCAGCAACGGGCAGGGGCTGGGCCAGCTGAGGGCACGGAAAAGGGGCGGGCAGAGGGTGAGCAGCGGGGCGAGCGATGCAAGGGAGGCACCATAGGGGGGAAACCAGTTGCACGGAGGTGGGAGGTGAGGGGCGTGCGAGGGGGTGGGAAAGGGGCAGGGAGGGGCGGAATGGGAGGACGTGGGTGGGGGGTGGGGGAGGGGAGTGTGCGTGTGTGTGTGAGAAAGAGAGAGAGAGAGAGAGAGAGAGAGAGAGAGAGAGAGGGAAAGGGAGGGGGGGAGAGAAGGGTGGGAGGGGGGCTGGTGGTGCGGATGGGCTGATGGTGGCAAGAGGGCAGCAGGGATGGGGAGAAGGGAGCGTAGCGAGGGGAACGCAAAGGGCAGGGGGGGAGGAGGGGAGGGGCAGGGAGGGAAGAGGCTGAACGTACAAAGGGGGGAAACGAGGGGCATGGATGGTAGGAAACAAGGGCAGGGGTGCGGGAAATCAAGGGCAGGGAGGGGAGAAGCAATGGGTGAGGGGAAAACAAGGGAGGGGCAGAGGGGGGGCAGGGAGGGAAGAAACGTGGGGCAGGGAGGGGAGAAGCCAAAGACAGGGGCATGGGCAGGCGGGGGCAGGGAGGGAGCAAAGGAGAGGCACGGAGAAAGAAAGGGAGGCGCGGGGAGGGGAGAAACCGGGCGTGGGGGGGCGGAAAATGAGGGGCAGGGCGGGGAGGAGGGAGGGGCAGGGAGGGGAGAAGCTGAGCACACGGAGGGGGGAAAGGTGGGGCAGGGAGGTAGGAAGCCAAGGGCAAGGGGGGGAGAGTGGGGGAGCAGGGAGAGGGGGGAGGTGGGGAGCGGAGAAAGGCGGCGAGGGGCAGGGAGGGGAGAAACCAAGCATAGGGGGGCGAGATACGAGGGGCAGGGTGCGGATTGAGGAGGGGCAGGGAGTGGAGTGGGTCGGCGAGGGGAAGGAAGAGGCGTGCAGCAGAGGAGGGGAGGGGGGAGGAGAAGGTAAACGAGGGGAGCGCACGGGCGGGGAGGAGCGAATGGCGGGCGGTGGGAAACGGCGAGGGGGGCAGGGAGGGTCAAAAGAGGCGGCAAGGGAGCGGGCACGCGGAGGGTGGGGGCGGGGGGGAGCGGATGGCATGAGGAGGCAGGGGGTGTGACTATGAAGGGGGGACCCGGGCAAGGGGTGTGTACCGGTCGGGGCACGGGATTGACGTGGTACGATCATACCTCGGCTACTACGCCGGATCCCATCAGAACTCCGAAGCTAAGCGCCGGTGGGCGAGAGCAGTACTGGGCTGGGTGACCTCCCGGGAAGTCCTCGTGTTGTACCCATTTATGCCCCTTGCTCGGCACGTGCCGGGGGAGGGGCAAGCGGGAAAAAGAAAGGACGATTTTAGCGCGTCCGATTTTTTTTTATTTTCGTTTTTTTGCCCAAACAACGACTCAGCGGGGTGGGGGCCCCCCGGGGAGGCTTGCCCGTGCGAAGAAACGCCCCGTGCGCACCACCGTTGGGCGGTTGGAAGCCGCACACGGTCGCGGGGGTGGAGAGCGGAAACGGGCAGCCGGGGGAGGGTGGGGGCGGTTGGATGGGACTGGGGTGTACGGGGGGCAGGGGAGTTGAGGGGGCAAGGGGAGGGGCAGCAACGGGCAGGGGCTGGGCCAGCTGAGGGCACGGAAAAGGGGCGGGCAGAGGGTGAGCAGAGGGGCGAGCGATGCAAGGGAGGCACCATAGGGGGGAAACCAGTTGCACGGAGGTGGGAGGTGAGGGGCGTGCGAGGGGGTGGGAAAGGGGCAGGGAGGGGCGGAATGGGAGGACGTGGGTGGGGGGGTGGGGGAGGGGAGTGTGCGTGTGTGTGTGAGAAAGAGAGAGAGAGAGAGAGAGAGAGAGAGAGAGAGAGAGGGAAAGGGAGGGGGGGAGAGAAGGGTGGGAGGGGGGCTGGTGGTGCGGATGGGCTGATGGTGGCAAGAGGGCAGCAGGGATGGGGAGAAGGGAGCGTAACGAGGGGAACGCAAAGGGCAGGGGGGGAGGAGGGGAGGGGCAGGGAGGGAAGAGGCTGAACGTACAAAGGGGGGAAACGAGGGGCATGGATGGTAGGAAACAAGGGCAGGGGTGCGGGAAATCAAGGGCAGGGAGGGGAGAAGCAATGGGTGAGGGGAAAACAAGGGAGGGGCAGAGGGGGGGCAGGGAGGGAAGAAACGTGGGGCAGGGAGGGGAGAAGCCAAAGACAGGGGCATGGGCAGGCGGGGGCAGGGAGGGAGCAAAGGAGAGGCACGGAGAAAGAAAGGGAGGCGCGGGGAGGGGAGAAACCGGGCGTGGGGGGGCGGAAAATGAGGGGCAGGGCGGGGAGGAGGGAGGGGCAGGGAGGGGAGAAGCTGAGCACACGGAGGGGGGAAAGGTGGGGCAGGGAGGTAGGAAGCCAAGGGCAAGGGGGGGAGAGTGGGGGAGCAGGGAGAGGGGGGAGGTGGGGAGCGGAGAAAGGCGGCGAGGGGCAGGGAGGGGAGAAACCAAGCATAGGGGGGCGAGATACGAGGGGCAGGGTGCGGATTGAGGAGGGGCAGGGAGTGGAGTGGGTCGGCGAGGGGAAGGAAGAGGCGTGCAGCAGAGGAGGGGAGGGGGGAGGAGAAGGTAAACGAGGGGAGCGCACGGGCGGGGAGGAGCGAATGGCGGGCGGTGGGAAACGGCGAGGGGGGCAGGGAGGGTCAAAAGAGGCGGCAAGGGAGCGGGCACGCGGAGGGTGGGGGCGGGGGGGAGCGGATGGCATGAGGAGGCAGGGGGTGTGACTATGAAGGGGGGACCCGGGCAAGGGGTGTGTACCGGTCGGGGCACGGGATTGACGTGGTACGATCATACCTCGGCTACTACGCCGGATCCCATCAGAACTCCGAAGCTAAGCGCCGGTGGGCGAGAGCAGTACTGGGCTGGGTGACCTCCCGGGAAGTCCTCGTGTTGTACCCATTTATGCCCCTTGCTCGGCACGTGCCGGGGGAGGGGCAAGCGGGAAAAAGAAAGGACGATTTTAGCGCGTCCGATTTTTTTTATTTTCGTTTTTTTTGCCCAAACAACGACTCAGCGGGGTGGGGGCCCCCCGGGGAGGCTTGCCCGTGCGAAGAAAACGCCCCGTGCGCACCACCGTTGGGCGGTTGGAAGCCGCACACGGTCGCGGGGGTGGAGAGCGGAAACGGGCAGCCGGGGGAGGGTGGGGGCGGTTGGATGGGACTGGGGTGTACGGGGGGCAGGGGAGTTGAGGGGGCAAGGGGAGGGGCAGCAACGGGCAGGGGCTGGGCCAGCTGAGGGCACGGAAAAGGGGCGGGCAGAGGGTGAGCAGAGGGGCGAGCGATGCAAGGGAGGCACCATAGGGGGGAAACCAGTTGCACGGAGGTGGGAGGTGAGGGGCGTGCGAGGGGGTGGGAAAGGGGCAGGGAGGGGCGGAATGGGAGGACGTGGGTGGGGGGTGGGGGAGGGGAGTGTGCGTGTGTGTGTGAGAAAGAGAGAGAGAGAGAGAGAGAGAGGGAAAGGGAGGGGGGGAGAGAAGGGTGGGAGGGGGGCTGGTGGTGCGGATGGGCTGATGGTGGCAAGAGGGCAGCAGGGATGGGGAGAAGGGAGCGTAGCGAGGGGAACGCAAAGGGCAGGGGGGGAGGAGGGGAGGGGCAGGGAGGGAAGAGGCTGAACGTACAAAGGGGGGAAACGAGGGGCATGGATGGTAGGAAACAAGGGCAGGGGTGCGGGAAATCAAGGGCAGGGAGGGGAGAAGCAATGGGTGAGGGGAAAACAAGGGAGGGGCAGAGGGGGGGCAGGGAGGGAAGAAACGTGGGGCAGGGAGGGGAGAAGCCAAAGACAGGGGCATGGGCAGGCGGGGGCAGGGAGGGAGCAAAGGAGAGGCACGGAGAAAGAAAGGGAGGCGCGGGGAGGGGAGAAACCGGGCGTGGGGGGGCGGAAAATGAGGGGCAGGGCGGGGAGGAGGGAGGGGCAGGGAGGGGAGAAGCTGAGCACACGGAGGGGGGAAAGGTGGGGCAGGGAGGTAGGAAGCCAAGGGCAAGGGGGGGAGAGTGGGGGAGCAGGGAGAGGGGGGAGGTGGGGAGCGGAGAAAGGCGGCGAGGGGCAGGGAGGGGAGAAACCAAGCATAGGGGGGCGAGATACGAGGGGCAGGGTGCGGATTGAGGAGGGGCAGGGAGTGGAGTGGGTCGGCGAGGGGAAGGAAGAGGCGTGCAGCAGAGGAGGGGAGGGGGGAGGAGAAGGTAAACGAGGGGAGCGCACGGGCGGGGAGGAGCGAATGGCGGGCGGTGGGAAACGGCGAGGGGGGCAGGGAGGGTCAAAAGAGGCGGCAAGGGAGCGGGCACGCGGAGGGTGGGGGCGGGGGGGAGCGGATGGCATGAGGAGGCAGGGGGTGTGACTATGAAGGGGGGACCCGGGCAAGGGGTGTGTACCGGTCGGGGCACGGGATTGACGTGGTACGATCATACCTCGGCTACTACGCCGGATCCCATCAGAACTCCGAAGCTAAGCGCCGGTGGGCGAGAGCAGTACTGGGCTGGGTGACCTCCCGGGAAGTCCTCGTGTTGTACCCATTTATGCCCCTTGCTCGGCACGTGCCGGGGGAGGGGCAAGCGGGAAAAAGAAAGGACGATTTTAGCGCGTCCGATTTTTTTTATTTTCGTTTTTTTTGCCCAAACAACGACTCAGCGGGGTGGGGGCCCCCCGGGGAGGCTTGCCCGTGCGAAGAAACGCCCCGTGCGCACCACCGTTGGGCGGTTGGAAGCCGCACACGGTCGCGGGGGTGGAGAGCGGAAACGGGCAGCCGGGGGAGGGTGGGGGCGGTTGGATGGGACTGGGGTGTACGGGGGGCAGGGGAGTTGAGGGGGCAAGGGGAGGGGCAGCAACGGGCAGGGGCTGGGCCAGCTGAGGGCACGGAAAAGGGGCGGGCAGAGGGTGAGCAGAGGGGCGAGCGATGCAAGGGAGGCACCATAGGGGGGAAACCAGTTGCACGGAGGTGGGAGGTGAGGGGCGTGCGAGGGGGTGGGAAAGGGGCAGGGAGGGGCGGAATGGGAGGACGTGGGTGGGGGGGTGGGGGAGGGGAGTGTGCGTGTGTGTGTGAGAAAGAGAGAGAGAGAGAGAGAGAGAGAGAGAGGGAAAGGGAGGGGGGGAGAGAAGGGTGGGAGGGGGGCTGGTGGTGCGGATGGGCTGATGGTGGCAAGAGGGCAGCAGGGATGGGGAGAAGGGAGCGTAACGAGGGGAACGCAAAGGGCAGGGGGGGAGGAGGGGAGGGGCAGGGAGGGAAGAGGCTGAACGTACAAAGGGGGGAAACGAGGGGCATGGATGGTAGGAAACAAGGGCAGGGGTGCGGGAAATCAAGGGCAGGGAGGGGAGAAGCAATGGGTGAGGGGAAAACAAGGGAGGGGCAGAGGGGGGGCAGGGAGGGAAGAAACGTGGGGCAGGGAGGGGAGAAGCCAAAGACAGGGGCATGGGCAGGCGGGGGCAGGGAGGGAGCAAAGGAGAGGCACGGAGAAAGAAAGGGAGGCGCGGGGAGGGGAGAAACCGGGCGTGGGGGGGCGGAAAATGAGGGGCAGGGCGGGGAGGAGGGAGGGGCAGGGAGGGGAGAAGCTGAGCACACGGAGGGGGGAAAGGTGGGGCAGGGAGGTAGGAAGCCAAGGGCAAGGGGGGGAGAGTGGGGGAGCAGGGAGAGGGGGGAGGTGGGGAGCGGAGAAAGGCGGCGAGGGGCAGGGAGGGGAGAAACCAAGCATAGGGGGGCGAGATACGAGGGGCAGGGTGCGGATTGAGGAGGGGCAGGGAGTGGAGTGGGTCGGCGAGGGGAAGGAAGAGGCGTGCAGCAGAGGAGGGGAGGGGGGAGGAGAAGGTAAACGAGGGGAGCGCACGGGCGGGGAGGAGCGAATGGCGGGCGGTGGGAAACGGCGAGGGGGGCAGGGAGGGTCAAAAGAGGCGGCAAGGGAGCGGGCACGCGGAGGGTGGGGGCGGGGGGGAGCGGATGGCATGAGGAGGCAGGGGGTGTGACTATGAAGGGGGGACCCGGGCAAGGGGTGTGTACCGGTCGGGGCACGGGATTGACGTGGTACGATCATACCTCGGCTACTACGCCGGATCCCATCAGAACTCCGAAGCTAAGCGCCGGTGGGCGAGAGCAGTACTGGGCTGGGTGACCTCCCGGGAAGTCCTCGTGTTGTACCCATTTATGCCCCTTGCTCGGCACGTGCCGGGGGAGGGGCAAGCGGGAAAAAGAAAGGACGATTTTAGCGCGTCCGATTTTTTTTATTTTCGTTTTTTTGCCCAAACAACGACTCAGCGGGGTGGGGGCCCCCCGGGGAGGCTTGCCCGTGCGAAGAAACGCCCCGTGCGCACCACCGTTGGGCGGTTGGAAGCCGCACACGGTCGCGGGGGTGGAGAGCGGAAACGGGCAGCCGGGGGAGGGTGGGGGCGGTTGGATGGGACTGGGGTGTACGGGGGGCAGGGGAGTTGAGGGGGCAAGGGGAGGGGCAGCAACGGGCAGGGGCTGGGCCAGCTGAGGGCACGGAAAAGGGGCGGGCAGAGGGTGAGCAGAGGGGCGAGCGATGCAAGGGAGGCACCATAGGGGGGAAACCAGTTGCACGGAGGTGGGAGGTGAGGGGCGTGCGAGGGGGTGGGAAAGGGGCAGGGAGGGGCGGAATGGGAGGACGTGGGTGGGGGGTGGGGGAGGGGAGTGTGCGTGTGTGTGTGAGAAAGAGAGAGAGAGAGAGAGAGAGAGAGGGAAAGGGAGGGGGGGAGAGAAGGGTGGGAGGGGGGCTGGTGGTGCGGATGGGCTGATGGTGGCAAGAGGGCAGCAGGGATGGGGAGAAGGGAGCGTAACGAGGGGAACGCAAAGGGCAGGGGGGGAGGAGGGGAGGGGCAGGGAGGGAAGAGGCTGAACGTACAAAGGGGGGAAACGAGGGGCATGGATGGTAGGAAACAAGGGCAGGGGTGCGGGAAATCAAGGGCAGGGAGGGGAGAAGCAATGGGTGAGGGGAAAACAAGGGAGGGGCAGAGGGGGGGCAGGGAGGGAAGAAACGTGGGGCAGGGAGGGGAGAAGCCAAAGACAGGGGCATGGGCAGGCGGGGGCAGGGAGGGAGCAAAGGAGAGGCACGGAGAAAGAAAGGGAGGCGCGGGGAGGGGAGAAACCGGGCGTGGGGGGGCGGAAAATGAGGGGCAGGGCGGGGAGGAGGGAGGGGCAGGGAGGGGAGAAGCTGAGCACACGGAGGGGGGAAAGGTGGGGCAGGGAGGTAGGAAGCCAAGGGCAAGGGGGGGAGAGTGGGGGAGCAGGGAGAGGGGGGAGGTGGGGAGCGGAGAAAGGCGGCGAGGGGCAGGGAGGGGAGAAACCAAGCATAGGGGGGCGAGATACGAGGGGCAGGGTGCGGATTGAGGAGGGGCAGGGAGTGGAGTGGGTCGGCGAGGGGAAGGAAGAGGCGTGCAGCAGAGGAGGGGAGGGGGGAGGAGAAGGTAAACGAGGGGAGCGCACGGGCGGGGAGGAGCGAATGGCGGGCGGTGGGAAACGGCGAGGGGGGCAGGGAGGGTCAAAAGAGGCGGCAAGGGAGCGGGCACGCGGAGGGTGGGGGCGGGGGGGAGCGGATGGCATGAGGAGGCAGGGGGTGTGACTATGAAGGGGGGACCCGGGCAAGGGGTGTGTACCGGTCGGGGCACGGGATTGACGTGGTACGATCATACCTCGGCTACTACGCCGGATCCCATCAGAACTCCGAAGCTAAGCGCCGGTGGGCGAGAGCAGTACTGGGCTGGGTGACCTCCCGGGAAGTCCTCGTGTTGTACCCATTTATGCCCCTTGCTCGGCACGTGCCGGGGGAGGGGCAAGCGGGAAAAAGAAAGGACGATTTTAGCGCGTCCGATTTTTTTTATTTTCGTTTTTTTGCCCAAACAACGACTCAGCGGGGTGGGGGCCCCCCGGGGAGGCTTGCCCGTGCGAAGAAACGCCCCGTGCGCACCACCGTTGGGCGGTTGGAAGCCGCACACGGTCGCGGGGGTGGAGAGCGGAAACGGGCAGCCGGGGGAGGGTGGGGGCGGTTGGATGGGACTGGGGTGTACGGGGGGCAGGGGAGTTGAGGGGGCAAGGGGAGGGGCAGCAACGGGCAGGGGCTGGGCCAGCTGAGGGCACGGAAAAGGGGCGGGCAGAGGGTGAGCAGAGGGGCGAGCGATGCAAGGGAGGCACCATAGGGGGGAAACCAGTTGCACGGAGGTGGGAGGTGAGGGGCGTGCGAGGGGGTGGGAAAGGGGCAGGGAGGGGCGGAATGGGAGGACGTGGGTGGGGGGTGGGGGAGGGGAGTGTGCGTGTGTGTGTGAGAAAGAGAGAGAGAGAGAGAGAGAGAGAGAGAGAGGGAAAGGGAGGGGGGGAGAGAAGGGTGGGAGGGGGGCTGGTGGTGCGGATGGGCTGATGGTGGCAAGAGGGCAGCAGGGATGGGGAGAAGGGAGCGTAACGAGGGGAACGCAAAGGGCAGGGGGGGAGGAGGGGAGGGGCAGGGAGGGAAGAGGCTGAACGTACAAAGGGGGGAAACGAGGGGCATGGATGGTAGGAAACAAGGGCAGGGGTGCGGGAAATCAAGGGCAGGGAGGGGAGAAGCAATGGGTGAGGGGAAAACAAGGGAGGGGCAGAGGGGGGGCAGGGAGGGAAGAAACGTGGGGCAGGGAGGGGAGAAGCCAAAGACAGGGGCATGGGCAGGCGGGGGCAGGGAGGGAGCAAAGGAGAGGCACGGAGAAAGAAAGGGAGGCGCGGGGAGGGGAGAAACCGGGCGTGGGGGGGCGGAAAATGAGGGGCAGGGCGGGGAGGAGGGAGGGGCAGGGAGGGGAGAAGCTGAGCACACGGAGGGGGGAAAGGTGGGGCAGGGAGGTAGGAAGCCAAGGGCAAGGGGGGGAGAGTGGGGGAGCAGGGAGAGGGGGGAGGTGGGGAGCGGAGAAAGGCGGCGAGGGGCAGGGAGGGGAGAAACCAAGCATAGGGGGGCGAGATACGAGGGGCAGGGTGCGGATTGAGGAGGGGCAGGGAGTGGAGTGGGTCGGCGAGGGGAAGGAAGAGGCGTGCAGCAGAGGAGGGGAGGGGGGAGGAGAAGGTAAACGAGGGGAGCGCACGGGCGGGGAGGAGCGAATGGCGGGCGGTGGGAAACGGCGAGGGGGGCAGGGAGGGTCAAAAGAGGCGGCAAGGGAGCGGGCACGCGGAGGGTGGGGGCGGGGGGGAGCGGATGGCATGAGGAGGCAGGGGGTGTGACTATGAAGGGGGGACCCGGGCAAGGGGTGTGTACCGGTCGGGGCACGGGATTGACGTGGTACGATCATACCTCGGCTACTACGCCGGATCCCATCAGAACTCCGAAGCTAAGCGCCGGTGGGCGAGAGCAGTACTGGGCTGGGTGACCTCCCGGGAAGTCCTCGTGTTGTACCCATTTATGCCCCTTGCTCGGCACGTGCCGGGGGAGGGGCAAGCGGGAAAAAGAAAGGACGATTTTAGCGCGTCCGATTTTTTTTATTTTCGTTTTTTTTGCCCAAACAACGACTCAGCGGGGTGGGGGCCCCCCCGGGGAGGCTTGCCCGTGCGAAGAAACGCCCCGTGCGCACCACCGTTGGGCGGTTGGAAGCCGCACACGGTCGCGGGGGTGGAGAGCGGAAACGGGCAGCCGGGGGAGGGTGGGGGCGGTTGGATGGGACTGGGGTGTACGGGGGGCAGGGGAGTTGAGGGGGCAAGGGGAGGGGCAGCAACGGGCAGGGGCTGGGCCAGCTGAGGGCACGGAAAAGGGGCGGGCAGAGGGTGAGCAGAGGGGCGAGCGATGCAAGGGAGGCACCATAGGGGGGAAACCAGTTGCACGGAGGTGGGAGGTGAGGGGCGTGCGAGGGGGTGGGAAAGGGGCAGGGAGGGGCGGAATGGGAGGACGTGGGTGGGGGGTGGGGGAGGGGAGTGTGCGTGTGTGTGTGAGAAAGAGAGAGAGAGAGAGAGAGAGAGAGAGAGAGAGGGAAAGGGAGGGGGGGAGAGAAGGGTGGGAGGGGGGCTGGTGGTGCGGATGGGCTGATGGTGGCAAGAGGGCAGCAGGGATGGGGAGAAGGGAGCGTAACGAGGGGAACGCAAAGGGCAGGGGGGGAGGAGGGGAGGGGCAGGGAGGGAAGAGGCTGAACGTACAAAGGGGGGAAACGAGGGGCATGGATGGTAGGAAACAAGGGCAGGGGTGCGGGAAATCAAGGGCAGGGAGGGGAGAAGCAATGGGTGAGGGGAAAACAAGGGAGGGGAAGAGGGGGGGCAGGGAGGGAAGAAACGTGGGGCAGGGAGGGGAGAAGCCAAAGACAGGGGCATAGGGCAGGCGGGGGCAGGGAGGGAGCAAAGGAGAGGCACGGAGAAAGAAAGGGAGGCGCGGGGAGGGGAGAAACCGGGCGTGGGGGGGCGGAAAATGAGGGGCAGGGCAGGGAGGAGGGAGGGGCAGGGAGGGGAGAAGCTGAGCACACGGAGGGGGAAAGGTGGGGCAGGGAGGTAGGAAGCCAAGGGCAAGGGGGGGAGAGTGGAGGGGCAGGGAGAGAGGGGGAGGTGGGGAGCGGAGAAAGGCGGCGAGGGGCAGGGAGGGGAGAAACCAAGCATAGGGGGGCGAGATACGAGGGGCAGGGTGCGGATTGAGGAGGGGCAGGGAGTGGAGTGGGTCGGCGAGGGGAAGGAAGAGGCGTGCAGCAGAGGAGGGGAGGGGGGAGGAGAAGGTAAACGAGGGGAGCGCACGGGCGGGGAGGAGCGAATGGCGGGCGGTGGGAAACGGCGAGGGGGGCAGGGAGGGTCAAAAGAGGCGGCAAGGGAGCGGGCACGCGGAGGGTGGGGGCGGGGGGAGCGGATGGCATGAGGGGGCAGGGGGTGTGACTATGAAGGGGGGACCCGGGCAAGGGGTGTGTACCGGTCGGGGCACGGGATTGACGTGGTACGATCATACCTCGGCTACTACGCCGGATCCCATCAGAACTCCGAAGCTAAGCGCCGGTGGGCGAGAGCAGTTATTTATTAATAAGGGAAAGCAAATACAAGCCGATTATAATGGTTTTTCCAAGAGTGGGAAATTTTGGCATAACTAATTCGCTATGAGGACGGTATATATATCTTGTAGGAAGATGGGGAAAGAAAGAAGAAGAAGGAAGAATTAAGGAGTAAGAAGTAGTAGGAAAAAGAAAGGAGTGAGCAACACATATATACCCCGAACAACGACTCAGCGGGGTGGGGGCCCCCCGGGGAGGCTTGCCCGTGCGAAAGAACGCCCCGTGCGCACCACCGTTGGGCAGGTTGGAAGCCGCACACGGTCGCGGGGGTGAAGAGCGGAAACGGGCAGCCGGGGGAGGGTGGGGGCGGTTGGATGGGACTGGGGTGTACGGGGAGCAGGGGAGTTGAGCGGGCAACGGGGAGGGGCAGCAACGGGCAGGGGCTGGGCCAGCTGAGGGCACGGAAAAGGGGCGGGCAGAGGGTGAGCAGAGGGGCGAGCGATGCAAGGGAGGCACCATAGGGGGGAAACCAGTTGCACGGAGGTGGGAGGTGAGGGGCGTGCGAGGGCGTGGGAAAGGGGCAGGGAGGGGCAGAATGGGAGGATGTGGGTGGGGGGTGGGGGAGGGGAGTGTGCGTGTGTGTGTGAGAAAGAGAGAGAGAGAGAGAGAGAGAGAGAGAGAGAGGGAAAGGGAGGGGGGGAGAGAAGGGTGGGAGGGGGGCTGGTGGTGCGGATGGGCTGATGGTGGCAAGAGGGCAGCAGGGATGGGGAGAAGGGAGCGTAACGAGGGGAACGCAAAGGGCAGGGGGGGAGGAGGGGAGGGGCAGGGAGGGAAGAGGCTGAACGTACAAAGGGGGGAAACGAGGGGCATGGATGGTAGGAAACAAGGGCAGGGGTGCGGGAAATCAAGGGCAGGGAGGGGAGAAGCAATGGGTGAGGGGAAAACAAGGGAGGGGCAGAGGGGGGGCAGGGAGGGAAGAAACGTGGGGCAGGGAGGGGAGAAGCCAAAGACAGGGGCATGGGCAGGCGGGGGCAGGGAGGGAGCAAAGGAGAGGCACGGAGAAAGAAAGGGAGGCGCGGGGAGGGGAGAAACCGGGCGTGGGGGGGCGGAAAATGAGGGGCAGGGCGGGGAGGAGGGAGGGGCAGGGAGGGGAGAAGCTGAGCACACGGAGGGGGGAAAGGTGGGGCAGGGAGGTAGGAAGCCAAGGGCAAGGGGGGGAGAGTGGGGGAGCAGGGAGAGGGGGGAGGTGGGGAGCGGAGAAAGGCGGCGAGGGGCAGGGAGGGGAGAAACCAAGCATAGGGGGGCGAGATACGAGGGGCAGGGTGCGGATTGAGGAGGGGCAGGGAGTGGAGTGGGTCGGCGAGGGGAAGGAAGAGGCGTGCAGCAGAGGAGGGGAGGGGGGAGGAGAAGGTAAACGAGGGGAGCGCACGGGCGGGGAGGAGCGAATGGCGGGCGGTGGGAAACGGCGAGGGGGGCAGGGAGGGTCAAAAGAGGCGGCAAGGGAGCGGGCACGCGGAGGGTGGGGGCGGGGGGGAGCGGATGGCATGAGGAGGCAGGGGGTGTGACTATGAAGGGGGGACCCGGGCAAGGGGTGTGTACCGGTCGGGGCACGGGATTGACGTGGTACGATCATACCTCGGCTACTACGCCGGATCCCATCAGAACTCCGAAGCTAAGCGCCGGTGGGCGAGAGCAGTACTGGGCTGGGTGACCTCCCGGGAAGTCCTCGTGTTGTACCCATTTATGCCCCTTGCTCGGCACGTGCCGGGGGAGGGGCAAGCGGGAAAAAGAAAGGACGATTTTAGCGCGTCCGATTTTTTTATTTTCGTTTTTTTTGCCCAAACAACGACTCAGCGGGGTGGGGGCCCCCCGGGGAGGCTTGCCCGTGCGAAGAAACGCCCCGTGCGCACCACCGTTGGGCGGTTGGAAGCCGCACACGGTCGCGGGGGTGGAGAGCGGAAACGGGCAGCCGGGGGAGGGTGGGGGCGGTTGGATGGGACTGGGGTGTACGGGGGGCAGGGGAGTTGAGGGGGCAAGGGGAGGGGCAGCAACGGGCAGGGGCTGGGCCAGCTGAGGGCACGGAAAAGGGGCGGGCAGAGGGTGAGCAGAGGGGCGAGCGATGCAAGGGAGGCACCATAGGGGGGAAACCAGTTGCACGGAGGTGGGAGGTGAGGGGCGTGCGAGGGGGTGGGAAAGGGGCAGGGAGGGGCGGAATGGGAGGACGTGGGTGGGGGGTGGGGGAGGGGAGTGTGCGTGTGTGTGTGAGAAAGAGAGAGAGAGAGAGAGAGGGAAAGGGAGGGGGGGAGAGAAGGGTGGGAGGGGGGCTGGTGGTGCGGATGGGCTGATGGTGGCAAGAGGGCAGCAGGGATGGGGAGAAGGGAGCATAACGAGGGGAACGCAAAGGGCAGGGGGGGAGGAGGGGAGGGGCAGGGAGGGAAGAGGCTGAACGTACAAAGGGGGGAAACGAGGGGCATGGATGGTAGGAAACAAGGGCAGGGGTGCGGGAAATCAAGGGCAGGGAGGGGAGAAGCAATGGGTGAGGGGAAAACAAGGGAGGGGCAGAGGGGGGGCAGGGAGGGAAGAAACGTGGGGCAGGGAGGGGAGAAGCCAAAGACAGGGGCATGGGCAGGCGGGGGCAGGGAGGGAGCAAAGGAGAGGCACGGAGAAAGAAAGGGAGGCGCGGGGAGGGGAGAAACCGGGCGTGGGGGGGCGGAAAATGAGGGGCAGGGCGGGGAGGAGGGAGGGGCAGGGAGGGGAGAAGCTGAGCACACGGAGGGGGGAAAGGTGGGGCAGGGAGGTAGGAAGCCAAGGGCAAGGGGGGGAGAGTGGGGGAGCAGGGAGAGGGGGGAGGTGGGGAGCGGAGAAAGGCGGCGAGGGGCAGGGAGGGGAGAAACCAAGCATAGGGGGGCGAGATACGAGGGGCAGGGTGCGGATTGAGGAGGGGCAGGGAGTGGAGTGGGTCGGCGAGGGGAAGGAAGAGGCGTGCAGCAGAGGAGGGGAGGGGGGAGGAGAAGGTAAACGAGGGGAGCGCACGGGCGGGGAGGAGCGAATGGCGGGCGGTGGGAAACGGCGAGGGGGGCAGGGAGGGTCAAAAGAGGCGGCAAGGGAGCGGGCACGCGGAGGGTGGGGGCGGGGGGGAGCGGATGGCATGAGGAGGCAGGGGGTGTGACTATGAAGGGGGGACCCGGGCAAGGGGTGTGTACCGGTCGGGGCACGGGATTGACGTGGTACGATCATACCTCGGCTACTACGCCGGATCCCATCAGAGCTCCGAAGCTAAGCGCCGGTGGGCGAGAGCAGTACTGGGCTGGGTGACCTCCCGGGAAGTCCTCGTGTTGTACCCATTTATGCCCCTTGCTCGGCACGTGCCGGGGGAGGGGCAAGCGGGAAAAAGAAAGGACGATTTTAGCGCGTCCGATTTTTTTATTTTCGTTTTTTTTGCCCAAACAACGACTCAGCGGGGTGGGGGCCCCCCGGGGAGGCTTGCCCGTGCGAAAGAAACGCCCCGTGCGCACCACCGTTGGGCGGTTGGAAGCCGCACACGGTCGCGGGGGTGGAGAGCGGAAACGGGCAGCCGGGGGAGGGTGGGGGCGGTTGGATGGGACTGGGGTGTACGGGGGGCAGGGGAGTTGAGGGGGCAAGGGGAGGGGCAGCAACGGGCAGGGGCTGGGCCAGCTGAGGGCACGGAAAAGGGGCGGGCAGAGGGTGAGCAGAGGGGCGAGCGATGCAAGGGAGGCACCATAGGGGGGAAACCAGTTGCACGGAGGTGGGAGGTGAGGGGCGTGCGAGGGGGTGGGAAAGGGGCAGGGAGGGGCGGAATGGGAGGACGTGGGTGGGGGGTGGGGGAGGGGAGTGTGCGTGTGTGTGTGAGAAAGAGAGAGAGAGAGAGAGAGAGAGGGAAAGGGAGGGGGGGAGAGAAGGGTGGGAGGGGGGCTGGTGGTGCGGATGGGCTGATGGTGGCAAGAGGGCAGCAGGGATGGGGAGAAGGGAGCGTAACGAGGGGAACGCAAAGGGCAGGGGGGGAGGAGGGGAGGGGCAGGGAGGGAAGAGGCTGAACGTACAAAGGGGGGAAACGAGGGGCATGGATGGTAGGAAACAAGGGCAGGGGTGCGGGAAATCAAGGGCAGGGAGGGGAGAAGCAATGGGTGAGGGGAAAACAAGGGAGGGGAAGAGGGGGGGCAGGGAGGGAAGAAACGTGGGGCAGGGAGGGGAGAAGCCAAAGACAGGGGCATAGGCAGGCGGGGGCAGGGAGGGAGCAAAGGAGAGGCACGGAGAAAGAAAGGGAGGCGCGGGGAGGGGAGAAACCGGGCGTGGGGGGGCGGAAAATGAGGGGCAGGGCAGGGAGGAGGGAGGGGCAGGGAGGGGAGAAGCTGAGCACACGGAGGGGGGAAAAGGTGGGGCAGGGAGGTAGGAAGCCAAGGGCAAGGGGGGGAGAGTGGAGGGGCAGGGAGAGAGGGGGAGGTGGGGAGCGGAGAAAGGCGGCGAGGGGCAGGGAGGGGAGAAACCAAGCATAGGGGGGCGAGATACGAGGGGCAGGGTGCGGATTGAGGAGGGGCAGGGAGTGGAGTGGGTCGGCGAGGGGAAGGAAGAGGCGTGCAGCAGAGGAGGGGAGGGGGGAGGAGAAGGTAAACGAGGGGAGCGCACGGGCGGGGAGGAGCGAATGGCGGGTGGTGGGAAACGGCGAGGGGGGCAGGGAGGGTCAAAAGAGGCGGCAAGGGAGCGGGCACGCGGAGGGTGGGGGCGGGGGGGAGCGGATGGCATGAGGGGGCAGGGGGTGTGACTATGAAGGGGGGACCCGGGCAAGGGGTGTGTACCGGTCGGGGCACGGGATTGACGTGGTACGATCATACCTCGGCTACTACGCCGGATCCCATCAGAACTCCGAAGCTAAGCGCCGGTGGGCGAGAGCAGTTATTTATTAATAAGGGAAAGCAAATACAAGCCGATTATAATGGTTTTTCCAAGAGTGGGAAATTTTGGCATAACTAATTCGCTATGAGGACGGTATATATATCTTGTAGGAAGATGGGGAAAGAAAGAAGAAGAAGGAAGAATTAAGGAGTAAGAAGTAGTAGGAAAAAGAAAAGAGTGAGCAACACATATATACCCCGAACAACGACTCAGCGGGGTGGGGGCCCCCCGGGGAGGCTTGCCCGTGCGAAGAAACGCCCCGTGCGCACCACCGTTGGGCGGTTGGAAGCCGCACACGGTCGCGGGGGTGGAGAGCGGAAACGGGCAGCCGGGGGAGGGTGGGGGCGGTTGGATGGGACTGGGGTGTACGGGGAGCAGGGGAGTTGAGCGGGCAACGGGAGGGGCAGCAACGGGCAGGGGCTGGGCCAGCTGAGGGCACGGAAAAGGGGCGGGCAGAGGGTGAGCAGAGGGGCGAGCGATGCAAGGGAGGCACCATAGGGGGGAAACCAGTTGCACGGAGGTGGGAGGTGAGGGGCGTGCGAGGGCGTGGGAAAGGGGCAGGGAGGGGCAGAATGGGAGGATGTGGGTGGGGGGTGGGGGAGGGGAGTGTGCGTGTGTGTGTGAGAAAGAGAGAGAGAGAGAGAGAGAGAGAGAGAGAGGGAAAGGGAGGGGGGGAGAGAAGGGTGGGAGGGGGGCTGGTGGTGCGGATGGGCTGATGGTGGCAAGAGGGCAGCAGGGATGGGGAGAAGGGAGCGTAACGAGGGGAACGCAAAGGGCAGGGGGGGAGGAGGGGAGGGGCAGGGAGGGAAGAGGCTGAACGTACAAAGGGGGGAAACGAGGGGCATGGATGGTAGGAAACAAGGGCAGGGGTGCGGGAAATCAAGGGCAGGGAGGGGAGAAGCAATGGGTGAGGGGAAAACAAGGGAGGGGCAGAGGGGGGGCAGGGAGGGAAGAAACGTGGGGCAGGGAGGGGAGAAGCCAAAGACAGGGGCATGGGCAGGCGGGGGCAGGGAGGGAGCAAAGGAGAGGCACGGAGAAAGAAAGGGAGGCGCGGGGAGGGGAGAAACCGGGCGTGGGGGGGCGGAAAATGAGGGGCAGGGCGGGGAGGAGGGAGGGGCAGGGAGGGGAGAAGCTGAGCACACGGAGGGGGGAAAGGTGGGGCAGGGAGGTAGGAAGCCAAGGGCAAGGGGGGGAGAGTGGGGGAGCAGGGAGAGGGGGGAGGTGGGGAGCGGAGAAAGGCGGCGAGGGGCAGGGAGGGGAGAAACCAAGCATAGGGGGGCGAGATACGAGGGGCAGGGTGCGGATTGAGGAGGGGCAGGGAGTGGAGTGGGTCGGCGAGGGGAAGGAAGAGGCGTGCAGCAGAGGAGGGGAGGGGGGAGGAGAAGGTAAACGAGGGGAGCGCACGGGCGGGGAGGAGCGAATGGCGGGCGGTGGGAAACGGCGAGGGGGGCAGGGAGGGTCAAAAGAGGCGGCAAGGGAGCGGGCACGCGGAGGGTGGGGGCGGGGGGGAGCGGATGGCATGAGGAGGCAGGGGGTGTGACTATGAAGGGGGGACCCGGGCAAGGGGTGTGTACCGGTCGGGGCACGGGATTGACGTGGTACGATCATACCTCGGCTACTACGCCGGATCCCATCAGAACTCCGAAGCTAAGCGCCGGTGGGCGAGAGCAGTACTGGGCTGGGTGACCTCCCGGGAAGTCCTCGTGTTGTACCCATTTATGCCCCTTGCTCGGCACGTGCCGGGGGAGGGGCAAGCGGGAAAAAGAAAGGACGATTTTAGCGCGTCCGATTTTTTTTATTTTCGTTTTTTTGCCCAAACAACGACTCAGCGGGGTGGGGGCCCCCCGGGGAGGCTTGCCCGTGCGAAGAAACGCCCCGTGCGCACCACCGTTGGGCGGTTGGAAGCCGCACACGGTCGCGGGGGTGGAGAGCGGAAACGGGCAGCCGGGGGAGGGTGGGGGCGGTTGGATGGGACTGGGGTGTACGGGGGGCAGGGGAGTTGAGGGGGCAAGGGGAGGGGCAGCAACGGGCAGGGGCTGGGCCAGCTGAGGGCACGGAAAAGGGGCGGGCAGAGGGTGAGCAGAGGGGCGAGCGATGCAAGGGAGGCACCATAGGGGGGAAACCAGTTGCACGGAGGTGGGAGGTGAGGGGCGTGCGAGGGGGTGGGAAAGGGGCAGGGAGGGGCGGAATGGGAGGACGTGGGTGGGGGGTGGGGGAGGGGAGTGTGCGTGTGTGTGTGAGAAAGAGAGAGAGAGAGAGAGAGAGAGAGAGAGAGGGAAAGGGAGGGGGGGAGAGAAGGGTGGGAGGGGGGCTGGTGGTGCGGATGGGCTGATGGTGGCAAGAGGGCAGCAGGGATGGGGAGAAGGGAGCGTAACGAGGGGAACGCAAAGGGCAGGGGGGGAGGAGGGGAGGGGCAGGGAGGGAAGAGGCTGAACGTACAAAGGGGGGAAACGAGGGGCATGGATGGTAGGAAACAAGGGCAGGGGTGCGGGAAATCAAGGGCAGGGAGGGGAGAAGCAATGGGTGAGGGGAAAACAAGGGAGGGGCAGAGGGGGGGCAGGGAGGGAAGAAACGTGGGGCAGGGAGGGGAGAAGCCAAAGACAGGGGCATGGGCAGGCGGGGGCAGGGAGGGAGCAAAGGAGAGGCACGGAGAAAGAAAGGGAGGCGCGGGGAGGGGAGAAACCGGGCGTGGGGGGGCGGAAAATGAGGGGCAGGGCGGGGAGGAGGGAGGGGCAGGGAGGGGAGAAGCTGAGCACACGGAGGGGGAAAGGTGGGGCAGGGAGGTAGGAAGCCAAGGGCAAGGGGGGGAGAGTGGGGGAGCAGGGAGAGGGGGGAGGTGGGGAGCGGAGAAAGGCGGCGAGGGGCAGGGAGGGGAGAAACCAAGCATAGGGGGGCGAGATACGAGGGGCAGGGTGCGGATTGAGGAGGGGCAGGGAGTGGAGTGGGTCGGCGAGGGGAAGGAAGAGGCGTGCAGCAGAGGAGGGGAGGGGGGAGGAGAAGGTAAACGAGGGGAGCGCACGGGCGGGGAGGAGCGAATGGCGGGCGGTGGGAAACGGCGAGGGGGGCAGGGAGGGTCAAAAGAGGCGGCAAGGGAGCGGGCACGCGGAGGGTGGGGGCGGGGGGGAGCGGATGGCATGAGGAGGCAGGGGGTGTGACTATGAAGGGGGGACCCGGGCAAGGGGTGTGTACCGGTCGGGGCACGGGATTGACGTGGTACGATCATACCTCGGCTACTACGCCGGATCCCATCAGAACTCCGAAGCTAAGCGCCGGTGGGCGAGAGCAGTACTGGGCTGGGTGACCTCCCGGGAAGTCCTCGTGTTGTACCCATTTATGCCCCTTGCTCGGCACGTGCCGGGGGAGGGGCAAGCGGGAAAAAGAAAGGACGATTTTAGCGCGTCCGATTTTTTTTATTTTCGTTTTTTTGCCCAAACAACGACTCAGCGGGGTGGGGGCCCCCCGGGGAGGCTTGCCCGTGCGAAGAAACGCCCCGTGCGCACCACCGTTGGGCGGTTGGAAGCCGCACACGGTCGCGGGGGTGGAGAGCGGAAACGGGCAGCCGGGGGAGGGTGGGGGCGGTTGGATGGGACTGGGGTGTACGGGGGGCAGGGGAGTTGAGGGGGCAAGGGGAGGGGCAGCAACGGGCAGGGGCTGGGCCAGCTGAGGGCACGGAAAAGGGGCGGGCAGAGGGTGAGCAGAGGGGCGAGCGATGCAAGGGAGGCACCATAGGGGGGAAACCAGTTGCACGGAGGTGGGAGGTGAGGGGCGTGCGAGGGGGTGGGAAAGGGGCAGGGAGGGGCGGAATGGGAGGACGTGGGTGGGGGGTGGGGGAGGGGAGTGTGCGTGTGTGTGTGAGAAAGAGAGAGAGAGAGAGAGAGAGAGAGAGAGAGAGGGAAAGGGAGGGGGGGAGAGAAGGGTGGGAGGGGGGCTGGTGGTGCGGATGGGCTGATGGTGGCAAGAGGGCAGCAGGGATGGGGAGAAGGGAGCGTAACGAGGGGAACGCAAAGGGCAGGGGGGGAGGAGGGGAGGGGCAGGGAGGGAAGAGGCTGAACGTACAAAGGGGGGAAACGAGGGGCATGGATGGTAGGAAACAAGGGCAGGGGTGCGGGAAATCAAGGGCAGGGAGGGGAGAAGCAATGGGTGAGGGGAAAACAAGGGAGGGGCAGAGGGGGGGCAGGGAGGGAAGAAACGTGGGGCAGGGAGGGGAGAAGCCAAAGACAGGGGCATGGGCAGGCGGGGGCAGGGAGGGAGCAAAGGAGAGGCACGGAGAAAGAAAGGGAGGCGCGGGGAGGGGAGAAACCGGGCGTGGGGGGGCGGAAAATGAGGGGCAGGGCGGGGAGGAGGGAGGGGCAGGGAGGGGAGAAGCTGAGCACACGGAGGGGGGAAAGGTGGGGCAGGGAGGTAGGAAGCCAAGGGCAAGGGGGGGAGAGTGGGGGAGCAGGGAGAGGGGGGAGGTGGGGAGCGGAGAAAGGCGGCGAGGGGCAGGGAGGGGAGAAACCAAGCATAGGGGGGCGAGATACGAGGGGCAGGGTGCGGATTGAGGAGGGGCAGGGAGTGGAGTGGGTCGGCGAGGGGAAGGAAGAGGCGTGCAGCAGAGGAGGGGAGGGGGGAGGAGAAGGTAAACGAGGGGAGCGCACGGGCGGGGAGGAGCGAATGGCGGGCGGTGGGAAACGGCGAGGGGGGCAGGGAGGGTCAAAAGAGGCGGCAAGGGAGCGGGCACGCGGAGGGTGGGGGCGGGGGGGAGCGGATGGCATGAGGAGGCAGGGGGTGTGACTATGAAGGGGGGACCCGGGCAAGGGGTGTGTACCGGTCGGGGCACGGGATTGACGTGGTACGATCATACCTCGGCTACTACGCCGGATCCCATCAGAACTCCGAAGCTAAGCGCCGGTGGGCGAGAGCAGTACTGGGCTGGGTGACCTCCCGGGAAGTCCTCGTGTTGTACCCATTTATGCCCCTTGCTCGGCACGTGCCGGGGGAGGGGCAAGCGGGAAAAAGAAAGGACGATTTTAGCGCGTCCGATTTTTTTTATTTTCGTTTTTTTTGCCCAAACAACGACTCAGCGGGGTGGGGGCCCCCCGGGGAGGCTTGCCCGTGCGAAGAAACGCCCCGTGCGCACCACCGTTGGGCGGTTGGAAGCCGCACACGGTCGCGGGGGTGGAGAGCGGAAACGGGCAGCCGGGGGAGGGTGGGGGCGGTTGGATGGGACTGGGGTGTACGGGGGGCAGGGGAGTTGAGGGGGCAAGGGGAGGGGCAGCAACGGGCAGGGGCTGGGCCAGCTGAGGGCACGGAAAAGGGGCGGGCAGAGGGTGAGCAGAGGGGCGAGCGATGCAAGGGAGGCACCATAGGGGGGAAACCAGTTGCACGGAGGTGGGAGGTGAGGGGCGTGCGAGGGGGTGGGAAAGGGGCAGGGAGGGGCGGAATGGGAGGACGTGGGTGGGGGGTGGGGGAGGGGAGTGTGCGTGTGTGTGTGAGAAAGAGAGAGAGAGAGAGAGAGAGAGAGAGAGGGAAAGGGAGGGGGGGAGAGAAGGGTGGGAGGGGGGCTGGTGGTGCGGATGGGCTGATGGTGGCAAGAGGGCAGCAGGGATGGGGAGAAGGGAGCGTAACGAGGGGAACGCAAAGGGCAGGGGGGGAGGAGGGGAGGGGCAGGGAGGGAAGAGGCTGAACGTACAAAGGGGGGAAACGAGGGGCATGGATGGTAGGAAACAAGGGCAGGGGTGCGGGAAATCAAGGGCAGGGAGGGGAGAAGCAATGGGTGAGGGGAAAACAAGGGAGGGGCAGAGGGGGGGCAGGGAGGGAAGAAACGTGGGGCAGGGAGGGGAGAAGCCAAAGACAGGGGCATGGGCAGGCGGGGGCAGGGAGGGAGCAAAGGAGAGGCACGGAGAAAGAAAGGGAGGCGCGGGGAGGGGAGAAACCGGGCGTGGGGGGGCGGAAAATGAGGGGCAGGGCGGGGAGGAGGGAGGGGCAGGGAGGGGAGAAGCTGAGCACACGGAGGGGGGAAAGGTGGGGCAGGGAGGTAGGAAGCCAAGGGCAAGGGGGGGAGAGTGGGGGAGCAGGGAGAGGGGGGAGGTGGGGAGCGGAGAAAGGCGGCGAGGGGCAGGGAGGGGAGAAACCAAGCATAGGGGGGCGAGATACGAGGGGCAGGGTGCGGATTGAGGAGGGGCAGGGAGTGGAGTGGGTCGGCGAGGGGAAGGAAGAGGCGTGCAGCAGAGGAGGGGAGGGGGGAGGAGAAGGTAAACGAGGGGAGCGCACGGGCGGGGAGGAGCGAATGGCGGGCGGTGGGAAACGGCGAGGGGGGCAGGGAGGGTCAAAAGAGGCGGCAAGGGAGCGGGCACGCGGAGGGTGGGGGCGGGGGGGAGCGGATGGCATGAGGAGGCAGGGGGTGTGACTATGAAGGGGGGACCCGGGCAAGGGGTGTGTACCGGTCGGGGCACGGGATTGACGTGGTACGATCATACCTCGGCTACTACGCCGGATCCCATCAGAGCTCCGAAGCTAAGCGCCGGTGGGCGAGAGCAGTACTGGGCTGGGTGACCTCCCGGGAAGTCCTCGTGTTGTACCCATTTATGCCCCTTGCTCGGCACGTGCCGGGGGAGGGGCAAGCGGGAAAAAGAAAGGACGATTTTAGCGCGTCCGATTTTTTTATTTTCGTTTTTTTGCCCAAACAACGACTCAGCGGGGTGGGGGCCCCCCGGGGAGGCTTGCCCGTGCGAAAGAAACGCCCCGTGCGCACCACCGTTGGGCGGTTGGAAGCCGCACACGGTCGCGGGGGTGGAGAGCGGAAACGGGCAGCCGGGGGAGGGTGGGGGCGGTTGGATGGGACTGGGGTGTACGGGGGGCAGGGGAGTTGAGGGGGCAAGGGGAGGGGCAGCAACGGGCAGGGGCTGGGCCAGCTGAGGGCACGGAAAAGGGGCGGGCAGAGGGTGAGCAGAGGGGCGAGCGATGCAAGGGAGGCACCATAGGGGGGAAACCAGTTGCACGGAGGTGGGAGGTGAGGGGCGTGCGAGGGGGTGGGAAAGGGGCAGGGAGGGGCGGAATGGGAGGACGTGGGTGGGGGGTGGGGGAGGGGAGTGTGCGTGTGTGTGTGAGAAAGAGAGAGAGAGAGAGAGAGAGAGAGAGAGAGAGGGAAAGGGAGGGGGGGAGAGAAGGGTGGGAGGGGGGCTGGTGGTGCGGATGGGCTGATGGTGGCAAGAGGGCAGCAGGGATGGGGAGAAGGGAGCGTAACGAGGGGAACGCAAAGGGCAGGGGGGGAGGAGGGGAGGGGCAGGGAGGGAAGAGGCTGAACGTACAAAGGGGGGAAACGAGGGGCATGGATGGTAGGAAACAAGGGCAGGGGTGCGGGAAATCAAGGGCAGGGAGGGGAGAAGCAATGGGTGAGGGGAAAACAAGGGAGGGGAAGAGGGGGGGCAGGGAGGGAAGAAACGTGGGGCAGGGAGGGGAGAAGCCAAAGACAGGGGCATAGGCAGGCGGGGGCAGGGAGGGAGCAAAGGAGAGGCACGGAGAAAGAAAGGGAGGCGCGGGGAGGGGAGAAACCGGGCGTGGGGGGGCGGAAAATGAGGGGCAGGGCAGGGAGGAGGGAGGGGCAGGGAGGGGAGAAGCTGAGCACACGGAGGGGGAAAAGGTGGGGCAGGGAGGTAGGAAGCCAAGGGCAAGGGGGGGAGAGTGGAGGGGCAGGGAGAGAGGGGAGGTGGGGAGCGGAGAAAGGCGGCGAGGGGCAGGGAGGGGAGAAACCAAGCATAGGGGGGCGAGATACGAGGGGCAGGGTGCGGATTGAGGAGGGGCAGGGAGTGGAGTGGGTCGGCGAGGGGAAGGAAGAGGCGTGCAGCAGAGGAGGGGAGGGGGGAGGAGAAGGTAAACGAGGGGAGCGCACGGGCGGGGAGGAGCGAATGGCGGGTGGTGGGAAACGGCGAGGGGGGCAGGGAGGGTCAAAAGAGGCGGCAAGGGAGCGGGCACGCGGAGGGTGGGGGCGGGGGGAGCGGATGGCATGAGGGGGCAGGGGGTGTGACTATGAAGGGGGGACCCGGGCAAGGGGTGTGTACCGGTCGGGGCACGGGATTGACGTGGTACGATCATACCTCGGCTACTACGCCGGATCCCATCAGAACTCCGAAGCTAAGCGCCGGTGGGCGAGAGCAGTTATTTATTAATAAGGGAAAGCAAATACAAGCCGATTATAATGGTTTTTCCAAGAGTGGGAAATTTTGGCATAACTAATTCGCTATGAGGACGGTATATATATCTTGTAGGAAGATGGGGAAAGAAAGAAGAAGAAGGAAGAATTAAGGAGTAAGAAGTAGTAGGAAAAAGAAAAGAGTGAGCAACACATATATACCCCGAACAACGACTCAGCGGGGTGGGGGCCCCCCGGGGAGGCTTGCCCGTGCGAAGAAACGCCCCGTGCGCACCACCGTTGGGCGGTTGGAAGCCGCACACGGTCGCGGGGGTGGAGAGCGGAAACGGGCAGCCGGGGGAGGGTGGGGGCGGTTGGATGGGACTGGGGTGTACGGGGAGCAGGGGAGTTGAGCGGGCAACGGGAGGGGCAGCAACGGGCAGGGGCTGGGCCAGCTGAGGGCACGGAAAAGGGGCGGGCAGAGGGTGAGCAGAGGGGCGAGCGATGCAAGGGAGGCACCATAGGGGGGAAACCAGTTGCACGGAGGTGGGAGGTGAGGGGCGTGCGAGGGCGTGGGAAAGGGGCAGGGAGGGGCAGAATGGGAGGATGTGGGTGGGGGGTGGGGGAGGGGAGTGTGCGTGTGTGTGTGAGAAAGAGAGAGAGAGAGAGAGAGAGAGAGAGAGAGAGAGGGAAAGGGAGGGGGGGAGAGAAGGGTGGGAGGGGGGCTGGTGGTGCGGATGGGCTGATGGTGGCAAGAGGGCAGCAGGGATGGGGAGAAGGGAGCGTAACGAGGGGAACGCAAAGGGCAGGGGGGGAGGAGGGGAGGGGCAGGGAGGGAAGAGGCTGAACGTACAAAGGGGGGAAACGAGGGGCATGGATGGTAGGAAACAAGGGCAGGGGTGCGGGAAATCAAGGGCAGGGAGGGGAGAAGCAATGGGTGAGGGGAAAACAAGGGAGGGGCAGAGGGGGGGCAGGGAGGGAAGAAACGTGGGGCAGGGAGGGGAGAAGCCAAAGACAGGGGCATGGGCAGGCGGGGGCAGGGAGGGAGCAAAGGAGAGGCACGGAGAAAGAAAGGGAGGCGCGGGGAGGGGAGAAACCGGGCGTGGGGGGGCGGAAAATGAGGGGCAGGGCGGGGAGGAGGGAGGGGCAGGGAGGGGAGAAGCTGAGCACACGGAGGGGGGAAAGGTGGGGCAGGGAGGTAGGAAGCCAAGGGCAAGGGGGGGAGAGTGGGGGAGCAGGGAGAGGGGGGAGGTGGGGAGCGGAGAAAGGCGGCGAGGGGCAGGGAGGGGAGAAACCAAGCATAGGGGGGCGAGATACGAGGGGCAGGGTGCGGATTGAGGAGGGGCAGGGAGTGGAGTGGGTCGGCGAGGGGAAGGAAGAGGCGTGCAGCAGAGGAGGGGAGGGGGGAGGAGAAGGTAAACGAGGGGAGCGCACGGGCGGGGAGGAGCGAATGGCGGGCGGTGGGAAACGGCGAGGGGGGCAGGGAGGGTCAAAAGAGGCGGCAAGGGAGCGGGCACGCGGAGGGTGGGGGCGGGGGGGAGCGGATGGCATGAGGAGGCAGGGGGTGTGACTATGAAGGGGGGACCCGGGCAAGGGGTGTGTACCGGTCGGGGCACGGGATTGACGTGGTACGATCATACCTCGGCTACTACGCCGGATCCCATCAGAACTCCGAAGCTAAGCGCCGGTGGGCGAGAGCAGTACTGGGCTGGGTGACCTCCCGGGAAGTCCTCGTGTTGTACCCATTTATGCCCCTTGCTCGGCACGTGCCGGGGGAGGGGCAAGCGGGAAAAAGAAAGGACGATTTTAGCGCGTCCGATTTTTTTTATTTTCGTTTTTTTGCCCAAACAACGACTCAGCGGGGTGGGGGCCCCCCGGGGAGGCTTGCCCGTGCGAAGAAACGCCCCGTGCGCACCACCGTTGGGCGGTTGGAAGCCGCACACGGTCGCGGGGGTGGAGAGCGGAAACGGGCAGCCGGGGGAGGGTGGGGGCGGTTGGATGGGACTGGGGTGTACGGGGGGCAGGGGAGTTGAGGGGGCAAGGGGAGGGGCAGCAACGGGCAGGGGCTGGGCCAGCTGAGGGCACGGAAAAGGGGCGGGCAGAGGGTGAGCAGAGGGGCGAGCGATGCAAGGGAGGCACCATAGGGGGGAAACCAGTTGCACGGAGGTGGGAGGTGAGGGGCGTGCGAGGGGGTGGGAAAGGGGCAGGGAGGGGCGGAATGGGAGGACGTGGGTGGGGGGTGGGGGAGGGGAGTGTGCGTGTGTGTGTGAGAAAGAGAGAGAGAGAGAGAGAGAGGGAAAGGGAGGGGGGGAGAGAAGGGTGGGAGGGGGGCTGGTGGTGCGGATGGGCTGATGGTGGCAAGAGGGCAGCAGGGATGGGGAGAAGGGAGCATAACGAGGGGAACGCAAAGGGCAGGGGGGGAGGAGGGGAGGGGCAGGGAGGGAAGAGGCTGAACGTACAAAGGGGGGAAACGAGGGGCATGGATGGTAGGAAACAAGGGCAGGGGTGCGGGAAATCAAGGGCAGGGAGGGGAGAAGCAATGGGTGAGGGGAAAACAAGGGAGGGGCAGAGGGGGGGCAGGGAGGGAAGAAACGTGGGGCAGGGAGGGGAGAAGCCAAAGACAGGGGCATGGGCAGGCGGGGGCAGGGAGGGAGCAAAGGAGAGGCACGGAGAAAGAAAGGGAGGCGCGGGGAGGGGAGAAACCGGGCGTGGGGGGGCGGAAAATGAGGGGCAGGGCGGGGAGGAGGGAGGGGCAGGGAGGGGAGAAGCTGAGCACACGGAGGGGGGAAAGGTGGGGCAGGGAGGTAGGAAGCCAAGGGCAAGGGGGGGAGAGTGGGGGAGCAGGGAGAGGGGGGAGGTGGGGAGCGGAGAAAGGCGGCGAGGGGCAGGGAGGGGAGAAACCAAGCATAGGGGGGCGAGATACGAGGGGCAGGGTGCGGATTGAGGAGGGGCAGGGAGTGGAGTGGGTCGGCGAGGGGAAGGAAGAGGCGTGCAGCAGAGGAGGGGAGGGGGGAGGAGAAGGTAAACGAGGGGAGCGCACGGGCGGGGAGGAGCGAATGGCGGGCGGTGGGAAACGGCGAGGGGGGCAGGGAGGGTCAAAAGAGGCGGCAAGGGAGCGGGCACGCGGAGGGTGGGGGCGGGGGGGAGCGGATGGCATGAGGAGGCAGGGGGTGTGACTATGAAGGGGGGACCCGGGCAAGGGGTGTGTACCGGTCGGGGCACGGGATTGACGTGGTACGATCATACCTCGGCTACTACGCCGGATCCCATCAGAGCTCCGAAGCTAAGCGCCGGTGGGCGAGAGCAGTACTGGGCTGGGTGACCTCCCGGGAAGTCCTCGTGTTGTACCCATTTATGCCCCTTGCTCGGCACGTGCCGGGGGAGGGGCAAGCGGGAAAAAGAAAGGACGATTTTAGCGCGTCCGATTTTTTTATTTTCGTTTTTTTTGCCCAAACAACGACTCAGCGGGGTGGGGGCCCCCCGGGGAGGCTTGCCCGTGCAAAGAAACGCCCCGTGCGCACCACCGTTGGGCGGTTGGAAGCCGCACACGGTCGCGGGGGTGGAGAGCGGAAACGGGCAGCCGGGGGAGGGTGGGGGCGGTTGGATGGGACTGGGGTGTACGGGGGGCAGGGGAGTTGAGGGGGCAAGGGGAGGGGCAGCAACGGGCAGGGGCTGGGCCAGCTGAGGGCACGGAAAAGGGGCGGGCAGAGGGTGAGCAGAGGGGCGAGCGATGCAAGGGAGGCACCATAGGGGGGAAACCAGTTGCACGGAGGTGGGAGTTGAGGGGCGTGCGAGGGGGTGGGAAAGGGGCAGGGAGGGGCGGAATGGGAGGACGTGGGTGGGGGGGTGGGGGAGGGGAGTGTGCGTGTGTGTGTGAGAAAGAGAGAGAGAGAGAGAGAGAGAGAGGGAAAGGGAGGGGGGGAGAGAAGGGTGGGAGGGGGGCTGGTGGTGCGGATGGGCTGATGGTGGCAAGAGGGCAGCAGGGATGGGGAGAAGGGAGCATAACGAGGGGAACGCAAAGGGCAGGGGGGGAGGAGGGGAGGGGCAGGGAGGGAAGAGGCTGAACGTACAAAGGGGGGAAACGAGGGGCATGGATGGTAGGAAACAAGGGCAGGGGTGCGGGAAATCAAGGGCAGGGAGGGGAGAAGCAATGGGTGAGGGGAAAACAAGGGAGGGGAAGAGGGGGGGCAGGGAGGGAAGAAACGTGGGGCAGGGAGGGGAGAAGCCAAAGACAGGGGCATAGGCAGGCGGGGGCAGGGAGGGAGCAAAGGAGAGGCACGGAGAAAGAAAGGGAGGCGCGGGGAGGGGAGAAACCGGGCGTGGGGGGGCGGAAAATGAGGGGCAGGGCAGGGAGGAGGGAGGGGCAGGGAGGGGAGAAGCTGAGCACACGGAGGGGGAAAAGGTGGGGCAGGGAGGTAGGAAGCCAAGGGCAAGGGGGGGAGAGTGGAGGGGCAGGGAGAGAGGGGAGGTGGGGAGCGGAGAAAGGCGGCGAGGGGCAGGGAGGGGAGAAACCAAGCATAGGGGGGCGAGATACGAGGGGCAGGGTGCGGATTGAGGAGGGGCAGGGAGTGGAGTGGGTCGGCGAGGGGAAGGAAGAGGCGTGCAGCAGAGGAGGGGAGGGGGGAGGAGAAGGTAAACGAGGGGAGCGCACGGGCGGGGAGGAGCGAATGGCGGGTGGTGGGAAACGGCGAGGGGGGCAGGGAGGGTCAAAAGAGGCGGCAAGGGAGCGGGCACGCGGAGGGTGGGGGCGGGGGGAGCGGATGGCATGAGGGGGCAGGGGGTGTGACTATGAAGGGGGGACCCGGGCAAGGGGTGTGTACCGGTCGGGGCACGGGATTGACGTGGTACGATCATACCTCGGCTACTACGCCGGATCCCATCAGAACTCCGAAGCTAAGCGCCGGTGGGCGAGAGCAGTTATTTATTAATAAGGGAAAGCAAATACAAGCCGATTATAATGGTTTTTCCAAGAGTGGGAAATTTTGGCATAACTAATTCGCTATGAGGACGGTATATATATCTTGTAGGAAGATGGGGAAAGAAAGAAGAAGAAGGAAGAATTAAGGAGTAAGAAGTAGTAGGAAAAAGAAAAGAGTGAGCAACACATATATACCCCGAACAACGACTCAGCGGGGTGGGGGCCCCCCGGGGAGGCTTGCCCGTGCGAAGAAACGCCCCGTGCGCACCACCGTTGGGCGGTTGGAAGCCGCACACGGTCGCGGGGGTGGAGAGCGGAAACGGGCAGCCGGGGGAGGGTGGGGGCGGTTGGATGGGACTGGGGTGTACGGGGAGCAGGGGAGTTGAGCGGGCAACGGGAGGGGCAGCAACGGGCAGGGGCTGGGCCAGCTGAGGGCACGGAAAAGGGGCGGGCAGAGGGTGAGCAGAGGGGCGAGCGATGCAAGGGAGGCACCATAGGGGGGAAACCAGTTGCACGGAGGTGGGAGGTGAGGGGCGTGCGAGGGCGTGGGAAAGGGGCAGGGAGGGGCAGAATGGGAGGATGTGGGTGGGGGGTGGGGGAGGGGAGTGTGCGTGTGTGTGTGAGAAAGAGAGAGAGAGAGAGAGAGAGAGAGAGAGAGAGGGAAAGGGAGGGGGGGAGAGAAGGGTGGGAGGGGGGCTGGTGGTGCGGATGGGCTGATGGTGGCAAGAGGGCAGCAGGGATGGGGAGAAGGGAGCGTAACGAGGGGAACGCAAAGGGCAGGGGGGGAGGAGGGGAGGGGCAGGGAGGGAAGAGGCTGAACGTACAAAGGGGGGAAACGAGGGGCATGGATGGTAGGAAACAAGGGCAGGGGTGCGGGAAATCAAGGGCAGGGAGGGGAGAAGCAATGGGTGAGGGGAAAACAAGGGAGGGGCAGAGGGGGGGCAGGGAGGGAAGAAACGTGGGGCAGGGAGGGGAGAAGCCAAAGACAGGGGCATGGGCAGGCGGGGGCAGGGAGGGAGCAAAGGAGAGGCACGGAGAAAGAAAGGGAGGCGCGGGGAGGGGAGAAACCGGGCGTGGGGGGGCGGAAAATGAGGGGCAGGGCGGGGAGGAGGGAGGGGCAGGGAGGGGAGAAGCTGAGCACACGGAGGGGGGAAAGGTGGGGCAGGGAGGTAGGAAGCCAAGGGCAAGGGGGGGAGAGTGGGGGAGCAGGGAGAGGGGGGAGGTGGGGAGCGGAGAAAGGCGGCGAGGGGCAGGGAGGGGAGAAACCAAGCATAGGGGGGCGAGATACGAGGGGCAGGGTGCGGATTGAGGAGGGGCAGGGAGTGGAGTGGGTCGGCGAGGGGAAGGAAGAGGCGTGCAGCAGAGGAGGGGAGGGGGGAGGAGAAGGTAAACGAGGGGAGCGCACGGGCGGGGAGGAGCGAATGGCGGGCGGTGGGAAACGGCGAGGGGGGCAGGGAGGGTCAAAAGAGGCGGCAAGGGAGCGGGCACGCGGAGGGTGGGGGCGGGGGGGAGCGGATGGCATGAGGAGGCAGGGGGTGTGACTATGAAGGGGGGACCCGGGCAAGGGGTGTGTACCGGTCGGGGCACGGGATTGACGTGGTACGATCATACCTCGGCTACTACGCCGGATCCCATCAGAACTCCGAAGCTAAGCGCCGGTGGGCGAGAGCAGTACTGGGCTGGGTGACCTCCCGGGAAGTCCTCGTGTTGTACCCATTTATGCCCCTTGCTCGGCACGTGCCGGGGGAGGGCAAGCGGGAAAAAGAAAGGACGATTTTAGCGCGTCCGATTTTTTTTATTTTCGTTTTTTTGCCCAAACAACGACTCAGCGGGGGGGGGCCCCCCCGGGGAGGCTTGCCCGTGCGAAGAAACGCCCCGTGCGCACCACCGTTGGGCGGTTGGAAGCGCACACGGTCGCGGGGGTGGAGAGCGGAAACGGGCAGCCGGGGGAGGGTGGGGGCGGTTGGATGGACTTGGGGTGTACGGGGGGCAGGGGAGTTGAGGGGGCAAGGGGAGGGGCAGCAACGGGCAGGGGCTGGGCCAGCTGAGGGCACGGAAAAGGGGGCGGGCAGAGGGTGAGCAGAGGGGCGAGCGATTGCAAGGGAGGCACCATAGGGGGGAAACCAGTTGCACGGAGGTGGGAGGTGAGGGGCGTGCGAGGGCGGTGGGGAAAGGGGCAGGGAGGGGCGGAATGGGAGGACGTGGGTGGGGGGTGGGGGAGGGGAGTGTGCGTGTGTGTGTGAGAAGAGAGAGAGAGAGAGAGAGAGAGGGAAAAGGGAGGGGGGGAGAGAAGGGTGGGAGGGGGGCTGGTGGTGCGGATGGGCTGATGGTGGCAAGAGGGCAGCAGGGATGTGGAGAAGGGAGATAACGAGGGGAACGCAAAGGGCAGGGGGGGAGGAGGGGAGGGGCAGGGAGGGAAGAGGCTGAACGTACAAAGGGGGGAAACGAGGGGCATGGATGGTAGGAAACAAGGGCAGGGGTGCGGGAAATCAAGGGC